CTTTACCATTTTGACATGTTTCTGTAAGCAAAACATCATTAATTTCCAAGTTACATTAATGTTGCAAGGGGCCAAAATCTCGATATATCAATTTTGTGTTTTCACGAAGAGCCACATAAATTTTGGCCCTTTGAACGCGTACAAAACCCATTGCACGGAAATACGTAAAAGTAGGTCAAATGAGATTTGCGTTTTCACGAAGAGTCACATATCTTTGTTACATTTTCAGCTGCGCGCGCGTGCTCACGCGCGCCTATGGAAATACACATTGAACAGAAAGGGCCAATATGCCGGAAACCTGAATTAGCGTTTTCACGAGGAGCCACATATCTTTACTGATTAATTTTCACTAATTAACTGCTGAATTAAGTCTTATTACTGGGTTCATGTAAAAAATCAGCTCACATAGAATAGTGTGATGGTTTTCTTGCTTCACAAAGTTGTTGCAAAGTGGTATTTTTTGCAGTTTTAAAATATGAGAAACTTCTTTTGCGATTATCTCGAAAACGCTTTTTCTTCAAAATCGACATATGTGGCTCTTCGTGAAAACGGTGACGGTCTGGGTATCACCCGTTGTCCACAGAGTCCACCGAGTAAGAATACGTTTTTTTCTGTCGTTCTCAGTCGATGTACGATATACACGTTGTGTGTGTCTATTACAAAACACGTACAAAACACCGTGCCTCCAAACAGTGGTGACCAACCACCAATGCACACGATGTGGGGTTTTTTACACGTCCGTAAAAGGCGAACACTTTACGGATGAAATCACAACTAGCACCCAAACAGCATGACTTTTTGGGGTCGCAAAAGTGGACCCCGAAAGTCATTCTCGCACGCATAATACAGGAATAACACAAAACGTCCAGTTTTTAAAAGGAAGTTGTGTGGATGTTTCTATCATACTTTTAATCGTCGGGTGCCCGGCAGAAGGGCATATGCATGAGCGTTCTGACGCAAAAGAAATAATTTTCAAGAAAATTGCATTGAAGGGTTTCATTGTTCCCCTGCGCGCATTTTGAATCAAATGTTTAAATTTCATTAAAATGGAGGCAGTTTTCTGCATATGCCCTTTTGCTGGGAACATTTTGGTCATTACGCGCTATTGCATAAGGATATAAGCACATATGCCCTTCTGCCGGGCACACGACGTAATGTTCTTTCAGATTAACATCATTTTGTTCAAAGCGCGTTTTGTAGCCCAATTAGGCTGTTTCAGGACGCACAGTCTGTCCCTTGAATAAAAATTGCGCCATTTTTTAAAAACTGAATCAAGTTGTCTTTGACAAAACTACATCACAACAAACTCAAGGCTTTGAATAGTTCTCCTGGAACCACATTTTCCTGAACAAAATTGGGTCCTCCTATCTGGCTCAAACTTTGCTGACACTGTGTACATTGTCAGAAATTTGGACCAGTATACACATACATTTGGAGACTTTGCAATTGCCAATGTCAGTTTGGCGTGTTGCCAAAATAGGAATTGACAATAGAAAACAAATCATTAAAAGAACACAGTATTTACTGTTTTCTGTCATGATTTTTATGGAACAATGTCCTTTTTTGAGAATTATTGTTTATTTTTAAGAAAACATGATATTGCAAGTCCCTGGTATAAATGTGGTGGTCTGTCCTACTTTGATTCTAGGGTTGGGGTGCGTCCACTAATTAAATCAGTGACTTCTCATTGTTTAATTATTCAAAGATGTTAGGAAAAGAGGGAACCCCAGGGACAGTCTAGCTTTAATGTTGTCTCATAAGTCGAGTGGTGACTGCACGTTCTGCCTGCATTCCTGGAACTTTAATCACCAAAGTTCCAGAATTCCTTTCAATTTTAGGATGGCTGTCACTCCTTGATCGTGTTCCATCCCATGCATGTGTGCAAATTTCTCACCGTGCTCTACACACAAAACGATTTCTCATCGCGGAAAAACCCTCAGCACGCAATACACAGCAGCGGTGTCACAGCAAAATGGAACCCCACATAATTTCCGAGCGATTACGTATGCATGCACAGCTGCGGTTTCCTCTAACATCGGGACTCCCACATAAATACAAACTAACCGTGTAAATAACGTGTCTAGGAAAGATGAAAGAGATATTTAGCTTTAGTGTAATACAAGTGTCATACATGTGCACAGCACCGACCTACCTCCAAGAGCTGCTACAACGCCATGATTCACACCGACGCCTTCGTTCCTCTGACACAAATCTTCTTCAAGTACCCCGCTCACATTCCTAGGGAGACCGATCTTTCTCCCAGTCCCGCCCTTCCCTGTGGAACTCACTGCCAATCGACCTTAGAAAGGAGTCTTCCTACCTCACATTCAAGAATAAACTCAAAACCACTTTCACTTTACTAAATCTCTTTTACTAAGATGTATCACATTGGTTAATTTGAATAATTTTTCACTCAGGTGACAGCAAAGTTTTCTTCGCCATGAGTGTCACGATGTGACAGACATGGCGCATTACAAGTCTCCTTTATACGTGTAAATGTACCATTAAGGAGACACGGTATCGTAATTTCTTCGAACGGTGGGAGTCACTGGTCATTAGGGAGACATTTTCAGGGAGACATTTTCATGTCTCCCTAATGTCACAGCAGCCCTTTAGAGGCAAAATTTTACCGTCGCAATTAGGTTATGTTTGTTGCCCGTGGTCTAATTAGTAAACATACCGAAATTCGTGGGGAAAGGACAAGGGAATATTGGGTCAGGGCACATTTCAGTTTTGTAAAATTGTGTGCACAAGTCTACGGGGATGTCTCCCAAATGTCCAATCCAGGGTAATTATTATTATTGTTACATGTACAAGTAAATGTGAAATGTTACTATTTCATTAAAACAATCTTGATGGGTTAAGGTTCTAAATATTCCGGATTGATGAAAACTAGATGAGCTGATTTCAGTTTCTTCTTCGAGGTGACCACAATGTCTACCGAATCCGACTCGGTGTATAAAGGGAGTGAGAAAGAAATCCTCTGCATTTAAAGTTTTACATTGCTTCGAGAACATATTTGTCGGTCCATTTTTGGCCGGCGAATAAAATTCCGAAAAGATACAGAGAGAGAAAACACAGAGGTATTATGTGCAAACAAATCCATATCAGTTATAAATTGTATTGAATTTCTGGTTTGCCTGAAACTCTAGGGAAGAATTTTTGTATTTCTGGAAAATTAATAATGAAATTATCTCTATCCACAGCCTTCTGAAGTACTTTAACCCGTGACCCCATCTTATTATAATATTACAATCAGTACGGTATCTTTGATTTTAAACAATAATTTGGAGTTGATCCATGGCCTCATTTCCTTCCTGTGTCGTTGGTGTATTTTTCATGGAGTGTTTGCATTCTCATGGGTGAATCTTACAAGGAAGAAGGAACTGCCGTTTGTAGATGGTGAGACATTTCCATTATGTGTTGGTATTGACCATGCAATTTCCTGTAGCCTTGAACATATAGCGTAAGAGGAAAGACCTACGCTCTGCTTGTACAGTGGCGTAGCACGGTCATTTGGATGGGGGGGGGGGGGTGAAAAGGGCACTTGCACATCCGTCGTAAAATGTAAGCCCGTTTTTTTTCCAGGACACTTGGCCTCCGTAAAATAAAAAAACCGGTTTTTTCAGGGCTTTTTTGTGGGGGGGGGGGGGGGTAGAAGGGGGTTGATGTTTTTGTTTCTTTGACACTTGTTACTGGTTCTTGTACATGAAAAAATGCACACCGTGTACATGTGACAGTACCATACCTATAATTATATATGTGTCAGGAGATGCGATGGGCGAGCCCTGGGGTAGGTGACTAGGGTAGCTCATCACCGGGTCGAATAATTCCTTCTTCTCCGTTAAAAAGCTATGCCAATCCACATCCTATACATAGCACTGCTAAACCAACCAAATTAATCACAACCACAGAAACATTTCGTGATTGTTTTTTGATCAGATGAAGCTTTAGTTGTTAACATTTTGATACCCTTCGGTTCTGTACTCGTACAAACTGGATTTGAAACTCCTTGCTCTTTTTCCGCAGTTAACAATGTTACGAATTATCAAGTCGGCCATAATAACCAGGTTACGCTTTACTCGAAGCGTAAAGAAGAGTACAATTACAATACCTTTCTCTTTTGCAACAGGATAAGGATAATACAGTAAAACCCCAACAAGAGAAAACTAATGTTGTACAAAAAAGTTGTTGATACAAAACAATAGTTGACAAGAAACTGTCAACAATCATTACATTAATATAGAAAAACAGCAATTCGTTGTATGACCATTTTACATTAGTGCTTTACCTTGTGATATAAATCATAAAGCTTCCGATTATAAGATAGCTTATGTTCCTTATGGTTAAGAAATGTGTTAAACTTAAAATGTCTCAGAAAACTTCATAATCGGTGCTGAATGTTCCATTATAGTCTCTCATTGAGAGCAAAGACCACACGATCTTCAATGAAAATCAAACAAGAGCTGAATTCCACTCTCACATCAATAATATTCCACTCTCACACCAATAACAATGTTCCGAACTTGACGGATATATTTATTCACCCCCTCCGCATTTAAGTGATATCCAGCAGCTAAATACTTTGAATGGTTTTCCATTCTCTGAGAACAAAGATACATGCCTGGTATTGTCCCCAGGGCTCTGTCTAAAAAGGAATTCAAACGCCGCACGCCAGTGATTGAAGGTTTGTACCGAAACCGGACCCGAAAATCTGCTTAAGCTTGCGACCTGAGTATGACACATGAAGACCCGGCATTTGGGATAAATTCCGCGCGCTGACAACGTGTCTAAAAACCTCAAGGCTTGTTGAACTATACCATCACTGGTTAAGCATCTTTGTTAGGATATTATTGGTACCCAATCAATGCACAGTAGGTCAATATTGTCAAGCGCTTCCATTTAATTCCTCAAATAGTGGTCGAGATTGATCGAAAATGCTTGTATATATGTTAAACCAAAGTGTTACCCAACTTTTTACAGTCTTGCTTTTAATGCGCAGGTGAACTGGTGGACTTTACATGCTACAACTCAAACCCTCTCCTTTCCATCACCAACACCGAAAACACATACATCGGCGGCTACAAAGGAAACGTGGCATTGCTAGGCGATGCAGTTACATTTGGGAGGACTGTCTCCACGGCAACCGGCGATGGTTTGCCCTCGTGCTCATGCATTCCCAACCCTGGAGACGGGAGAGGGTCTGCGACCGTTCGTCAGTATATGAATTGCCCTAGTGGTTTTTGCTCGTGCGGTGGGACTGGTAGTTCTTGTCTGTATAGGATTGGAGCATTCTACTGCCAGATTGATACTGGGACCACGGTGGAGAGGATAACAACAATAACTCTCAACTCAAACGGTAGGCATCTTTTTGTGCACTTTTTTTTGCGTTCTTTTGGATTTTGCCAACCCTTGAGCCAAAGGCTACTCGAAGCGACGGCTACAAAGAGGAAATATGCAAATAAAGAAATTTAGTATTCAACTTAAACTGAGATGGGGGCGGGGCTTCATTATGCCAATTTGATGACACACTGCTGTGCAATATTTTCGCTTGTATAAACTGCCTTATCCAAGGCAGTGCAGGCACTACGCCACTTGCATAGCACGATATGGGACAGAGGAACCCCCCCCCTCTTTTATGTCATTGTTTTAACAGAATCTCAGGAATTCTTTTCAGATATCTAAGGGGATGTGTTAGGTAATAATAGTGTAGGGTGTGTGGTAGGAGATGGGGGGGGGGGATTTACCCCTCTTTCCCATATCATGCTATAGGTATACACTGCGTAGTTAACTTCAATTGTACCTATACATTTTATGTGTATGTTTCTTGCACCTATGCGAAGTGTTGACCCTCTTTTCACAAAAGTTGATCCAAATAGAGAGAAGAGATTTGCTCTCTCCAGCCTCTTGGATAGGATGGTTGGTATAAAATGAAATATGGGAGTATATACCTCATTTTAGTGCAAGTGTAATCATAATGAATCACACTGAAAAACATGTAAGGGCAAGGGAATGACAAGGGCCATCCACCAATAACTTACTAACAATCCGTCTTTTCAAAACTGCAACTACTTTCATGGTATAGTAGTCTAAAAGATACATTCACTGTTGTGAAAGCTGTTCGCGGTAAATTGTGAATACATTCAATATGTATAAGTACATTTCATTTTGCAGCCGATATTATGCCAAAGCGCCAGACTATCACGGTAAGCCTAGGAGAAGCGCTCACCCTTCAAGTCACCACCACCTTGTCTCCGCTCCCAGACTGGCAATGGAGGAAGACATCGGCTGAATTTAACAGCTGGCTAAATGATTGGTCTGGTATCCAGTCTCCAACTATAAGTTCTGTCACTGCAGCTGATGCGGGTGTGTACGAATGCCATGTACCACAACAGAGAGGCCAGGGGCGCCATGCTATCTTCAGAGTAATAGTCAGAGGCAAATATGTATTCATCATTTTCTTCATAATAGTTTTTTCCGGCCAAATTCTCTAACACTGTGGCCACCATCTTTATATTCAAATGCTTTGATAGGGATGTGTTTATGCCCATGACATTGGCATATCCAATGACCTAGAGATACTCTTTGAAAAAAAAAACCTCTAAAACATTATTGGGTCTCCGATGACCGAAATGACATTGGATACGCACATTAAAACAATATATATTTCCCTTTATCAATGAACTTGGTCAACCTCTTGCTACTGGCTCCAACGAAATTGAATTAACAATACGCCCATTTGCAGTTGAATGAACTTATTCGTCGAAAGAATGCTAATCAAAAAATTTGAATGGCCACTTACTTTGACGATTGAATTGCTAAAGGCAGCAATAAGTTTCATTTGAAAATGAATGAGGTTGGTATTAAATTGTCTGTCTTTACGTTGTCTCTTATTTTGCAATGACCATGAAGTGGGTGTCTTGAATAAACTTAAGCACGTAAACACTCGCCTGCTAAATACCCTATGGAAAGCTCCATAGATCGCCCTCGGTTACCCAAGGAACGTTCAATTTCTCTCGGCTACGTCTCAGGAAAACAGAATGCAACAAGGATCACCTATGGTAACATATGCTTATCACATCTCAGCTTCAGAAATTCAAATTTGCTCGTGTATACCAAACAATATCCTTTATATACCATCAGGTTGCCCTAGTAACATGTGGGGAACTTCGACTGGCTGTCAGAACGCCTGCCCAGTGTGTTATAACGGCGGTATGTGTCATGACGTTACCGGGCAATGCATCTGTGCTCCGGGTTTCAGTGGCTCCATCTGTCAAATCGGTAAATTTTGAGAGAACTCCACTACCTTTAAGCCTTTTGGTTACTTTCAAAATATTTTTTTTACTTCCATTGTTCCAGTGTTTTAACACCTGTTTCAGACTGGGATGTCAGAACCGCGCCAAACCAAATTACTCTGAAGATTTGTATTTCATTGCAAAATCTTTTGCCTAGTTGTTTATTACTGCACAGTGTTGGATTTTGGCAGATCCAGGAAGGGTTAACGCAACATTGGAATATGCAACAATGAAATGGTAAAATTAGGTATCTGACTTTGTTTGATCCATCGATTGTTGTTTCAATGTTCCCAGCGAATGGAAGAAATGGATGGGGAATGAATGGCACACTACCATGTGCAGGGGCTGAGGATCGTCACGGTGCGTCATGCAGAGGACGTCTGTTTTGCCTTCAAGATCCGTTCGGTTGCTCCTGTGCGGCCGGCTACAAGGGAATTGGCTGTGACCAGGGTAAGCTTAAATGCTCATCACATTCAGACTAGTAACTGATTTCATAGATCTGCTTAGCCATAAATATTGATTACCACCAATGTTTACTGATTAGATAATCAGTCCAAAGAGAAAACACGGCATGACATTTCGGCTGGGGCCCTGTTTTGCTCATTAGATTTTTCTGTAGTGAGCAAATGTCTGTGCTTTGGCATGCTTAATAAGCAGTTCCTTGAAAAGAGGCAACATGCACCAGTTTCACCGCAGTGCTAAGCATGCATTTACACTCTACCAACAGAACCATCATCCATTTTATTGAAAGAATTCGCCCAGCGAAAGATGCTAAGTCCAGATGCGAATATTGCTTAAGTGGTGACGCAACGAAAACATATCTTGATCTTTTACACAATTTGTTTTCGAATAAACTGGGTTCATTCATTTTGTTCCACCGGGTGAGTCAATCAGAAAGTTACCCAAACTTATGATTTTGTTTATCTTAAAAAGCAATCAAATAAAAAACACACCAATGGAGGATATCTGAAAAGAACATCTTCTTCCACTCCTATAAAAAAAACTAATTACTGAAATTGATCAATGCTATCAGGAGTTATGAACGTTTTACTAAATGAACCAATTTTTATAGCTGTCCATGGAATGCTATTCAAAGCTATTGAGCTGGGTGAGTTTTGTAGATCACACGTCCAGTTTAATAATAGGCATTCATCGGTTTGTAGAACGGTAAATGATCAGTGGTGGACAGCCGAGTTTTGTGATCTTTTTATCAAAACGTACATAACTTGGGTATAGAAACTACGTGAAATGTTCACAGTTAAAATACTTTATACCAATGGGGTTTTGTGTGTATGAAATGGAGCAAGCGAAATATTTTGACAAATACTTTTAAAATTGGGTAACTTTCTTGTTGACTCACCCTGTATAGTTTTCTTTAAATATTAAAAATTCAGCTTTTCATGAATTGTAGGGGCTAAAGGCTGAAATTACAACGCTTTTGTTCAATGAAATGGACAGCAGCTGGATTAAAAATATTTTATCACTGGCGTCTTTTATATACCCTTACCAGAGTGATTTTTTTAAAACAAAATTAGACAAGTTTATATTTGGCCTTTATCCAAGTTATCACCATATAATCTTAACCTTGGTTAAACATTGTTTTAGAACTACGGCTTGCAATAGAACATAAATCTATGGAAGGGGATGAAGCCACTTCTCGTAAATAGGTGTATAATGGCAGCCGTAGCCCTTGGTGATATATATAAATCATTATTTATTTCATTAAGAATAAAAGACTGTACACAAAACCCAGGACACGGTTTTGAAAAACCAAAACCCATGCAGGGTGGACACAACGAGATAAATACTTGTACTATACGATCCAAATTACTACACAACCATTAAGCTCATTAGAATGTCATAAGCAAACTTCAGGCAGGTCGACAACAAAGGTAAATTGCATTGAAATTAAATTATTAACTAAGAATAAAAATAAGTTACGTCAGGTATACCGGTGTCACATGAAAATCCGACTCCTATGAAAATCGGACCCCTATTTCCCTATTATTGGTTGATCCCTCGCACGTGACAGGTCACTCTCCCGAAACGATCCTAAAAATAGCATAGTATCGTACTCACGCGTGCGCAGCACTACCAATGAGTCCACATTTCATGGAGTCGGATATCCACGCTACACCTGCCTTGTTCATGAGACAACGGACAAGAATTCAAAACACGGTTCAAATATTTTGTCGCTGGCGTCTTTTCTAACCATACCAGTTTGTATTTGAATGATTTATTGAAGAGTGCGATGAACCCAACACCTTTGGACCATACTGCACTCAAACCTGCCACTGCGCTGAAGGCATCAGGTGCTTAACGGACACTGGCGAATGCAACGATCCATCATGCACCGACGAATACTGCCCTCAACGCTGCGCTTCAGGCTGGAAGGGAAGGAATTGTCAAGGTATGACATATTGCAGACTATAGGGGGCGCAATACTTATAAAACCAAGGCAAAGGGCAAATAGGATACTGTTGTTGTTAGATACTTTTTTAACTCGATCCCAGAAAATGAGTCTTACGAACAACTTCATTGATTTAGCTAGCGGGGGTAATGGGGTGTTTAATCGTGCCTTTTTTTTTTTTTACGAAAGTGCATTTTTCCGCAGCAGCCTTTTTTAACGAGTGCCCTGTTTAGAATTTCGCGCGAATGTCGGCAATGGAGCATGAAAGGATGCAATTTTGCCTTTGAGCTTCCGGACCCCTGGGCGACCCTTATATGGGCATTTTATACGGGGTTGCCCTTTCTCTTGCTATAATTTTGGACAAAATGATTTCTAACCGTAAGCATCAAAAGAAACATTCATATTGGACTTTAGTCTTGGCGTTCCACAAAGAAAAAAAACAATGAGAAATCAGTTGGAGATCGGTAAAAACGAATTTTACTTACAACCGTTCACAGCTAGATTGTCGTACATAGTAGGTCTCCTTGTTTGATCATGTTTTTTTTTCAATCGTGTAATTGCGAGAGAACGAAAACTAATGACAACGACGCAAATATTTACCTACCTACATCCGATGAATTATAAATCAAGTCGGGCTAAGATATCTTAGATATTTGTCCTTTTTACATTTTAACCCCCTAGGTTTTTTTCCAGGAATTTTAATCGTCTGTTTCTCTTCATGATAATAGTTCAGACGCCGTGCCCGCTCGGTTACTATGGCGAGATTTGTACACAAAGCTGCAATTGCCGTGACAACCAAGCATGCAATGAGGAGTCAGGAGACTGCATCGACGGCTGTGCAGACGGCTACAGGGGAGCGGCTTGTGACCAAGGTTAGAAATGTTGCCTTTGAAAATTCGAGCGATTCACAATGCAGTGCGCCACCAAAAGTTTTCCGTGGAGAGTCCATATTTCAAGTTTACGGTCGACAAAACATGGCCCATTTGAATGAGTGTCAGCAGACAACTTGAGCCATTTTGTTATCGATTGGGGTAAAGTGTTCTACCACCTTACAAAAAAAACACCATATTAATAAAAAGACAATAAAAGGGCAAACAGATACTCGAATCATATGCTTACGAAACTATAGTTGACTGGAAAAACTAACAACTTCAAATGTCCCGCGCTGTGAATTTGTCGAGCATCTCCCACAATGCACTGGGACAAATAAACTCTCAATGGCAAACTCATGGCGGTGCACTGCATTGTGATTCGCCCGAATTAGCTGCCATGCCAAACTAAGAAATATATGACAAGTGTCTTAATAAACTCAGTTGTCAGGTTTTCAGGTCTTAGAAATGATCTCATGAACCTAGCTTTAACAAAAGTCCCCCCCCCCCACAATAATTCTAAAAACCCAAAACCTGAAGTGAATATCCGTATGCTGCAACTGGTTTTGTAAACACGTTGCCAGAAATTCCAATTGGCATGAAAATACCAAACTTGCATTATTTAGTGTTCAAACTTAGCAAAACAAATATCGGAAATTGTTCGCTATGTTGGAAAGCCACTTACCTATTCTAAATTCTACTTTACCTTTTTTTTTTTTTTAGATGTAACCAGAACCATTGTCGATTTTGGACAGACCGGTAAACCCAACGCCGGCCAGCCAGTAACTGTTTATTGTGAGACAGTGGGGAACCCCCTACCCACAGAAGATGACATCATTCTACTGGATGCCAGTAATCAGCAGATCGATCCCTTTAGTTCCATCAACTCCACTGGTTTCAATGACTACAGGAGAATCAACGAGTACGTCTTGACTGGAGACGATGCAGCCTCGGGAGCACGATTGACTTGCAACCTTCGCCAACTCGACAGCACCTCTCTCGCTACATACCTAACGCTGGATGTATATGGTGAGATAGCATGTAGAAATGTTTTAGGGGCACTTTGTCAGAGGGTTAGAACAGACACAAAACTGCTAAGACAAAAAGACCTCGAAATGTCAATCTCCTTGAAGATACATACTCTAACACAGTGCAGAATGTGTTCAAGAATGGTTGGTAAATGTCAGGTTTATGGCCAACCGTCGTTTCGCCCTTCGCTACTTTCCACTGCATGATACTTGAACATTCAATTGTTGCCCTTCACCGACGTATTTACACTGTATACTCAGTGTGTTACCACATATAATTCCATCTTAACAACTTTGCTTAATTCGGAATTTAAAATTGTTTGCGAAGTTCAACATGCGTGTGTGTGTATGTGTTGGTGAAAATGGGGTTGAAAAAATGGCATCCAATAAAAATACTAATGTTTTATTAATTTGTTTATGTATTTCGTTTTATTTTACCAGGGTAGCCCCATCAGTAAAATGATCTCCCTGGGGGCCCTGGATTACATAAAAACATGATAACATGATATAATAACTGCAAAATTACCCCCCCCCCTCCAAAAGACACACACACACACGCACACACACACAGACTTGTTTCACATACCTAGTGTGGACTTTCGTTTCTTTTCGTGTAGTTAAGGAACACCAGTGGAAAAACTCATTTTTCTCAAACTGTGAAAACTCTTACAACCCAATTTTTTTTCAATGATTCCCTTTAGTGTTTCTCTTCATTCTTCTACGGATAAACCTAACCCAAAAATGCCTCTAAACCTGTTTTCCAGAAATGGGGAAACACTGTGTGGACGTGGGCAAGTCCACACTTCGTCGCTGCTACCTACATTATGTGGACGTCTTTTGTTCGGAAGTCCACACTGCGTATGTAAGACAAGCTCACCCACGCACGCACCCAAACAGTCGTTTTTTGCTATGCTTCCGAGGATTGGCTTTGTGTTTTCCTTTGTTCCCTGATCTAAACCTTTCCCATAGACTTAGTGCACAAACCGGCGTTCGAGGACAATATGCACCGTCGTTCGAGGATGAATGGCCCCTTTGTGCTCCTTTTGTTGTCTGTCCTGGAGCGTAATACAATACAGGAACATTCGTAAACACCTTCAATCGTGGACCCTCTATTGTCCCTCTTTTGTTTGTGTATCAACTTTTTAGGAAGACCTCCCATATGTTTTGTACGCGATCGTCAATTGTCTTCTATTGCTCAATGTCCTCTATAGACCTTTATCGTGCTGCCACCATTTCAGTCATGTTCCCTGTATCCAATAGCAGTACTGAATGCTAATGTTTTTTGTGCAAAAGGGAACCAGACTATTTTTCCTTCCAGCCTCGCTTTGGTTGATACATTGATTTGAATGGGAAAAAAATCAAATGGCTGCAACATGATAATGGTCTATTGAATGCAAAAAGAAACCCGTACAGACACACCCACACACGTCTGATAGTTGCAGGTTACATTGTGACAACCAAATAATGATTGAAAAGGTGTAAAATGCAATGAAATATCAAGGATTAATAGTAACTTGTGGCGTTTTTTTTCTCTGCCAGATCTGCCGTTTCTTGCATCAGCCCCGTACATAGGTTTCACTGATTCTGCAAGCATCATTGTCAGATGGAGTCCGTGGACCTCTACGCAGGGTCGTGGGGACGGGCCCGTCCTACGCATCGAGGTCCATTACCGGCTCCGAAGCGACGACGTGGACGATACTACGTATGCGTTTGTAGAAACAGCGGCCACCAACACTAGCACCTCATTGATCATCAGGGGACTGGAGGTAGACACCGAGTATGACTTTGTCGTCGTGGTAGTGAGGGAGGGGGGTGGTGGGGCTGGACCCCCTAGCCCTAAGGTGACAATCGGAACGACCTGTGCAAGTAAGATAATAGTGCAGGATTGAGATTGGAAAATGAACTTTGAAAGGTTTGCAGTATCACACAATAACGTGCAATTTTTATCGTACGATGAAAGCCCGGCGATGTGTCAGTAGATGCAAGGTGATAGTTGGCATTATGAAGCATTAGGGGCCAGCAAAGTTGTTCACTGTTGCAAATTCAAAGCACAAATGCTGGCCGAGACAATTCATGTTTGGGATTCCTTTTGTGCCAAGTTTGAATTGGAGCTGAACAGCCCAACGAGTTTACTGCGATTGTTAGGAGATGTATTCAAATAAGGTTGAGTTCAAGCTTTTGTAAGAAGTTGAAACAAAATTTGGATAGTTTGCAGTAGCAACATCCAATATCTGTTGAAACAAGGCCTGTTCATCCTTCACAGGATTTCCCAGCTGTGGGTGTCGGTGGATGTTAGAAACTAGTGCGGTCGAATGTCCCCCCCCCCATCTATGTGTTTAATGTAAAGCTAATCCTTCCGTCTTATACAATGGTCATGTTTCATTTCTATAGCTCCAACGGCAGACCCGATTGCGCAGCTTGATGTTCTTAGCGGCACTGAACTACGTCTTTCATGGCAGGTTTGTATAGAAGATGTATTGTACCGTGATTCATGCCCTCGACAAGATCGGGGTTATTTAAAGAAGTAGTTCTTACTTGTTGATGTTTTGATGTACTGTCTTGAGGATTAAGCTCATTAATTATCTGGAACAAGTAATGGGCAAATTTGTCCCCAATGTGCAATAAAGTGGTTGACAGTATCGCCCCGTAATGTTGACATCGGGGTGTATTTGTTGGAAAATTCGATAACAATTACAATGCAACTATTGCAGAAAAATTATCGAATGCCCTGTTTATTCACCTCGACTTGTTTATATTAGTTCCCGCCTGAATCCACGTGGCAGTGTCGCAGTTTGCAGTATGTCCAGGTCTACCAGAAACAAAGCTCCGATAGTGAATTTCCCAGTAACGCCATAGAGTACGAATCCACGGGAACGTTTACCACTCTCGGTTCCCTGGTACCCTGCAACAGCTATGATGTGTACGTTACGTTCAGCAACCGAGATGGGTTCTTCAGTCCGGACAGTAGCGTAGTCAGTGCAGCCACTGCAACCACAGGTAGAATGGATTGGTGGTATTCAAGGAACTTAAGTTTGGCCTAATAAATCCTACAATATAGTATTGATTGCCTTATGTGCCTCGTGCGTGAACCAGTGTGCTTTTTTGACCATTTTTGAGAGCCCGGTTGACGGGACACACCACGTGTGCGTTTACTGGTTCTCTCGCGTATCCGGTTCGTATACACGCGCGCGCGCCACTGACGACTAGCGCCCATTGGATAAACACTCAAGTTGCGTTAACTTCCGGTTCAAATGCATGGCTCCAACCACTGATCTGAGAAATCAGTGGTTCCAACGCTACTAAATGTGCAGTGGGCGTTGTTTAAATCGAAGTGACGTCAAACTAACGAAAAAAACCATTAAATTTGATCATTGTTTTATTCCTTGTGTTTAACAGTTCTTGTAAATTTGAAAGACTATTTAAACGTTGAAGAAACGGGGAGCCAATATAATATTGCACCATTTCAATTGTATCCGTCTATGCATTTCAAAGTACATACACTAGCTTGGGAAACATTCCTCAGTACTCTTACAGTAGAACCTGGCCAGGAAAGTGCCAGTGTGCCAATCGAGTTGAATCTTTGCATTCTTAGTTGTTAAAAAAACAAATACAAATGTCACTACCAGTATATGCCTCTCACGCCAAGATGCTAGGAACTTGTGCTCATTCGTATGAATGTAAATAATGCGAATAATTGTACTCCATGCGGTACGCACAAAGCCAGTATGAACGCGCAGTAAGGCCAAAAAAAAAATATTCGGTCTCGGGTCAGACCAAAGTTCCGGAATTGACACGGGGACGCGGCTTTTTTTGGGGGGGGCTTTTTTTTTTCTTCAAGCTTGGATTGTACAGACAAGGTGGGGTACTATTTTGCTTTTTTTTTCGTGTCCTCATGTACACTGGTGTCCTCCATAATTTGCCTTGGTGCTCTCGATCATTTGCCTTGGTGCAATTTCCCATTCCTTGGTGCTCTTTGGTAAAAAAAAAATTGAGGAGGGGCAGCAGTAGAGGGCGCTGTTGGAGCTACCGCGGAACGTTTTGGAAAAAAAAAATTGACGCGCATGATTAAAATCGACGCGCGCGCTGACCAGAGACCGACTTATTTTTTGTTGGCTTAACCTACGCTTGAGTGGTCCATTTGACTTAAGCATTTGTCTCTTACTGATTTTTTGTTCAATTTGTTTCACAGCTCCTGGTCCGGTGACCTCATTGCAAATGTTTCCCCCAACCGTTGGTTCACACCATCAGCTTGGAGTCAGTTGGTCGTCACCGTCAGCAGCCGACAACAATTGCCAGGTCGATGCTTACATCATAGGTCACTCTCTGACGAGGATAAAGGCATGCGGCTCATCCGGCACTGACCCTGGTACCGTATCGCAAAGAGTCTTTAGTGTTGTCACTGCAGTGTCATTGAACAACCTTAAACCGTACTCCAGCTACAGGGTGTCCGTGGTCGCTGTGAATTCAGCAGGGAATTCCACTGTTATCACATCGTCGGCAGACACAAGTTCAACAGGTCAGTCCATGTCGTTGAAAAAGTTGGGCATTTTCCTGCAATACGAATACAATTCTGAGCATGATGAACGAAATTTGTTGATAGTCTTAATGTAAGTACAACAGAATAACCCATCAGAACCTCTACCTCATTGTCTTACATTATCGTTACTTCTTGAAGGGCAACTTATGTTCCCAGGTTAACTTCTATATTCCCCGAAACACCAGAAAATCAGGAGACAGAGCATTTTCAATCGCATGCCCTAGCAGGCTCCATCAACTTAAAATTGTGCTCCGTGGCCAAGTTTAAAGGGGCACTGAAGACATAGCCTACTTGTTCAATATGTAACTTCCTTGTCAGACCTGTCCTGCGCGCATGCTCGTCTCAGAGAGTCCATTCACTCCTTGGTTTTCCTGTGATCGCTTCCCTTTGCGCTTTTATCGCTGGGCTGTCTTGTCTGAGCGCCGCGGGCTGGGCCTGGCAGTGGTTTTAACATTTGATTTTCCCTTATTCTATCTTTGTCATTGTTGTATTTTATTGGTCTATTTCTGAGCTATACAAATTGTGTTATTACTATGATTAATGATATTTATTATTGATGAATGCACAAAAAACCAAAACCAGTGCAGGGCGGTACAGGGGCTAAGGATTCAGAGGTTTTTTTTAAAGGGACTAAAATTGTATTAATTAAACTTACAACAGCGATAATATTTTAAGTTATTTGTACAGAGAAACTAGACGTTCGGAGGAAAATGGATTTTCTAGCCTGAAAAAATAGACTAGTTCAATTAAATAAATTCATTTCACAAGGTAGCTAGAAGTAGAAAAATATGTCAAACACTAGTGCACATGTCAAGATTGTGGCGATCGCTTTAAAGACAAACTATTGCATTAGACTTTTGAATTTATAGTATGTAAGCCTACATGTAAAATTCAATATTCCTTCTAATTATCAAGTTATACATACATGCATGAGCACAAGTTTATGGTGTAAGTCGAGGACACACATTTGAATCATCATCGAGTAATCGAGGACAGGAGTCAAATCGAGGACGACGTCTATCAGAAAACGTGTACAAAACCAATGGGAGCTGTTGCCAAAAAAAGTTAGTATAAACGAAAGATCGGTGATGAGTAACAACAGAAAATCCTCGATTTTGTTACACCATAAACAAACCCTGGAGGGTCATCACCGCATGATGAGGAAGTTGTTTATTGTTAGGCAAATTAGGACCGAGTTGGGGGAACTTATTGCTGTCCCCATAGCGTCTCCGGTCCCCATAGTACCATGGGACAACACGTGTGTAGTCCCCACAATTACGGAACAAGAATGAATGTGTATACATGTACATGGGTCTTAAGTAGAAAACACAGTAAAACCAAAAACCATAAGGACGGTCGTTAGAAATCAATTTACCTCATATTTTTATGATATTTCAATAGGAACAAAAGAAAACAAAAGAAGAGAAGCAGACGTCTTCCCCACAAGTATAGGTTTGTAAGGATGTGTGACTTTATTAGGACATTTGAGATTTAATACAATTTTTAATCCTTATTTTGTCCCAGGAAATCTATTTGATTCTTCTTTTTCAATTTTGACAGTGCCAAGCTTTGTACCAACGGTGAACGTACTGGATTCCGATATTACTTCCAACAGCATACGTTTCACATGGGATGAGGTTTCCTGTGAAGATGTGAACGGTCCGTACTCAAGCTACACTTACCACCCTGTGTTGACAAACCTTGCAACTGATGATTCGTCAACATACTCCACAAACAATGAAGTAAAAACGGTGATTGGGCTGACCCCCTGCACAATGTACAGTTTTCAGGTCGCAGTTGTCAATACTGTTGGAATCGGAACTTACAGCAATGCTACTGAGGTGACTACCAAGACAGTGGGTAAGTTGAGACTGAAGTGAAGATCTTGAAATCGATTTGGAGAAATCGATTTAGAGATATGTTGAAAAGAGATATCATAAAATGATTTAGAGATATCTTTAAATGATTTAAAACATCTCTAAATCATTTCGATATATCTCAAAATCGATTTAGAGATATCTCGAACGAAATCATTTCGAGACATCTTGATATAACTAAAAGTACCATAGTAACTTGAATAAATTGCGCGCCATAATGCAATCCCAATTCAATCGCAAGTGTATCACAAGTGCATCACAAGTCAATCATGAAGCCAATAACCGGCCAATCACAAGTCCATCAGAAACCATTGCAATCAATCAGAAGTCAATCACAGGCCAATCATCTGCAGCTCACAAGTAGCCGGGGATGAGCAATGCAAATGGAATACATTGGCCGTGTCATTAGCTTGTCAATTATTGGTTTGAGACCGGATATGACTTGTGATTGCCTTGTGATGACTTGTGAATGCCTTGTGATGACTTGTGATGACTTGTGGATTGTGATTGCCTTGTAATGACTTGATAACAGTTCTTGGTTCAGTCACTTGGTTCAAACATCAAAAAATAAAACTACCAAATCATTTTGAAATACCTTGCTGGACTGTTAGTGAATGACAGTGTAAAGCATCCTGTAAAATCATGGCACCTGGTATACTGTCATTTCAAGAAAAGTGGTATTTTTGTATCAATTTCCAACGCTGGTCGGCCGACCAGCGTTGGAAAAACTTTTTTTCAAATACTGGCCCAATTGACCATCGCACTTGTTTGCAATTGATTACACACCTATGAACGGGTACAAGCCAGCTAGACTGGTTCCCTGACCTTACAATTCCCCAATGTATGTAAACTGCTCTGTTTCTTCTTATATGGAGTCAGGGAACCAGACTACGGGAAAATGATTGTTTTTCTTGGTTTTTATAGCATTTTCGAACCCAAAACCTCAAAAAAAAATCAGTGTAACTATATTTGCTATATATTTCCAACCCCCCAATTCCATCCATTTCTGAAAATTCCAGCAAAAGCAAATGATGTATATTCCGTTTAAGTACCTTTTTGTTTTGTTTCAATTTAAATGTTTAGAATGACAAGCAGTTGTCTTCAAATTCTGGTATTTAAAGTTTCTTTCCTTTTCACTACAGTTCAATCTCAGGTTAGTGATTTATCCGCTGAGGCTGTTGACGGCTATCCCACTGTCCTCCGTGTTCGGTGGAATCTACCGTTTGGCAACTGCCCCATAGATCACTACACAGTCAGCTATGACTTGTATTGGTTATTGCGGTGCGAATATCCAGCTAGCAATCGCATCGTAGCAGGAAGAACGACCGATATGGAGTACAACATTACCAGCCTCTTCCCAAACTCTAGGTATAAAGTGTATGTCAGGGCAACGACCTCAGTCGGTGAGGGGGTTGAAGATGTTGCATATGTTTATACTGCCGAAGCAGGTGAGTAAATTTAAAGTCGCTCTTACTTTGATTTGTTTTCACCCCGTAAAACATATTTTATTTTAAAAGCTTTTAGGAACATTTTTTCACATTAATTTTGAAAATATCAGAACATATTCTTTCACAATTGAAAGGAAATTGCTAAAAACGCATGGAATTCTTTTGCTTCGGAAAACCAAATCAAAAAAACCTGCCGAAATGTCACATTCCTTATTATTGGTTCTTTTAACGCAATTATAGCTGCATGGTCTCATCTAAGCTTCTAAAACTTTTCAGTTATGTTTTCTGGGTCCTTCCTTTTTTTATGGTTTTCATTTTTGTTTGGGTCATTTTTTCTGTTACCAGCCCCATCCGAACCTCCCCAGAACGTCATCAACACGACAACGCTAAAGCGTAGTCTGAGGTTCGCCTGGCAGTCACCGTCATGCCCTGGTCGTCGTGGTGTGATTGTCGGCTACACGTACCTACTAATTGATCTAGAAAGAGGCGGGGAGAATGTGACAGAAGACACCAGCTCATCTGTGACGGACGCTTACATTGATGGTCTGGTACCATACACCCTGTACTCATTCCAAGTCCTGGCACGCACCGCGGCCGGAGATGGTCCCTATAGTGATGCTATAAATCTACGCACAGACCAAGCAGGTAAGTAAAAAACAAAGTCCTTCTTGCTTAACTTTTTAATTTACTGAGAATTCAGCAAATCTAAGAATACAAGTTTGCACGGTAAACTACATGTAGTATGTAGAAATGAAGTACGACCTACACACTTTCTACTAAGGACAGTTCCAGAGCGTTGCAAAAACAGGAAAAAATACGAAGTAGACTTGTATGTATTTCAGGCCTGAAAAACAATAATAGGTGTGTTAGCACACACTATATAATGTCACTTTCCATTCGGCATCTATCTCCTCATGATATTATTCTTACCATTGCACTAAAACTATTCAAAGTTTGTTTACCGAGTGACCAATAAAACTAGTGCCCTCGAAAGCATTATGTCTTAGAACGATCCGTTTGGTCCGCCCACTATAGGATTTTATTCGGACATTCATCACGGTTGTAAATGGTCAAAACGTCATGGGGCTGGGAAATGGACCAGTCTATTGGTTTCAGGATAGGATGGTGAATGTATATAACTGTAGGGTCCTAGTTAAATAACCAATTGGAATATTTGGTGTGTGTTTTGGAGGTGTGGGGGGGGGGGTAATTTTGCCGTTATTATATCATGTTATCCTGTTTTTATGTAATCCAGGGCCCCAGGGAGAACAGTTCACTGATGGGGCTACCCTGGTAAAATAAAACGAAATAAATAAATCAATCAATCAATAAATACATAAATAAAACTTGTGTATTTTTATTAGATTCCATTTTTCTCAACACCATTTTTACCCACACACACACACCCACACACGCTATATAGGCATATAGAAGTGGGGTACTTCCTTTGTTCTCGTGTTCTAACATTTTGCAACGTCACACACTAATTTCAAAATAGTCTTATTTTAACCTGAATTCATTTCCTGAAATTCGGACTTAATACCCCTTTTCTAAAACTCTTGCATTTGCGACAGATCAACCCACCTTGGAAATTCCTAGTTTTGGAGTAAAATTCATATATCTATTTCATGAAAAACGTGTGGGTCACCAAAACGGTACCCCGCAAGTCGGTGGGCATTCCTTGTGGGGTACCTCCCATTGTTCCGGTACCCCACAAGGCAGTGGTTGTACACGCACAAGTTCGTCAACACCTTCAATCGTGGACCCTCTATTGTCCCTCTTTTGTTTGTGTATCAACTTTTTAGAAAGACCTCCCGTATGTTTTGTACGCGATCGTCAATTGTCCTATATTGCTCAACGTTCTCTATAGACCTTTATCATGCTGCCACCATTTAAGTCATGTTCCCCGTATCCAATAGCAGTACTGAATGCTAATGGGTTTTTTTGTGCAAAAAGGAACCAGACTAAATTTTTCCTTCCAGCCTCGCTTTGGTTGATACACTGATTTGAATGGGGAAAAAATCAAATGGCTGCAACATGATAATGGTCTATTGAATGCAAAAACAAACCCGTACAGACACACCCACACACGTCTGATGGTTGCAGGTTATACATTGTGACAACCAAATAATGATTGAAAAGGTGTAACATGCAATGAAATATCAAGGATTTATAGTAACTTGTGGCGTTTTTTCTCTGCCAGATCTGCCGTTTCTAACATCAGCCCCGTACATAGGTTTCACTGATTCTGCAAGCATCATTGTCAGATGGAGTCCGTGGACCTCTACGCAGGGTCGTGGGGACGGGCCCGTCCTACGCTTCGAGGTCCATTACCGGCTCCGAAGCGACGACGTGGACGATACTACGTATGAGTTTGTAGAAACAGCGGCCACCAACACTAGCACCTCATTGATCATCAGGGGACTGGAGGTAGACACCGAGTATGACTTTGTCGTCGTGGTAGTGAGGGAGGGGGATGGTGGGGCTGGACCCCCTAGCCCTAAGGTGACAATCGGAACGACCTGTGCAAGTAAGATAATAGTGCAGAATTGAGATTGGAAAAATGAACTTTGAAAGGTTTGCAGTATCACACAATAACGTGCAATTTTTATCGTACGATGAAAGCCCGGCGATGTGTCAGTGGATGCAAGGTGATAGTTGGCATTATGAAGCATTAGGGGCCAGCAAAGTTGTTCACTCTTGCAAATTCAAAGCACAAATGCTGGCCGAGACAATTCATGTTTGGGATTCCTTTTGTACCAAGTTTGAATTGGAGCTGAACAACCCAATGAGTTTACTGCAATTGTTAGGAGACGTATTCAAATAAGGTAGACTCAAAGCTTTGGTAAAAAGTTGAAACAAAGTTTTGATAGTTTGCAACAGCAACATCCAATATCTGTTTAAACAAGGCCTGTTCATCCTTCACAGGATTTCTCAACTGTGGGTGTCTCTGGATGTTAGAAACTAGTGCGGTCGAATGTTTACTCAAGCTATGTGTTTAATGTAAAGTAAGTCCTTCAGTCTTATACAACGGTCATGTTTCATTTCTATAGCTCCAACGGCAGACCCGATTGCGCAGCTTGATGTTGTGAGCGGTACGGAACTACGTCTTTCATGGCAGGTTTGTTGAAGTCTTTACGTATATGTACTGTGATTCATGCCTTCAACAAGATCGAGGTTATTTAAAGGAGTAGTTCTTACATGTTGATGTATTTATGTAGTGTTCAGCTAATTGATTATCCGGAACAAAGTATGGGCAAATTTATCCCTAATGCCATATGCATCATCCGATAATGTAGTCATTGGCTTTTAATTAACGTCATTGTTGAAAATTTGATACCTGGTACAATTCAATTATTGCTGAGTATTATTGACTGCCCTGTTTATTCACCTTTTTTATTAGTTCCCTCCAGAATCCACGTGGCAGTGTCGCAGTTTGCAGTATGTCCAGGTCTACCAGAAACAAAGCTCCGAGAGTGAATTTCCCAGTAACGCCATACAGTACGAAGCCACGGGATCATTCACCACTCTCGGTTCCCTGGTACCCTGCACCAGCTATGATGTGTACGTTACATTCAGCAACCGAGATGGGTTCTTCAGTCCGGACAGTAGCATAGTCAGTGCAGCCACTGCAACCACAGGTAGAATTGTTTGGTTGTATTCAAAGAACTTAAGTTTGGCCTAATAAATCCTACAATATAGTATTGATTGCCTTATGTGCCTCGTGCGTGAACCAGTGTGCTTTTTGACCATTTTTGAGAGCCCAGTTGACGGGACGCACCACGTGTGCGTTTACTGGTTCTCTCGCGTATCCGGTTCGTATACACGCGCGCGCGCCACTGACGACTAGCGCCCATTGGATAAACACTCAAGTTGCGTTAACTTCCGGTTCAAATGCATGGTTCCAACGCTACTAAATGTGCAGTGGGCGTTGTTTCAATCGAAGTGAAGTCACACTAACGAAAAATCAGTGAATTCGATCATTTCACTATTCATTGTGTTTATAAAAGTTCTTGTAAATTTGAAAGACTTTCAAAGGTTGAAGAAACGGGGAGCCAATATATTGCACCATTTCAATTGTATCCGCTCTATATGCATTTCAAAGTACATACATAGCTTGGGAAACATTCCTCAGTAGTCTTACAGTAGAACTTGGCCAGGAAAGTGCCAGTATGCCAATCGAGTTGAATATTTGCATTCTTAGTTGTTAAAAAAACAAATACAAATGTCACTACCGGTATACGCCTCTCGCGCCAAGATGCTTTGAAGTACTGCACATTCATATGAATGTAAATTGTGCATAGTCGTACTCCATGCGGTACACACCAAACCAGTACGTGCACATGCAGTATGCTTGAGTGGTCCATTATTCATTAGCATTTGTCTCTTACTGATTTTGTCTTAAATTTGTTTCACAGCTCCTGGTCCGGTGACCTCATTGCAAATGTTTCCCCCAACCGTTGGTTCACACCATCAGCTTGAAGTCAGTTGGTCGTCACCGTCATCAGCGTCATCAGCCGACAACAATTGCCCGGTCGATGCTTACATCATCAGTCACTCTCTGACGAGGATAAAAGCATGCGGCTCATCCGGCACTGACCTTGGTACCGTATCGCAAAGAGTCTTTAGCGTTGTCACTGCAGTGTCATTGAACAACCTTAAACCGTACTCCAGCTACAGGGTGTCCGTGGTCGCTGTGAATTCAGCAGGGAATTCCACTGTTATCACATCGTCGGCAGACACAAGTTCAACAGGTCAGTCCATGTCGTTGAAATAGTTGGGCATTTTACTGCAATACGAATACAATTCTGAGCATGATGAACGAAATTTGTTGATAGTTTTAATGTAAGTACAACAGCATAACCAATCAGAACCTCTACTTCACTGTCTTACATTGTCGTTACTTCTTGAAGGGCAACTTATGTTCCCAGGTTAACTTCTATATTCCCCGAACCACCAGAAAATCAGGAGACAGAGCATTTTCAATCGCATGCCCCAGCATGCTTCATCAACTTAAAATTGTGCTCCGTGGCCAAGTATATAGGGGCACTGAAGACAGAGCCTACTTGTTCAATATGTAACTTCCTTGTCAGACCTGGCCTGCCCGCGTGCTCATCTCGGAGAGTCCATTCACTCCTTGGTCTCCCTATGATCGCTTCCCTTTGCGCTGCTATCGCTTGGCTGTCTTGTCTAAGCGCCGCGGGTTGGGCCTGGCAGTGGTTTTAACATTTGGTTTTCCCTTATTCGATCCTTGTCATTGTATTTTATCGTTCTTTTTCTGTGCGTTTTGTTACCGTAGAAAAAGGCGCTATATAAATTGTATTATTATCATGATTATTTTTTATTTTTGATGAATCGACAAAAACCTAAATCAGTACAGGGCGGTACAGGGGCTATTAAGGATTCAGAGTTTCATCAAAGGGACTAAAATGTATTAATAACACTTAGAACAGAGGTAACATTTTAAGTTATTTTGTACAGGGAAACTAGACTTTCGGTGGAAAAGGGATTTTCTAGTCTGAAAAAAATAGACTAGTTCAATTAAATAAATTCATTTCACAAGGTAGCTAGAAGTAGAAAAATATGTCAAACACTAGTGCACATGTCACGATTGTGGCGGTCGCTTTAAGGCAGACTATTGCATTAGACTTTTGAATTTATAGTATGTAAGCCTACATGTAAAATTAAATATTCCTTCTAATTATCAAGTTATACATACATGCATATGAGCGCAAGTTGATGGTGTAAATCGAGGACACTCGTGACATTGTGAAGCATCATCGAGTAATTGAGGACAGGAGTCAAATCGAGGACGACCTCGATTGGAAAACGTATACAAAACCTATGGGAGCTGTTGCAAAAAAAGTTAGTAAAAGATCGATGATGAGTAACAACAGAAAATCCTCGATTTTTTTACACCATAAACAAACACTGGCCGAGGCCATCACCGCATTTTGAGCAAGTTGTTTATTGTTAGGCAAATTAGGACCTATTGTGAGGACTTATTGCTGTCCTCGGGCCCCATAGTACCATGGGACAACACGTGAGTAGTCCCCACAAATACGGTGTAGCGTGAATATCCGACTCCATGAAATGTGGACTCATTGGTAGTACTGCGCACGCAATAATAGGGAAATAGGGGTCCGATTTTCATAGGAGTCAGATGTTCATGTTACAACGGAACAAGAATGAATGTGTATATGTACATGGGGTCTTAAGTAGAAAACACAGTAGAACAAAAAAACATAAGGACGGTCGTTAGAAATCAAAAACATTTTTTTTTTTATATGATATTTCAATATGAACAATCAAAACAAAAGAAGAGAAACAAAGGCCTTCCACACAAGTATACGTGTGTAAGGATGTGTGATTTTATTAGGACACTTGAGATTTAATACAGTTTTTAATACTTATTTTGTCCCAGGGAATCGATTTATTTCATTCTTCTTTTTCAATTTTGACAGTGCCAAGCTTTGTACCAACGGTGAACGTACTGGATTCCGATATTACTTCCAACAGCATACGTTTCACATGGGATGAGGTTTCCTGTGAAGATGTGAACGGTCCGTACTCAAGCTACACTTACCGACCTGTGTTGACTAACCTTGCAACTGATGATTCGTCAACATACTCCACAAACAATGAAGTGAAAACTGTGATTGGGCTGACCCCCTGCACAATGTACAGTTTTCAGGTCGCAGTTGTCAATACTGTTGGAATCGGAACTTACAGCAATGCTACTGAGGTGACTACCGAAACAGTGGGTAAGTTGAGACTGAAGTGAAGATCTTGAAATCGATTTGGAGAAATCGATTTAGAGATATGTTGAAAAGAGATATCATAAAATGATTTAGAGATATCTTTAAATGATTTAAAACATCTCTAAATCATTTCGATATATCTCAAAATCGATTTAGAGATATCTCGAACGAAATAATTTCGAGACATCTTGAAATAACTAAAAGTACCATTATAACTTGAACAAATGTCACTATTGCGCGCCATAATGCAATCCCAATTCAATCACAAGTTCATCACAAGTGCATCACAAGTCAATCATAAAGCCAATCACCGGCCACTCACAAGTCCATCATGAACCATTGCAATCAATCAAAAGTCAATCACAAGCCAATCATCTGCAGCTCACAAGTAGCCGGGGATGAGCAATGCAAATGAAATACATTGGTCGTGTCATTAGCTTGTCGATTATTGGTTTGAGACTGGATATGACTTGTGATTGCCTTGAGATGACTTGTGATTGCCTTGTGATGACTTGTGATGACTTGTGAATTGTGATTGCCTTGTGATGACTTGATAACAGTTCTTGGTTCAGTCACGTTTTGACCAAAGCTACGTTAAGTACTTTTTATGTTTTACTTCAATTTGAATGTAAAGAAATGACAAACAGTTGTCTTCAAATTTTGGTATTTAAAGTTCCTTTCCTTTTAACTGCAGTTCAGTCTCAGGTTAGTGATTTATCCGCTGAGGCTGTTGACGGCTATCCCACTGTCCTCCGTGTTCGGTGGAATCTACCGTCTGGCAACTGCCCCATAGATCACTACACAGTCAGCTATGACTTGTATTGGTTATTGCGGTGCGAATATCCAGCTAGCAATCGCATCGTAGCAGGAAGAACGACCGATATGGAGTACAACATTACCAGCCTCTTCCCCAACTCTAGGTATAAAGTGTATGTCAGGGCAACGACCTCAGTCGGTGAGGGGGTTGAAGATGTCGAATATGTTTATACTGCCGAAGCAGGTGAGTAAATTTAAAGTCGCTCTTACTTTGATTTGTTTTCACCCCGTAAAATATATTTTGTTTTAGAAACTTTTTAGGACATTTTTTCACATTAATTTTGAAAATATCAGAACATATTCTTTCACAATTTAAAAGAAATTGCTAAAAACGCATGGAATTCTTTTGCATCGCAAAACCAAATCACCTGCCGAAATGTCACATTCTTTATTAGTGGTTCTTAGCGCAATTATAGCTGGTTTCAGCTAAGCTTTTCAGATATGTTTTCTGGGTCCTTCCTTTTTCATGGTTTTCATTTTCGTTGGGTCACTATTTCTGTTACCAGCCCCGTCCGAACCTCCCCAGAACGTCATCAACACGGCAACGCTAAAGCGTAGTTTGAGGTTCGCCTGGCAGTCACCTCCGTGCCTTGGTCGCCGTGGTGACATTGTAGGGTACACATACCTACTAATTGATCTAGAAAGAGGCGCGGAGAATGTGACAGCAGACACCAGCTCATCTGTGATGGACGCTTACATTGGTGGTCTGGTACCATACACCCTGTACTCATTCCAAGTCCTGGCACGCACCGCGGCCGGAGATGGCCCCTATAGTGATGCTATAAATGTACGCACAGACCAAGCAGGTAAGTAAAAAACGAAGTCCTTCTTGCTTTTTTAATTTACTGAGAATTCAGCAAATCTGAGAATACAATTTTGCAAGGTGAAGTACATGTAGTATGTAGAAATGAAGTACGGCCTACACACTCTCTACTAAGGACAGTTCCGGAGCGTTGCAAAAGCAGGAAAAAAATGTGAAGTAGACTTGCATGTATTTCAGGCCTGAAAAACAATAATGTGTGTGGGTGTTAGCACACTTTATAATGTCACATTTCGTTCGGTATCTATCTCCTCATGATATTATTCTTACCATTGCACTAAAACTATTCAAAGTTTGTTTACTGAGTGACCAATAAAACTAGTGCCCTCGAAAGCACTATGTCTTAGAACGATCCATTTGGTCCGCCCACTATAGGATTTTATTCGGACATTCATCACGGTTGTAAATGGTCAAAACGTCATGGGGCTGGGAAAATGGACCAGTCTATTGGTTTCAGGATAGGATGGTTAATGTATACTGTAGGGTCCTAGTCAAATAACCAATTGGAATATTTGACTCATTTTGGGCACTTATAACATTCCTACCGAGAGAAATAGACACTGTGCTTTAAGGTGGCGTTAGGGAGCAATGATTTCCTATCGATTCGATAGACTTGAGTTACCCTGTGCATTTGTTGTTACAATGTTATTAAATAATAAAAAACAAAGAACATGCACCCTCAGAGATACTAGCAATGCATAATGTCTAGTCTACTTAAGTTGACAATTATCGGTACATTTTATGTAGAACCACCTGAAATCACCTCCGTCACGACACCTAGCGGCAATGCCACTTCCACCACTGTCCAGTGGCCCAGGCCAGACCATAACGGCATCATCATAGCCTACTACGTAGTCTACGGAATCGTATCCCAAGGAAACCAGTCGACGCTGCAAGTCACTGAAGGACTGAACGATACCGCCATTGAAGTCGAACTGACTGGTTTGGTAACTGACAGCAATTATTCAATACAGGTATATAATTCACATTGCTTTTTCTGACGACGAACGCAATGTATCGCTCCGAATCTCATGGTTCCCTTTTTCTCTCTGTGAAATCGCAGACAATTTTACAAAAAAAATAAGATGCCTAATAATATTTAATGAAAAATGGATTCTATTTGTTGCTTCGTCGAGTTGGTCCACCACCAACTCAAATTTTTATTACTTTATAATGTTGTTCCAAACTGTGCATTGTTTGTTTGTTGGGGTGTTGGGGTGTCTGTTGGGTTGTTGGGGAGTTTGTTCGGATTGTTTAGTTTTTGTGTGTGTTTGTTTGTTTTTTGTTTTCTCAAATGCAGATCCAGGCCGAAACAATAGTGAAAAGAGGTCCGTTGAGTGAACCAATCTATCGCATCATACATTACCGAGGTGAGTAATTTGTGATCATGAAAGGAAATATAAAAATTCTGTAGTGGCTATTTGATTTGCATTTGCAATGTTGGAAATAGTAAACCGAATGGAGAAAGACCGCTGAGCACATTTTTACATGTATGGGAATCTTGGAAAGATTATGTAGTTCAAAACTTCTCAAAGTAGGTCAGTCAGAGAGGAAACATTATATACAGTTAGAGACTGGCTATAATAGTTGTCTCGGCCCCTCTCCATTAATTGGGAGAATAAAATGCACTGATTTTACAAGATCTAAATCCACATGTTCTTTTAATTGAAATCTGGAAACTTTCTTTGTAGCAACTAATGTTTCCAATTTATTACAAATAATTATTCAAGTCAACCGTGGAGCAAACCGTGGCCACTGGCCGATGTAATATTCAATTGTTTTCTTCCAAAATAAGCTTTGATCATACAGTAACGGTAAAATGTTTTTAACATTTGTAAATCAGTATCACTTGTAAGTTAATTTACTTGGATGCTAAATTAAAAAGTTTATATTAAATCGATATTTTTTAGACACCGTCCCTCCAGAATTCACAGCCAATTCCTGTCCGTCACCAATATCTCGTGTGGCTGAACTTCGAAGCATGGTAACCATGGTAACATGGACTGATCCTACAGCCACTGACAATGTTGCTCCTATTGTGCAATGCACACCGGCCTCCGGAACGAACTTCACGATTGGTCTAACACCTGTCACATGTACAGCAACGGATGCTGCTGGAAATGAGGCCACTCTTGATTGCGCCTTTAATGTGACTGTAACAGGTACACGTATATGCTTGAGTATGTTCTGAGCGTTTGAAGTAGGTCATTTGCTTGACGATTGAGAATTTCATCTTTAACGTTTGATTCACTAAATTGAATTTGTTCTGTTATACAGCCTCTATACTGCCAAATTATTATCATAGTGGAGTCATTTCTTTGTTCTTGTGTACTAAAATTTTGAGTTTGAAAATCTAGTATCAAAATGCTCATATTTTAACCAGAATTAATTTCCTGGGCTGAAATTCGGACTTAATATCCCTAACATATCATACTTCAATTTGCGACGGATCAACACACCTTGGAAATTCCTATTTTTTGGAGTAAAATTCATATATCTATTTCGTGATAACCTTGTGGAGACGTATCCACCTATAAAATTGTTCCCTATTATACACATGTCTCCACAGGGTACCGTGTATCAGACCACTTTTTGTTCAATAGTTTGTTTTGTATTTCACAGCCGATTGTGGTTGCTTTCTTCTCCTTTCAGATTTCAATGAGTGTGCAGCCTGGCTGGGTGCATATGGTCGTCACGATTGTGTCCATTCAGAGTGTAATAACACGGATGGAGGTTTCACGTGTATATGTCACAATGGCTTCAGTAAACCTAACATGAACGATCACACGTGTACAGGTAGGATGAGTCTGAACATTGCCCACTTATTTAGAAACCATTTTAATAGAAAGAGTAGTGTGATGACAATTCCAAAGTGAAGAAGCTCACATCATGAATCCAATGGCCATTCTTCAAGTATTCCAAAAGATGCTGAGATGAACAGTAAACAAATTAATAAGTGAAAGAATTCGTCGTACCAAATTGCAATTTTGATTGAATGTTCCTTTTGGAAATTGGCAATCCAGGTTTTTCATAAACGCTTTTCTTTCAGTTATACCTGAAATAGGCATTATTCTCTCCAATAAGTGCTGCACCAATAAAAAATATGTTGTCATTGTTTTGTTAAAGTATGACGCATGCATTGCATACTTCAAAAGAAAAGAAAAGATCTATCCACTTTCTGAGATTATTATCGTGTGACAAAATACCGCTGCAAGTTTGGTCCGACGAGAGGGTGTGTGTGTGTGTGTGAGTTTGTTTCTGCATTCAATAGGGGACGTTGAACAAAAGAGGACAATAGGGTCCCCGATTCCCGAAGGTCCCCAATCTCCGATCGTGTACAAAACATATTGAAGGTCTTCCTAAAATGTGAAAGTACAAACAAAAGAGGGACAATAGGGGGTCCCCGATTGCAGGCAAATACACACTTGGGCGTGTGTGTTTACCGAGCAGTTTTTTATTTAGATTTTCAACGGGGTCAAGCAATGAGGCCATAGATGTACTAATTTCTGAGTGGACAATCTGAGATAGATAATAAAGAAAATTTCTTTTTTCCCTTTTCCTTTATTTTTCATTTAAAGACACTACGCCTCCAGTCTTTCTCGCTAACACCTGTCGGTCGCCGGGTTCCAAGGTAGCATATCCTAGAAGTATGACATCAACTTCAGTTACTTGGACTACTCCTACAGCCACGGATACTACAGGAATAGCTCCTACTGTGACGTGTACACCATCAACCAATCACGCCTTTAGGATTGGTGATACTGCTGTCACATGTACAGCAAGAGATGCTGCTGGCAATATGGCTCTGATTAACTGTTTATTCACAGTCACCGTTATAGGTAGGTATATGAAATGAGTGAGATCCCTTCGTATTTCAATTATTTATTGAAAAAAAAAGGGACCGCATGCTATTGAGTCGACTTTGCTACAAACAAAACTTTCTTGCTGTTATAAATAAAGTTGAGTTGTAGAGGCTAAAAAAGACATCCAGAGAGGCCCATATTTTAAACAAACGCTAAACAAAACGACCATCAATGTGAAGTAAACACCGCAAAAAAAAAAGTCCACACTCATTAGAGGGGTTATGATCATCTTATGATAACGTCATTGATATAGACCTTTCGGGAATGTTGTTCGCTACATTTTGATACCAAAGACTGTAAATCGTCCAACAATAATAACGGTTTATGAAAAGTGATGCCGTTTGAAAAAAGTGGAAATTGCTAAGCGTGACAATGTCACACTGCCGGAAACGAACGGCAGGGAATACCGATCGCACAATGCTTGCATGCATGGGAGCATGAGAATTGAATTACCTGCGCTTTGTTTGGGCACTGTGCAGTCGATAGGGGCCAATTACGGGCATGTATAGTCACGCTGAGCAAGTTCTCCTCGCGTACTCTTTAAATTTGCAACTTTTCAAACTGCATCAGTTTTCATAAACCGTCGTCAATCTTGGACGATTTATATTCTTTGGTAGCAAACGGGGTAAAATTTAGCTAACAACATTCTCAAAAGTCTATACAAATGACGTCATCATAAGACGGTCAGATTCAAAATTATGACCCCTCCAATGAGTGTGGACTTCTTTTTTTACGGTGTTTAGTAGGCCTATGGTAGGCCTATTGTGTGTAAACTGTGCTGCCTCCATCTTGTGTTGATTGGTTAGAATAAGTGGGATTTTTCTTGTTGTTTGACGCTGATGAATTTAATATTTGTGGTATTTAGGTGATATATGTCACCCCAGCGTTTTCTTTACTATAACCTGTTTGTCAGTAAAGTTTGATTTTTTTTTGTCAATCACTGTAAATGATCAAATTGTAATTTTCCCTGTTTGGCTTCAAAATGAAGTGAACACTTGCTGAACATGTCATGTATATGCTTATTTTCTAAAGAATCCCCTTGATTTTTTTGTTCCACTGATAGATTTTGATGAATGTTCTGCAGTGACGAATGGAGATAATTGTGATACACACGCAGACTGTACAAACATTGATGGAGGTTTTCTATGCAGCTGTATAGTTGGCTACATTGGAAACGGAGTGACGTGCACAGGTATGGCGATCCATAACTAAAGAATATTATGAACACAAATTAAACTGAATTTTATTTTTTGACATGATTGAGTCTTTACTTCTGGTTTTCCTTGACTTCTCTTTTATTTAAGACGTTCCCTCCGCACCTGTCAAGGTTCTCTTGGATGATGAAGGAGACACCTGCGTGGTCACGTGGGATCCACCCGAACAAGAAAATGGCACACTTGATATAATTTCCTACAAGGTACGAAGGGTTACAACCTGTCATTTGTTTTTAGCAGCCCCCCCAAACAAACAAAAACGCACCAAAAAAACCCCTAATTCAAACAGTCCGCTTCAATTGTCCATATAACAAATGTACCGTTAAGTATAGCAATTATATTCGGTATCAGAAAAGATGGTGTAAGGGAAATTATAAAGAAGAATTTATATATGGTTAAGGTTAGGTTCGAAACCGATATAATTTTAAAACACTTTGGTAAGTTGTTCCATCGCAAAGTCTGCTTGCTCTCGTCAGTGATTCTGTTCATAGAAACGCATTGCGTTCTAACACGGCAAAGCCGTTAAGCGCGGCCACAGATACCAGCAATTAAACTTTGGAAGGCCTATAATTGAAACGTTATCACATTTTTATCGTAGATTTTCCGAAATGCGTACCTGTATCCAGACTCTGGTTCGAAACATTTGGGTGAAATCTCCGACTTGGCCGTGTCTGACTTCGTTGTCACCGATGCGACTCCAAGATTGTATGCCGTCAACAAGATGGACTTGCCTGCCTACACGCGCTACAGATTTCAGATCTCTGCGTCTACGTCAAACAGTGAAGGACCGACCAGTACAGAGACTGAGATAACCTGTGATTCTCCAAGAAGAGGTACATGAACATAGTAGTTCACGAGGCGTAAAACGGAATGTGCATATATAGTTTGTTTTCATAAACGTCAACTCTTTGTTGAACATTCAGCAGTGCTGTAGAAATTAAACCTGCTGTTTAAAGGGGTTTTTTTGGTACAGGGATATCTGAATAATGAATATGAATCAAACGGCGTCTCTCCCCTAAACATACAACATATAGTTATAAAGCAAAAAGCATGCATTTTATAAAGTGTTCAAAACACCATATAGGTTTTACAGTTTAGACACTGGGATACTGTATTTATCAAGTGTTACAACTCTTGGAAAAATTCACACATTTCAAGTCGCAGAAACAGACCAGTGTACTTGATACACGTATTGCACATCGCCTGTAGATTTTGACTTAAAGAACCTTCATCCAAACTGCTCAATGCATTTTCCTTTGAAAATGTTCCGCCTCTTGCCTTGCAATCGGACAGTTTTTTTCAGCATGTGCAATGACCTGTGCCCCCAGTCGCTAGATTTTAAATGTCAGCGCACTTTAAATTTGAAAACAAAACAACAAAAACGAACAATCCCTGCAGTAGAAGGCAACAGATTCTTAAATACCTCTACCAAGGGCAATCGTGCTTAATATATACTTTTATATGTGTAAAGATATCCATTTGTTCTAATAGTACTTAAAACGGTGGACTTTTTAAATTTATTCATATTACATTTGCGCTCACCAAACTTCCTTGTATGTACTATAGTTCCTGCCAACCTCCTGCCACTGGTATTGTCTGACATTTCGAGGTATCAAATCACCGAGACCACAATCAAACTAAGAATAGCACCAGTGAATCAAAGAAATGGGCCTGTCAGGTAAGACGAAAGAAAATATGTTTTTAGTTGAAAACAATCATGTCAAGCGATACCCTGAGTTACTTTTCCAAACACCTGTTCACAAGAATGAAAACAGCGTGTGTTCTGATACAGGAAATAATCCGTATATGAAGACTATGCATGGCTTAACAACCTTTTTTCCAATACTAATATCTTTTAAGTCTTGTACTTGCAAACTTGAGATGTTTTCTTTGAGTAGTTGTGTGGAGGTGACGGTGATTCGGCTGAATGATGACGAGGGAATTGAAGGAAAGGATCCAGACATTTTATATCACCCTGACCTCCTTCGCAGCTATGACGAAGCACAACAGTCGACAGGTTTACCATACGTAGCCATGGTGTTTAAAGGGTGAGTTTCTGTTGTAAACAAAGGTCTTCTGTCTGACGGCCATCTGTAATAAGGTGCAGTACTTTTGTTTAGAGTAGATTGTTCGTGCATTCGTTGTTACCAAATTGAATTATCCAATACAATCACCTTCCAGATGGCTGTGTTATAGGGACTTTGTGATATCAGTGTCATTCAACTTCATTTCAAGCTGACTCGGAGTTTGCGAGTGGTGTCCATTTCCAAGACGAAATCGCCTTTATCGCGAGAATCAATTATGGAAACACTTCCACAAAAAAGTAATGCATAGATAAAAAGGGAACCATTCATTTCTTTGGATGTCTTACAAAATGTTCATCATGATATTATCAGCTCCCCATATAAATAATATCATACCTGTCATGTCAATAAAAGTGTTTCAAAGATGAACACAAATGTAATACAATCGTAGAATTTACGAAAAGAAGTATAATAAGACTACAATAGGGTGAGTCAAAAAGAAAGTAACCTGGATTCATCATTTTCCCCTTAAAAAGGAATACATTTGACACACCAAAGAAGCATACATTAACCGAGCATGTTCTTCCACTCATTTGAAAAAAAGAATTACATAAAAAAATGTATCCATGCTATGGGAAGCTATGCATATTGTATTTAAAAAAAAAAGTTTTACAGCTGTCCATTGAATGCTATTTGCCAATTGAGCCGAGTGAGAACCAGATATTACACTACGAACGGTAAATTAATGAACAGCTGCAGTGTGGACAGCTGAATTTTGTGTTGTTTGTAATTATAATAGACATATCTGAAATGTCTGCAGTTACTAATCAATAATATGTAATTTATACCTATATATGTTATTTGTATTAAATGCAGTGAGCCACATATTTTTTTTAATATTGTTTTTCTCATTAGGTCACTTTCTATTTTACTCATCCTGTATAAAATGTATGGAAGTGCATGCCCACTTCAGTCATAACTGTTGTGCAAAAGCCAAAATCGAAAACCAAATCAATTGAAATTGGTAAGGAGATTAGAAACTGACAACTTTCACTGAACAAAAGACTAATGAGGAACGTTTTGACTGCCATTGAGGGTGTGACATTATTTCATCACAGATTCATAACTTTATTTCATTTTTTTTTTTTTTGCAGAAATGACTTGAGCAAATCTGCCGAAATTGAAATCGGGAGCGGTGGGGAGTCTTCATGTGGTGGCTCCAGACGTAAGAAGAGGCAGACTCCTCCGAGCCATACGGGTGAAAACGGCCCTCTCATACCCCACACCAAATACACAGCGTTCATACGAGCATACGTCCTCTTAGACAATCAAAGGGTGAGAATTACTTTGACGAGTGATGGAGTCTGAATTGTGCGTAGTGGTGTAACTTCTGGACCTGGATTCCATCATGTGGATGTGGTTGTCACTCACTCACTACCTTAATTCTGTGGTTTTCCTAGATAATATAGAATGTCATCCTCCCCTACTTTTTAAACTCATTATCCTTCCCTCGCTATATATTTTGTTGAGCTTCCGAGGTACTATATGAGTTTGGCTAAACATGATTAATATTGTCGTATTCATCTTCAAGTAATCTATTCTATTTGTCTTTGTGACATTAAATCGATATTGTAATGCTTGTTTTTGATTCAGGAGGATTACGTTACAAGTCCACGGCTTCAGCCCGTGTGGACCGGTAAGGTGTACTTTTCGTCACATTTGAAAGCTGAATTTAAACATCCAATTATGAGGCATCATGAAATGTATATCCTGATGGTTTGTAATTGTTTCTGTGGTTTTGCATCCATTTTAGACCCTTCTGGAACCCGAAATATTGCAGTAATTGCTGTGGTCAGTGTAGTAAGCACAACACTCATCATTGCATTGATTGCATGTGGTGTGAGGGTGGGGATACGGAGGAAGAAACGAAGAAACAAGCACAGGCTTCTGAAAATGACAGCCATGGAAATGGTTAGTTCCAGTTTATACTTAGTAAATTAGCATCATCACATTTGGGCGAGCGAGAGATTATAATCGCAAAAGTGTATCAAGGATCGCTAAGCACTGTTATCTCTGAAGCAGTTCCATAAAATGTAGGCCCGATTGGATGTTTATTTAAAATTCTTCAAACAAAAGGTGTTGCTGTCGAGCAATATATTAATGGTAAAAACACGTACAGGCATTGACCTCCCCCTTATAAATACATACAAATTTAATTTGGCCTAGGATGTAATGAACCAGGTCCTATTTTTTTACAAATTACTCTATTAATACCAGGGTTCGACCTTCTCTTATTTGTTCACTAGCCAGCCGGGCTGCTGAAACAGACTCTTAACTAGCCCATGGGCAATTTCACTAGCCAGCATTCTTTTTAGCTCAAATACAAAATGGCGTAATTTCAGGCTCAACTCTGAGGCAATTTTGTCGGGGTTTTTTATAAACAGATCTGATAATTAAACCTTTTCAAATAGTTCATAAAATTAGACAAAAATTGATGAGGCTTTCTGAATGTAATGATTTATTTCCTTCTCTCCGTTCATCTTTGCCGTATCGAAATATTTTTTCACTCGCTAGCCGGGCTAGTTAAGGAATGTTTTGACCAGCACGCCTCTGTTTTGACTAGCATTTTGGCTGGCGGGCTACCGCTAATTTCGAACTTTGTTAAATTAGCATGATACCGTCATTATACCCATTTGTTAATCTCTTCCTGGAAAGGGTCGCATCGACTATAAAGTGACTCCTCCTGAGAGCGAAATAGCAACCGCAGACTACAAGGACCTTGGCCTGCCATCGTGGGCCCTGCGGTGGGAGATTCTCTGGGAGAATCTGGTAGTCGATGACAAAGTCCTCGGTCGAGGGAACTTTGGTGAAGTGAGATTGGGAACTGTAATCATCGGTGGGATGATGACCAAGACTGCTATCCAAGTACTGAAAGGTAAAAGACAAAAAGGATAACTGCTTTTTAACTACTAAAATGATAACTTTCAATAACAATAGATCGAAATGGTGCAAAACAAGCGTACTGATTTTTGGTTTGGATTAGATTGATGGACTAAACTGGACAAAACGGGGAAGGGTATAATTTGACTGTGAATCTCTCTTCACATTTACCTGAACCCTTTGCAGAGGAATATTTCGGACCTGTAATTCTGGATGAAAAAAAATCTTTCGAGTAATGCTATAATTTGATATTATTAAGTAACAAGTTCACTTTGGAAAGAATTTGTTTGGACACATCTTTTTGATATTTTGTTCACAGGTGATGCATCGAAAACTGACCGGGAAGATTTCATGGAGGAATTTCGTACAATGACCAACATCGGATATCATCCTAATGTGGTGTCGTTGCTTGGGGCATGCCAGCATGAAGGTATTGGTGAAAGAAAACAAGACATCATTTGGTTAAGTTCCTTGTCCTGGGATGTCAACTTTTAAATATATAAAAAGATGGAAAAGAAATTTAAAGATTCAAGTGACTTTCGAGTTAAATAGTCACAAGTCTGATATTTTTTGACACAATGTACAGCGCTGGAACCCAGTCCAAATTTTAGCAATTTAAATTTCTTGTCCAATTTTTAGCAATCAAACACAATAATGGTATCTCATTGTAAACATGTTTAGAAGGTAAACATTACGTGTCCAATTCCTAAACATCCATGATCACTTGCTAGACTCTATCCATCAATAATCTAAACATGTTTAGTATTTAAATATGTTTGCAAAGTGATAGCTGGAAAATGTTTAGAAAGATGTGTAAAATTGCTTAACAAGGTTAATTTTTAAATACAACTCAGACTATATTTGAATATATTTCCTTTATAGGAATTTTGCTGTTTCTTTTCATTTATAAGGTGGAGTTTAAAATGTCTCTTCATGATTAACAAAAATTGACTCTTTGATTAATTCAAATTTAATCACAAATGCTGTAATGAGTCGCTAAGTCGAACGTTCTGTCTTTTTTTCTGAGATGTTATGTTCGTTGCCCTTGAGCATCTCCCAAACGGCGATCTGCGCACTTATCTGCGCAAGGCTCGTACACAATCGGAGTCGGACGAGGGCGCCCTGTCCTCCGATCAGCTGATCAAATTTGCTCTGGATGTTGCTAAGGGGATGAAGCACCTATCTACGTCCGGGGTACGTCACAAAAGTTTCATAATTTGGTTAACTTAGTAAGATCTAATTCGTATTTTTGAATTTATCCTTCCGTAAAAGAAAGCTTACTTTTTGTTTACCTTACCTAAGAATCTTAAGATTGAAAATATGTTTCCTTTTGTATTTTCGCGTTTTGTGACAGGTAATTCATCGTGATTTGGCGTCCAGAAACATCTTGCTCGGTGAGCAATTGGTCGCCAAAGTCTCTGATTTTGGGCTTTCGAGAGGACAGGACATTTATGTCCAGACGTCTATGGTAGGTCTTGTATCTTAATTAAAATCAGTGCTTATTCCAATATCAACTTTTGCGAGAGTTAGAGTTTTAACATAAAAGGAATCACTTAATTGGATCAAAGCTTGTTATAAGTTAGCCAGCCAGCTTTAGTGTCAACTTGATCTGAAAAGTAAAAATGACCCTCTCCGTATAGCAGAATATCAAACCATGTTCATTATAAATCTATATGACTAAAGGTTCATTCATTCATTCATTCATTCTTAATTATTTTTACCACATCTCATTTTGATCACATTACGTGACAAGGCATCAATAAATAGTTTTAGATATTAAGGAATTAATACTGGTCTTACAAAATACTTGGAGCACATTATTTTCAAATTAGAACTGATGAAAGTTATGTTAAAACTCTAACTCTCGCAAACGGTTCTTTTCGTTCAAGCCCTGATAAACGTCCTGAAGTCTTCTGAACTTTTTTTTTTTTTTCCCCAGCCTCGTATATCAACTCGTTGGCTGGCCATTGAATCGTTGTTGGATCGCACCTACACAACTCAAAGTGACGTGTAAGTATAATTTAAGGAGAGTGAAGATTTTAAACACCTGCAGTAAACGCCTAATTTGCTTCACCACAAAAGGAACTCCAGCGAAGCTCTTGGGCACTTAGCCAGCTCAGTTTTTTCCCCGCCCCATTTAAATATGGGACTAGTCTATTTAGGTTTTATTCGTGTAATCGCTTATAATTGTCTTTTTTTCTGGTATTAGATGGTCCTTTGGCATCCTCCTATGGGAAATAGCTTCAATTGGTAAGACTTTGCGTATTTTCTTTAACATTTTATTTGGGAAATAATAGGAATGAATTTATAACTCATGCAATATGCAGAGTACAATTCAGGACTATAAGACCTTAAATGGCTTACCCCTACCAATCAGGCACTATATTCTCGTAATAAAATTGTTCTTACATCGTTTCTCTAAATTTCATTGGTTTATTTTGCGCAGGAGGCACACCATACCCAACCATTGCCACCAAGTCCCTAGCAGATCAGCTGAAGGAAGGATACCGCTTGACTAAACCAGCCAACTGCGATGACCAAATGTAGGCATATTACATAATACCGATCGTATTCCAAACCTATAGAGTGCATGGTGTATAAGCACAACTAAGGTTGCCTTTTATTATTTTGCCAATTCATACACAAAAACACTGCTTCTAATTAGTTATGTTTGCAAGTATCATATTATATGATTATGAAATCACATTGTTACAGCTGCCCTTTGGTGAAAGTGATGTGACTTATTGGTGTAGGTGTGACTTTTCCTATTATGAGATATGGATATAAACCAGCTCTGAAGATAATGACATTCCTCTGTCAATAACTGTCGGCAATTATAACTTTCACAAATCATGGCGTGGAATTTGTTTTATATCTTTATATTCAGGTACTCCTTGATGCTTCGTTGCTGGGAGGAGGACCCTAGCAACAGACCCTCCTTCAGTGATCTGATCCGCATCCTCAGCAAGATGGATGAGAATAAGACTGAACAGGTGGGTAATGTTTGGAACAATCATTTTTGTTGAGGTCATACGCCAAGTTTTATAGATTCATACGGACGTGAAAAGAAGGTTATTAACGTATGTTTACATGTCAATATACTTCTACTCATAAATAGGTAGAAAAGGTTCATGAAATCTACTTTCATTGAAGATTAAAGTCTGATTGTTCTCGTATTGCAGAAATACATGGCGATCGATCGCGCCCTAAGTGAGAACTTCAGCGTGATCCGACCGGAGCTTGACGACAACTAAACGGACGTGCCAGTTCTGAGTCTTCCTACTGGTAGAAGAAAAAGATCAGCATTTACATGAAATATTAACAAAATGCACAACCTACTCAAATACATAGCTTGAGTTCAACCAAAGTGTGAAATGGATTTTGTTATCAACTTGTTTACTATATACTCATGGTTAATTTCATGGTTTCAGTATATTTTTGCATGTCTTTTTTTTTGTGTATTTTTGTCGCGAATAAAGACGTTTAAATTTAAGATGATAATCGACAATGAATTTTTTGATTAATTAAAATTGAAGTTTCGAAGCTCACGGAAAGTCCAGATTAGAATTTAGGCAAAATTAATTGTAATTGTTAATAGTGTGAAAAAATACTGTGGCATAAGTAGTTACACGGAAATAGGCGTATGTTAAACAGATTATAGCGTTGTGCCGATTTTTTTCTTTAAGAATTAGTTTTGTAGAAGTGTTGTGTGCATTTGAAATAAATACACTACTAATCAGCCTGTACATATTTATGTCTGTAGTAACATTTTTTTACAAAAAATCTCTCAACAGTTTTTTTTTAAAGATTTCTCTATAAAATCGTTCATTAATACACAGATATATTCATAAATTGGATAATTGTTAACTGCTACCGAGATCTACCGTTTTTATGTTTGCATTTGGTTGGTACACATTAATGAATTTATACCATGTGGAAGCTTTCATATCAGGAGGCATTATTAAATGCTGAATTATATACTCCAAGTGTAGTTTACGTTGTATTTTCATAGCATCGGCATATAAAGTGGCTTTTTCTTCTTTAAAAAAAAAAAACATGTATAATCTATAAAACTAAGAAAACATTTAAAAGTCATCAATATTGTACATTGATGATGTGAGCGTGGGCGGGGCCTGGAACACGGTAGGCGTGGCTGACTACTACTGTAAGCCCTTAGCTTCCAAATAATATAACGAGTTTGTTTTTACGAGTAGTTCACACATGAAACAGGAGCATTATACATTGGTTTTATTGATGAATTTCGTTGTCATTAACACCAAATAAATAGTTCTAAGTTAGAGCATGACCTATGCGGTAATTATTCTTTTTAAAATATATGTTCAGTAATCAATAAATACAAAAAATACTATAAATAACTTAAACTTACTGCGCCTTAAATTTAGATTTAGAATTTAGATTGATAGTCCATAATTTAGTTACATCCTTCAATTTGGTAAATGAATTTATTAACAATTTGCTTTTTGGCTAATTGTCTTTTGTTAACCATTATCTCGACAGTAAGGAAATAACAGTTCCAGTTTTAATTGGTTACTAATCTGTTGACTTTATGATTTGTCAGCGTTACTAATGGCTTGAACTGAAATCATACAGTAAAGATGTATTGAAATCGTTCAAGTCTTTCATCTCTATACTTTGCTACTTGTTACGAACGGACCCCAGTTTCTCATCCTGCCCTACATATTGTTTCACCATTAGGACTCCTGAAGTCCTGGATGATGCTGAATGCTACATCTCTTGGAGGTGGAAGGTTGTGCGTAGGCGGCCACAAGTTTGTTCCTGGCAAGCACAAAAGGCCTCTCGCGTTGCAGTCACAACTATTAAAGATGCCTCTCACCACTCCCTTTATATTGATTATTCCTTCTCTCACAGCACGCAGCAAAGCTTTCCTTTTTTTCCTTTCCTTTTTTTAATATGCTTTTTATTATTTTTGTTCAGTTTACATTTATAGCTTAAGTAGATTTTAATCATTTTAATTGTTCGTATACTTGTATTGGCCTATGTAACTGTTTTTATAATGTTTCAATGTTTTTTATGACTGTATGCGCGCGTTTTAAGATATCCTTGTGCGATATAATAAAGATTACTTACTTGACTTCTAATATTCAATATTTTGTAGTTTCTTTATCTTCATTGTTATCTTTGCCCGTCTGTTTTCATCTTGCATAAGCTTGGTTTTTCTACCATAACTTTTCTACAATGGATTCGTTTGTCTTTTGTTTGTTTGTCTGTGTGTTTGTGTTTGTGTTTGTTTGTGTTCTTGTTGTGTTCATGTTATTTGTTCTTGTCCAGGCTGCTCTACTTACAAGCCTTGGCTTATGTGAACAACCCCGTCCTTTCCTAAATATTGAACTTTCTTTTCATTTTTCATATTTATTAATCTTAATCTCATAAACATTTCATGGAACCCAACCCAAGAGATAGGGTTAAAACAAACAAAAGCAAAAATACAGTCAGTGTAACAATTCTGGTGAGCAAAAAGGTTACACGAACCTAATTCCTGTTGCTTTAATTATATTAACTATATTACCTTATAGTGTACTTTATATAAACACGGCAACGGTGCCATGCACCCCCCCCCCCCAAAAAAAATGACAACAACAGCAACAACAACAACAAAACAGCCACTACGTATAACATCAAGGCAGCCACTACGTATAACATCATATTTTCACCAAAATTGGTTTAAATTGTCAGAAATTGCCTCAGATCGCACCACAGAGCATCTAAAATCCATTTTCCCCCGGCCCCTGAAGCGGGCCCCGGGCCCCTGAAGCGGGCCCCGAACCCCACGCCGTAAATTTGTGGAACCACTTTTTGGGACCACATTTTTTTTGCCCCCCGCCCCAAAAAAATTGTTTTCTGAATCCGCAATTGCGTAGGCCGAAGGGCTCTCACTTTCACACCTTTTAGATAAGTGCCCCTTTTTGGTGTTGCCCCCCCCCCCCCCCCCCCCCGTTTGAATATCGTTCCGCCGCCCATGGAACCCAACCCAAGAAATAGGGGTAAAAGAAAAAAAGAAAAAACAATTTCAGAGTAACAATTCTGGGGAGCAAAATGTTACATGAATGGCGTGCAAAGGTGTGAAACGACTGAAGCAAAACAAATTACATCGATGGTCAATTTAATGTTTCATTCCCAAACTCTGAAGAAAAAAATCGTCAGATGAAGCAAAACCTGTTAAACTTTCACCATGATGAACAGCTTTATTCAGTTGGATGAAAGTCTTTCAAGTCAAACTAGTTTTAAGAGTCCTGGTGCTTGTGAAGAATGTACATGAATGCAAACGCTTGGATACAATTGCGCCAAATTGTGCCTCAAATGCGGAAATGAGTCGCATTTTCACCGCCGAGAACATGGTTGAAAACTGAGACCATACCAAAGATTTGACCTATTATAGAAAAGAACAGTAACTCATCAAGGATTCGAAAGAAAAAGCATAGTTAATATCTGTGCAGTATTTCGACTTGAAAACGCTGCAAGAAGGTTCGGTTCTCAATTATATATAACAGCACTTTTTGCCCAATAGATGACAATGTTTGCATCAGCTACTTCTGCAAAGCTACATGATTGAGTATTAACATTGAAATTAACCGCTTTTCTTCTGACAAATACCGTTTGATTGACTGGTAACTGTCTGCTAGGCGTCGTTTTGGCGCAAGTCAGAGTGGTAGCAGTTTTCGTCATCATCACCAACCACCATGCTGGCGTCGTGCGTTGTCTCGTACAACTGGCAGATCTTCTCTCCGTGGCTGACCTGTCGCAGATTGAAGGAGCTGCATCGAGGCTCATCCCGGCACGCCGAACCACACGCGATGACACCCTCAGTGGGGAACTCCTGGATTGACGGGTCAGAGGAGCTGTCTTGAAGCAGCGTCGGCAACGTTATTGACAAAAATGGCAGCTTATTGGGTGTATTGCTCTTACCAGCAGGCTCTGTCGGCAAAGTAATGAGTTATAATACTTATACTTGTATTGTGACTTACGTTATTGTGAATTTTTCATTAAATGTATTTTGTGTCTTGTGTAATTTCAGGGTGATTCAGGCTTTTAATGTAATTTTTGGCAGCGAGAGTTTAACGAAATAAACCAGTGAACGGAATGTTTCCAAACTTATTACAAGAATCTGTTTAATGTTAGACCCACAACGCTTGGTATTTACCGCGTTGCTATATGAAGGACGGACGTCGATGTACAAATAATCTGTTACGACTCCTTTCGAGATGTTCAAACCGAAACCTACTTTATTATTCATACTTAAACGCTCATCTGGACTTCAAAGTGCTTTAAAACGCTGAATGTATATATTCATGTGAAAAAAATAGTTTATTTCTTGGTTAATACATAAAACAGTCATAATTTTCAAGGGAAAAGAAACAATCTAAATGCTAATTTCCTGAAGAAAATAAGGCACGATTTGCATTAAATTGTGTCAATACTATACAAACTATACTGTTGAAACCAATTTACTACACCTGTATTATCTGAATGCTGTTTCTACATTAATTAACATCCAATAATTCATTAAAATGTTTGTCATGCAAGGAAACCTAATATGTTTTACTTAATCAATTACACAATTGAAACATATAGGCCCACTGCTGTTGTTATGATCAAGAAACATTAAGGATTTTCCCTCCCTTCAATACACATGATTAAATGAAACAAATCTTCATAAACAAATGTCTCTCTCTATATATACAAACATGTCTGACGTGTCCATAAAAGATATGATGTGCACACAATTTTGGGACTGATTGCAAAGATTCAAAGGGCACACGGCTGTTGTCAGCCACGCCTATTCCATATTCCGCCCACCCTGACATCATCAACATGTATTTACGGGTTTTTGTTCTTGGTGTTCTCAAGTTTAAATGGATTATATATGGTTTTCTTAAAATCATTCTGTGCCTGTTTGATTACCAATATCGTCACATGTTAATTATTTCTGTCGTATAAGCTACATCTCAGCACCGAGTATTTACTTTTGCTGCCCTAATTATACAAAGCAAATGAAAACTATATACATTATATCAAAACAATATCGATTGCTGCAAAGAAATCATATCGTATGAGTATGCGTGGTCGATAAAACAATAAAAATGTAAACATATTTTTTTTTATTTAAACAAAAGATGTTCAAGGAGTTTTTCTGTGGAATTATGTTCATACAAATTCTAAACTTCAATTAAACTTGGATACTAATTAGTTGGTAGTAATACAATACTAAAACATAGCCTACGAATCTAATTCCTGCAAAAGTAACTATATTTAGGCCTACATGTACACTGCTGCGTTTTGTTTATTAAACTGAGCATGTTTCATTGAACACGTCTTTTGCCCGAGTGTTCATTTCACAATTTTGTTAACAATTACTACTTTATTATCCATGCTTAAACGCTCATCTGGACTTCGAGAGCTTTAAAACGCTGAATTTATATATTCATGTGAAAAAATAGTTTATTTCTTGGTTAATACATAAAACAGTCATCATTTTCAAGGGAAAAGAAACAATCTTAATGCTAATTTCCTTAAGGAAATAAGGCACGGTTTGCATTAAATTGTGTCAATAATATACAAACTCTACTTTTGAAACCAATTTACTACACCTGTATTATCTGAATGCTGTTTCTACATTTATTAACATCCAATAATTCATTAAAATGTTTGTCACGCCAGAATACCTAATATGTTTTACTCAATCAAATATATGATTATTACACAATTGAAACATATAGGCCCACTGCTGTTGTTATGATCAAGAAACATTAGGGATTTTCTCTCCCTTCAATACACATAATTAAATGAAAACAAATCTTCGTAAACAAATTTCTCTTTCTATATATACAAACATGTCTGAATTGTTCATAAAAGATATTGATGTGCCCACAATTTTGGGAGCGATTGCAAAAACTGTTCTTTTTTATTCTTCAAAGGGCATATGGCTGTTGTCAGCCACGCTTATTCCATATTCCGCCCACCCTAACATCATCAACATGTTTTTACGGGTTTTTGTTCTTGGTGTTCTCAAGTTTAATGGATAATGTTTGGTTTTCTTAAAATCATTCTATGCCTGTTTGATTACCAATATCTTCACATGTTAATTATTTTTGTCGTATAAGCTACATCTCAGCACTGAGTATTTACTTTTGCTGCCCTTATTATACAAAGCAAATGCATAATATATACATTATATCAAAACAATATCGATTGCTGCAAAGAAACTATATCGTATGAGTATGCGTGGTCAATAAAACAATAAAAATGTAAACATATTTTTTTAATTTAAACAAAAGATTTTCAAGGAGTTTTTCTGTGTAATTATGTTCAGACAAATTCTAAACTTCAATTAAACTTGGAAACTAAGCCCGCGGTCTCGGATCCTTTCAGGAGCAAACATCGTCTCGGAGGCGAGTAAACTTCTCTTTTATATATATAGATTCCACCGAGGGACGGTACTTTTGCATGAAAATGTTCTGATTGTCAAATTCGTATCCCTATTCGCTTCAAGAAAGAACAACAGCGGTAACAGTGCACAAGTCAATGCAGTCATATCATTACAGCAGTCAGTCCGATGTTTTAGATCGGCCTGTGTGTGTGTGATTTTTTTTTTTGGCAATACAACCGCGAAATGCGGAAACACTCTTGCATAATTCCCCGATAAAAAATAAACATCAACGGCTGCGCTTTCTAAACATGCATTGTTTGACCATGCATAGTTTGAGGGTCGTTGTAATTCTTCCATAAACATACCTCAAAGGTAATTACACCTGTCTAATTGGTCAACACCCAGTCATGAGCCGACGATTATTTTAAATCGTGCTTTGAACAATACCGAGAGCTGGTTAAAACCATCGTTACAAAAGTGATCCCTGAACCAGGACAAGTTCTTAATTATAGTTTGTTTTTGTCGAGAGTATTTAATTCTCCGCCATACCTTTTTAAAGTTTCAATTTCGTATTTACATATTTCTCATTTTCCCCAACAAACTAAACAGTTTTTATTTTAAGTTTGAAAAAAAAAATTGAATGGAGCGGGGTTTCAACCTGCATATATGGGTCTATGGCTTCTGACTATATAGCGCCCCTTGAAGAACAAGCTTGATCGGCTCTCGAAAGCTGCAGGGCCAACGAATGCGTGTTCACCTTATTCTGACCTTTGACTCCACAGCTATAGGTCAGATGAAGATGTCACAATACATATTTTTTAATGTTTGACCAAGGCCAACATGTCGACAGCGCTACTTCTGTCATTTGAGTTTCCTTGAAATTTGACATATTTTGACCTTTGACCCCATAGCTGCAGGTAAGACGAAGAGGTCACTGTGGACATTTTTTTAATGTTTGACCAAGGTCAACATGTTGACAGCGCTACCTTTGTTGAGCTTATTTGAAATTTAGCGTTATTTTGACCTGGACCCCATGATGACCTTTGACTCCAGTCTAGTCATATAACATGTTGGGGCTCGGCTACTGATACTTTTGACAAGGTTTGGTTGAAATCGGTCAAAATATGTAGGAGCGATAGACAATGTCAACGTTTGTTACTAACTAACAAACGAACTAACGAACGGACTACCGGAGAGACATGATGATTTGTTGAGACTATATCCGCAGCTAAAAACACTGACAAAATGGGGAACCGTCAACATAGGGTTGGAACGGTAGAGCACCAGAACAGCAGTGCGGGGTCGCATGTTCAACCCCCGCTCCAGTCAATTACTTTCTTCTACGTTATAATAATAACAATGCACCTAGTCAGTTTCCATATATGGTGTTTTTGAAAAATATTTTTTATGATTACAAATAAAACGTTACAAAATTAATCCACATTTAGTCTATAAAAATATATACCCAAATCCTTCAAGCCATTACAAGTAATGCGCCTGGTTATGGTGTTTTCTAATAACGTGTTTTGTAAAAAAAAAAAATCTTCTTAGAAGTGCAAACATGCAGTAATGTGTTTTTAATCATGTGTATTTTACAAAGCGCACATATCCAGCATTCTTAGTGTTCAAGGCGCTACATTTGGGCCAATCTATGCTGCCATTTCAGCGCAAAGCTGCTAAAACGTACACAATTGGGGAGGTACCTGGGTGGGGAGAAGCAGTGAGTGACAAAGCGCCTTGATTAAGGGCACACGCACCATAGCCGCAGGCTGGACTCGAACCCACAACCTGCAGAATTACCCGCAGACTAGACCACGAATTCAATGATCCAGACCACGAGGCCACGGTGCACACAGGAGTCAGGTCAATCGTTTTTCTGACCCAACCAACCCTCATCATCTCTCCTGTCATTCGTGTTGATGTTTTTCCTTCGTATTTTCGAGTTTTACGATTGAAGAAGGGTCGCCTTTTTCTCAACAGCATTTTCTTATCGATTTGCTTATACATGTAATCAAACTAAAATATCACTATGTCATTGAGTACAAACTTCAACACTGACAAAGTATTAATGCTTCCTCATAGTCATCAGTTTATACAAAGCAAAAGCATAATGTACACATAGTATCAAAACAATTCTTGATGGCTGTAAAAAAAAAATCCTATCGAATGAGTATCTGTGTATTTAATAAAACAATAAAATTGAACCATAATTAGTTTCTGTGCCTATAATTCATACAAATTCTACATTCCAATTGTATTGTGCCAATACATAAAACATCTACGAAACTAATTCCTACAAAAAATAAGTTATTTACACTGCTGCGTTTTGTTAGACATATTTCATAATCGCTGCTTGTGCCCAAGTATTCATTGGCACAAATTTGTTAACAATTAGGCCAATTTGAAAAAAAGGAAGAAGGCCCTTTTTTTTTCTTCTTCCAAAAAGGCCGCCCGACCCATCTATTTTTTCAAGATGGCTGCCAGCTTTTTCTTGAAATGGCCGCCACTTGGACTCAGGAAATGGCATACCAGCTTTATATGGGCTGGATACAACAGACAAAGAGGCCAAAATGATGTCACTGTTTAAAATGTATCATTTTGTGGGTTGAAAAGAAAGGGGAAAAAAAGGAGGGGGTCTCCAAAAAGGATGCAGGCGGGGACGCTAAACAGGATTGTTTTATTTGGCCTAATAACTTTATCATTCATGCTAAAATTTGCATCAGGCTTTTCAGAGAGCTTTAAAACGCAAAATTCCATTTTCCCCCAAAGTATTTCATCATCTACCATTATAATGACATCTTTATTCGCAAAGTAAAATTGACATTTTACACAGAAAAACTTCATTATACCGATAGGTATACAACATAACCAAACACTGAGTGATTTAGCAAATTTATAACAGAAACCCACTTCACACAATGATCGACTTAAAATACCGTGATATCAATCACTTTCTGTGTAAGAACATACAGCTGAACCACTCTACTTTAAAGCTAATACTCTTTTCCTCGGTCGTTAGGGAAGATTTGGGTTTGGTATGTCCGTCTAGTTGTCATCCAGCTCTGGGCGGATCACGCTGAAGTTCTCATAGTGGTCGCGATCGATCGCCATGTACGTCTGCAACATGAGAAGAAATATCAGACTTTAATCTTCAATGTAAGTAGAATTAGGGAACTGCAGGAGAACATTCTTCAATCCTATCAATGATTCATCAGATAATTACTAATGCGAGAAATGTATTTATTTCTCCAAGCTAAGAATTGAGCTTAAGAAAGCAAGACAAAGCAAGCCTGATAAAGTTGGCCCCAGAGCGCAGAAAAAGTATATTCAATCGATTCATTATGGCTTTACACTAGAAGTCTTTTCATGCGTGTGACGTACACAAAGTGGCCGGATTTAGCCTATTCAGTGGCGTTAAGGGGTAATCCTATTTCAAACCTATTCGGCCAAGCAAGTCGAATTCATAGGTGAAAGTCAGTGGGTCGTTCAGTGATTATGCTACAAGGAGTGACTTGTGACAAGACTTGTGATTGACTTGTGATGGATTTGACAACAATTTTGAAGTCCGACACACCCCAGCGCACATGCATCCAGTCACACCCCACTGCACACGCACAGCCATAAAACCTCCAGCATCTTCCACATCTCATCACTCAACCTTTTGAGGACAGACAGAGCACACCGTCCAACACGTCCAGTTCTACACTCAACCAACCAGTTGCTTTCAGAACCAGACTTCTTCCAAGAAGAGATATCTCTCCACATGGTGTTACCCGCAAACTTTATAATTTAATACTAAAGTGTGTCTGAAAGTACAAGGAGAGACTTAATCAAGTATAATCCACAAGTGAAGTGAAAGTCAGTCAGATACCAAGAGACTGTCCCTCTGGGACCAGCACAAATGAATACTGGTTCAAACATGACCCACCTGTTCAGTCTTATTGTCATCCATCTTGCTGAGGATGCGGATCAGATCACTGAATGAGGGTCTGTTGCTAGGGTCCTCCTCCCAGCAACGAAGCATCAAGGAGTAGCTAAATATAAAGATATCAAACAAAACCACGGCAAGATTTGTGAAGTTATAATGGACTGAGCATTAATATCACTGACAAATTAAATCGGTTAAGGTGACGTGGTAATCTTGACCAATATTTAAGAATGGTGGATGCAATCATTTTCAACGTTGGAGCTCAGTCCATCAATATTCTTGTCAAGTTTTTTCAAGTCTGCCACAAGTGCATGTCCAGGTCATCCAGGCAAATAAATAGGGTTAGTCGCAAGCTATTTTAAGTAGACAGTGACAAAGGTTTTCCTATGTCATTATTGTTTGTCCCCTGTTATTTGAAACCAGAGTTGTGAATTGACTTGTGATTAACTTGTCACATCACATGACATGTGATTGACATGTGATAACCTCGACAACACTGAAGTATTGTTAACAGTTTACATATGCTCCGTGCATGTTAGTCTGGTTCCCAGACCTGACAATTATTCCCGACGCTCACGTCTTAAATTGTAGGTCAGGCAGCCTCCGTGGCTAAAAATAAACATGACGACATTAATGGCCCTTTTTCAAAGCGCGGCTTCGTTTCCGATTTCGCTTTATCACTTGTAGCTTTTAATGTTCTGATCAAATCTTTAAATAAATCACTTGCTTCGTAATATCATACAGTTATGATAATACAGTTTTATGTTTTTGTAAAATAACATTGAGTAATGTTGATCTGGAATCTTCAAAATTACGGAACCAAATAGCACTGTGAGCAGGCGGAGCCGAATGAAGACCGAGTTCTGGAAAATCTCGGTAACGGTCGTCAAATTCAAAATTGTACATGACGCAGCAAAAAGTTCGCCCGTACGATCCGAGTATATTTGATGCACAAAATCGTCGTTGAATTTCAAGTTTTCTAAATGAAAACATTGAATATTAATTATCAACTCATTAAAAATAAAATTAATAAGCAATTAGCAGTTAATTAAACCTAAATTATATACTCGGAAATACTCGGGCGCTATCCAATTGTCAACGAAACGACTTCGGCAAATTTCGGAAATTTTCGGAAAAAGGAGGAATTCCTCCCGTTTTTGTTACGTGACATAAATTGTAATACATTGTATTACCGGAAGCTACCGGACCTAAGATTCATCAGCAATAGTCAGAATCTTTTGGTCTGGGAACCAGACTACGTGCATGTCAGAGAGGGCGCCCTTTATTTAAAAAATGAGTGCGAGTAAAGGTCATTCGGATCTTTATCGGTCCTGGTTATATACATCTTTTTGATGGAAAAGTCACATTTTTACAAGTAAATGAGGCATATATGTAACTATTTCATTTTTGCATCATTATATGAGATGTTACTTTATTCAGATGTTGAAGAAAAACTGTGACCAAATTCAACACAGTGTTTGTATAAATCTTAGCATACATTGATGAACTTGAAATAATAAAGGATAAGCTAGTTTTGTTTGTACTCCAATATGTCAACGTTGTGCACGCAATTTATATATAGGTTTGGAATGCGATTGACATGCATTGTGATGTGCTTACATTTGTTCATCGCAGTTGGCTGGTTTAGTCATGCGGTATCCTTCCATCAGCCGACCTGCCAGGGCCTTGGTGGCAATGGTTGCGTATGGTGTGCCTCCTGCGCAAAACAAATCGAGCAATCCAATTTAGAAAACGATCTCAACAATTGGAAACAATTTACTAACACGCCCCCGTGTCCCTTTAGCATTCATGACTTGGAATGTGAGACATTAATTAATTTGTTAATATCCTGAACTAATTGTTAAAAAAATCGTTAAAAATCTTACCAATTGAAGCTATTTCCCAAATGAGAATGCCAAAGGACCACCTAATACCACAAAAGAGAAACAATTAAATGGGCCATGACAAGGACAACATATAATTGAGAAATACTTGAATAATCCAACATGAACCTGGCCAAAAATCATATTTAAGCTTCGATGAATACTTGTAAGAAATCTGAAATAAGGCTCGGGGCTGCTGTTCATGTAGTTCCTTGGGTGACTGAAGGTTAACTCTGATCTCGATGGGGGTATTTATATGCTCATTATGCCATACTTACATGTCACTTTGAGTTGTGTAGGTGCAATCCAACAACGATTCGATGGCTAACCAACGGGTAGGCACACGGCGCTGGAGAAAAAAATTAAAAAGTAAAAAAAAAAAAAGTAGTAACGTTTTATCAGGGCTTGAACGAAAAGAGCCTTTAATCCGACAAATTCATAAAGAACATAGTTTGATATTCTGTTGTGTCTATGTGGTCATTCAAATGTTCAGATTAAGTCGGAAAAAGAGCCCGAGCTGAATGATTCATGAATGAGAAATTGTGCTCCATATCATTGCTTTCATTTTAAAATTCCAAATATCGCAAAACTTAAAATGAACAAATATTGATAAAAGACCTACCATGGATGTCTGGACATAAATGTCCTCTCCTCTTGAAAGCCCAAAATCAGAGACTTTGGCGACCAATCGCTCACCGAGTAAGATGTTTCTGGCCGCCAAATCACGATGAATAACCTGTCACGGAACGCAAGAAAACAAAAGGAAACATTATCAAACGTTTTGGCTTACTCTCATTTTTCAGTAGCTAGGTAAACAAAAGGTTACGGACAGTGGTTAATTGTTGTTCAGCTCTTTAAGTTGATCAACCTATGGCCCTTTCTGTGACGTACCCCGGACATTGATAGGTGCTTCATTCCCTTGGCAACATCCAGAGCAAACTTGATCAGCTGGTTGGAGGACAGGGCGCCCTCGTCCGACTCCGATTGTGAACGAGCCGTGCGCAGATAGCTGCGCAGATCGCCGTTTGGTAGAAACTCCAGTGCGACGTACAGAACATCTGTAAGAGAAGACACGATTTTTTTTTTATTTTGCTACACTTTTTTCTTTCTTTTTATTTGACTTCAATAAATCAGTGTCAACTTTTGCAAATTATTAATCGAGAGACAGTCATTGCGAAAATTATAAACCCCACCTTTGTGTTATGAAATGAATGGCAAAATTCCTTTACAAAAACTGTTTAAAAAACAGTCTGTGGCTAGGTAACTCAAAATTCACTTCAAACATCCATCCGGAAGCTTTTTGGATTGCAAAAGTGTTGACAGAACATTCAGGTCATTTGTTCCCCTAATACTCGAAAGATTATTATCTTCACCAATACCTCCATTCTGGCAAGCCCCCAGCAACGACACGACATTAGGATGATATCCGATGTTGGTCATTGTACGAAATTCCTCCAAGAAATCTTTCCGGTCAGTTTCTGATGCTTGACCTGTAAGCAAAATACGAGAGCAACTTTTAAAAATGTGCCAAAACTAAACGCATATTGTCATATTCCACTTCATCGTCTTTCTATACTGTGCAGAAACCTCCGCTGGAGTATACTCGCACATGATGTATACACATCATTTCTGCCAGAAACACCGGGGCGAACCCCTTTTCTTAGCGATAAGTGTTACTGGGTTCTTTTACGTGCGTTAGGTCTTATACAACACACGGGACATACGGCTTTGCGTCCCATCAGAAGGACGAAGCAATAATGGTTAGGTGCCTTGCTTAAGGGCACAAGTGTCCGCCGGCGGGCTCGAACCCACGTCACCGTTGCCTCTGAAACACCAGAGCATGAGTCCGGTGCTCTTAACCGCTAGGCCATGACACTCCAACTTGTGATTGCTGTTATTCTTTCTACATGTATATCAATTATACCTGTCTTTGAAGAACACTTTTGCTTACCCTGCATGTGCAAAAGAAAAACATGGTGGTAAGAAATTTTCTTGTCGAAAAAAATTGTGGAATCTTCTCTCGCGTAAAGTGCATTTTGCCATTTACTTTGTAGGCCAATTTGTGTCATATCTGGTCTGGTTTGATCCCGCATTTCACACACAAAACTAATACTTTATGATTGAGTATGCAATCACAATTTCCTTTTGTCTTTTACCTTTCAGTATTTTAATGGCAGTCTTGGTCCTTTTGCCGCCAATATTCACAGTTCCCGATCTCACTTCACCAAAGTTCCCTTGACCGAGGACTTTGTCATCCACCACCAGGTTCTTCCAGAGAATCTCCCATCTCAGGGCCCACGATGGCAGGCCAACATCCTCGTAGACTGTATATGCCATGCCACCCTCTCGAAGATTGACTTCATATTCAACATTATCCTGTGCATGCAGGAGAAAGAGTGGTCAACACTAAAGGTCTCAGGCAGCGATGTGACAAAAATACCATGTCTGTGCAAAGATAAGAAATAATTAAGAATGCTGACGAAACGATGAATGGTAAAAACTGACGCACTAATAACATGAACTTGACCAATAATCCGAGTTTATCAATGTACAAAAATTGTTCACTAACCATTTTAATGGCTGTTCTTTCAAGTTCCGGCCGGTTGTTGTTGCGAGCCCTTCCTTTCTTCCTCCATATTAAACCTACTCCGCATGCAACCAGTGCGATGATGATCAACGTGACTAACACACAAACCACAGCAATCACTGCAGGATTGTCGGCCTGTGCATTAACTGATGAAATAAAATGTCCATTATGTACTGATGAAGGCGTTATCCGTTCTTTAAAAAAATTCAGTAGTACTGAAATTAATAAAATATGTCAAATTCTAATGATCTTCTCTAGTTTCAACGTTGACGAGTTCTTACCGGTGTAGACTGGTTGTAACAAGTCACTCGTCACGTACTCTTCCTAAAATTTAAAAACAAAAATTATTCAAGGTGCATCCAAAATATATTCACCTAAACATTCAAAGAAACGAAAAGGGACAGAGAATGCTTAATTTTGTATTGAACATGAATGTTGGAGACGACATAACCTGTTAAATACTTCTCAAAGTGATAATATGTGAAATACGTGATACTATTTTCTGCACGTCTGTTGAAACTTAACAAGTTAACAAGCACAAATTATATCATGTTCATTCTCTTATCTTATTCTCTAAGTTTCAAAGAGTAAAATCAGATGAATTAGACTTGCTAATCACTCTCATTTTACATTTATACTCTGAAAAACAATCAATCCAGTTAAAAGTCGGGTGAAAACTTTAGTTATTTTATTGACCATGTAGTCCCTACTTGCAGCAGTGGGACAAAATCTTCACTCAAAAAGAGTGAATTGTCAGGTTTTTTTTTTTTTTAAATAAGTAAGTACATATAACAAGCGATATCAAGTGGCAGGTGTTAAACAGGAATCGAAAAGCAATATTTTACAGAAAAAACAAGGGTGTTTGTCTTTACCGTTCCATCTTCCAGCACAGCGTATGCTCGTATGAACGCTGTGTACTTGGTACTCGGTGTCAGGGGACCATTTTCCCCCTCGTGGCGTCGTGTTGTTTGTCTCCGTCTACGTCCTGAGTCATTGCTACCACACTCACTGGTTCCACTGCTTCCTATTGTTATGTCTCTTGCTTTACTCAGTTCATGCCTTATGAGGAAAAATTAATGGGAAAGGTCTATAACTTTGTCAGTGCGATTTTGCAAAAATCATTGAAGAAAGCAGCGTAAACAACCGTTTGCGAAATTTGTCCTGGAACTTTACTTCCAACATATCTTTATTAACTGAAGCCTTTTTACAGAGAATTAGCTTAAAACAGCTCCTTCGACCCAAGGACTAAGACGCAACTCATGAAATAATCAATTGAAACACACATGTGCCAATTCTGATTGGTAACTAACAAATTATGAGAGGTCCTACACTGATAAAAAAAAGTTACTTTTGTTTTCATTGCGGCATAGATCTTGACCCAACTGGCTCGAGTAATTGGCAGTACACATACAATAATTTGTGTACACGTTTGCAAACTTACCCAAAAAAATACCTCCCTATAGCCGTTTGCCCTATTTTTAAGTAGAACGCATGTGCACAAGGACCGTTGAGAGGCTAGAAATAAGGCAGAACAAATAATTACCCTGCTAACACCAGAGCAACGTAAGGCGTTCCCACTGTATCGTGTGCATCCTGGAAGCTACCAAGCATGTCCGGGTGATACAGAACATCTGGGTCTACGTCACTGATGACGTCATAATCACTCAGCCGTACCACTGTTACTTCAAAGCAGCTAGATGAGAAAAAATGACAATCTTGAAACCCGAATCTTTGTAGTATTAAAGTTCTTCATAAGGCCTTCGTAATATATACCTATGGCAATTAACCTTGCGCCGTGCGTGGGATTGTATACATATGTATTATGTAGGCCTATATTTACCATTCATTTAATCAGTAGTGCATCTCACAAATATAATTCATCGATGAAGATTTAAATTCTTGATATAAAAATAAATATGTTTTTTCTTAATAGTTTGTTCTACCTGATTGGTCCGTTGCGTTGACTGACTGGTGCCAGTCTCATTATAAAGGTGCTCTCAGTTACAGGATTTCCTTTGTCGTTTGGCTCGACGGGCTTCTCAGGTTTGTCGGGAACTTCAAAATTGAAACACGAAGAAAATATTGAATTGATCTTGTGACCTACAGGAGCAGTGGTTTGTTTCTGGGCAAAGGAGATTTCGTGTATCTGTAAAGACTTACCTGCAGCGTTTGTGGTGCAGCTGCCGACTGCTTCCGTGCTGTTAGCGCCCTCTGTGGTTGTCGTGGCGCTGACTTGGAAGCGAAAGTCTGAGAAACTGGCCAAGTCACTCTTGCTGAATGAATACCATTCTTGGCTGCCATCAACAACCGTCGCACCAGAATTCAGAATATCGGCTTCTACACTCAATCCCGTCCCGGGCCTTGGATATGCCGTGTAGTATACCTAGCGAGAAAATTTACCTTCTTACTGCGAGTAGCATCCCTCCATCATTTGAACATTGAGGGGAGGGGTGCACGGTAATCGTATTATAAAGAGAAGTGACGAGATAAAGACCCGTGCAGGACATTCCATATATTTAAAGTCCATCATGTCAATAATTAAAGACACTTAAAAGTCAGATCAAAAGGCCTACTCTGTCATGCATAATATTATTTTTGAAACGATCCAAGTAGATAAAATCCACGTAGTAGGGCAATATTCAAGGCAAAACGATTAATTTGCTTGATATCTTGGTTGGATTGAATGCACAAAGACACTTTCAATTTAAAACGAAAAACCTCGTCATCAGAACGAAACATTAGTTTTATCTGGAAAGCAATCATGTGCCAGTTAATAAAACACAAACAAAAAAATGGCCTCACTTCGCGTATTGAGCCTCAGGTTGCAAATTTCAGTCCATGGTGTTTAAGGTTTAAACCGTTGTACCTTGAAACTTCGAATGATCCCGTTTGCTTGTTCAGGTCGGTCCCAGCCTACAAGGCAGGAGTCTTCTTGCTGTCGGCATTTGACATTCAAGGGACGTGATGGAGCTGAAAGTGAAGGAACAATCAGTTGATGAGAGTAATGGTTATACGCACTATATGCAAAAACTTGAAGTTGTCAAAGGAAATAATAAGACAGAAATGGCATATTCAACAGTTTTGCAAACTGGATGCGTATAGACCTATAAGGAGTCCACCTACCTAGATTAAAATTTGGATGGACTTGTTCATTTCATTAATTCATGCCTCTTCTGGAAGAAGTGTCAGTTACCACTCACCATCTTCAGTGGTTCTGACTATCTCCTGAGCTGGTGGGCTTGGCAGCTCCTGTCCACCTTCCGTGTTAAATGCAGTCACCTCCACAGTGTAATTGGTGTATGCTGTCAGATCTACAAATGGTGTAGATAGTCCCTGTAATAGACGTTCTGTTAAGAAAATGCAATGATTTTCAATTCTGAAGGTTTTAATCATTAAACTGAAGATTATGTCTTACTTTTGTAAGAAATTCCACGAATTAGTTGATTTATGTGTATATTTTGAGCATGCGATCTAATATTTTCATTGTCGTGATCATTTTGGCAATGCAGCTTATCACAAAACCTAAGTAAAACTTTATATTCTTCTAAATAAGAAAGACACGAAAGTCTGAAACTTACTCGATGTAAAGCCAGAACCATCTGAGGTTCTAGACACACTGACTGTGTAGAAGTCTATTGGTCCATTTTTCATGGCCGGCTCGTCCCAGAGGACAAGAAAACTCTCTGGTTGGACATTGTCATAAGCGAGATTCCGAGGCTGAGATGGATCTGTATATGAAGGGTTTTTTTTAAACAACTGTTACTTGATAAGTAAAACGTACGGGGAAAAATGTATATAGATCAGATAATTACTTTTTTTACGGTGTCATTAAAGTGGACGAATTCATAAACAAAACATACAACCCAGCTTGGCTACATTTTAAGTCGGAGGTTCTGCCCAACTTCTTTTTACAATGACGATCAGCGAGTTTCGTGTTGCAAGAATAAATAAATACTTGTTTTAAAAGTGTTTACTTGTCTTTAAAGTGCGTTCAGGTCCGCCATTCAAGATGTTGCTGAGTCCACATTGAACTCGTACTTCATACTGCGTGTATGGTTGCAGACCCATGACAATGTGAGTCACATCAACGACTGGACTGCCTGGGGACGGCACAAATGCATCATTCGTACTACGGTAATCCACCTGGCAACTTAGAGACGTTTGGTTTATACCAGCGAATTCAATGTCCCAGGAAACACTAAGTTGGTCAAAACTCAGAGTGGACACCGAAATATTGGCAATCACGGGCCTCCCTGTGGAAAAATAAACAGAACAGTGAGCTCATCAATATAATGACGACAAAAAACATTAAAAGCTAATTTTCATTTATGCGGCGAAAGGTATTGGAAGGCTTATTTCACGTGCATGTGTGACTGAAATAACCAGAAAGCATAATAGTCCGGTCAATTTAAGTTAAGACCTAGAACAAAATTGCAATAGAAACCATTCAAGCGTCAAACGACTTTAAATAAATGCACAAACATCATGTAAAAAAATCTAATTGTTTCTATGGAGTAGAAGGGTGTTTTTTCAAACATTTTTTTTTGATTAAAATTTTGGACATTTTGTCCTCGACCAATTCGTCTGATGACTTGCTGCGATTTACTTGTTTATATAAGCTAATGATTAAAAGTCATGACCACATGGAGTGCAGCAGACGACTGTTTCAAATCATAATTTTATACAGTGCACTATACGGATGCATGAGTGGAAAATTTTCCACCGAAACTCTGCGCAATAAGTCCACAGACGACATACGATTATTTGCAAAAAGGACCGGGGATGTTTAAACTTCATTTTGATCATACACAGATGGAACGGTTGGGCAGTGCACGCATGGACCGTTTTGAAAGTAAAGCGAAAAAAAAAGATTATTGAAGTTGAGCGCCTGAAAATGATGTGTTGGATTTGGTTACGAAAATTCAGGAATTACTGGGCTCCTTGCGATGCTTACAGTGAATATGAAACAAAACATCTCGAAACACTTGGATCACAAAGAAAAAAGTTTAAGGCCTATTGGCGTAGACACCTTCAATTTACATTCAAATGGAACTCTTTGGCATATCATTTCCCGTAGACCTGTTTATGCAAAGATTTTCCATAAAACAATGGTTTATTGGACAAAAGGTGATTTGTTTTAACCCATAAATATTTCGGGCAGCAAAAACATCTCAAACTTCTTGATTTTTTTCAAGAAAATATCCTATAGTATTGTGCAGCAGTGTATTACCATATATTTTAATAATTGGTGGACATAAAAAGTCGTCTGCTGTGACCAGTCGTGTCTCATACGTGATGTGAACAGATTTTCTGACGAGTAACGGACGCAAAAGAAAGCATGACGCTCCCCACGGCTGTTTACGTATGATGAAAAATTAGTAGCAAAAAAAGTGAATAAAAAACACTTTTCCACTCCTTTGATGAAATTGGATTTTTAGTTTGTTGAATAGTGATATTATCTTAGCGTGATAGCATTAGAAACAAAATGAAGTCCAATTTGGTTGTGAGGTTCCATTCATTCACCATACCAACCTCTTTCACAAAAGTGTCCATCGAATCCTGGTAGACATAGACACTGGAAACCGTTGATCAAATCTAGACAGGTGCTTCCGTTGTTGCAGAGATCGCTCTCACACTCATTGATGTCTTGAAGGTAAACGAAAAAAAATATGAATATTCCTTGTATTACAGTGATGAAGCAATTCGTTCAAGATTTTTTTTTCCTTGCATGACACAACATATATAAAGACATCAACTACACAACAACAATGATAACTGAAGCACTTCAAGAGTGCCTAATGGTTAACCCTTTCACCCCTCCCAAGAAACACGGCACATTGAAAATTATACCGCACATTTTTGTTAGGGTATATGTGCCAAAATAGGTTGTTTATTGATACCAATTGTAAGTCATACGTGTTCTTGATGACAGCGCCCCAAATATCAATGTAAAAGGTTTCACTTTCAAAAGTAGGTATTTTGTGGAAGTGGACAGCTGCCAACAACTTTTGTTTTTCTTCACGAGGTGATGATACAATGTTAGGTATGCAGATTCTGGTAAATGAATGTTGACTTATTTTATCAAGAAGACTAGATGCAATGAAAAGCAATGTGAACCTCATCAAAGTTTTTTTTTTAAATGCCTCTGAAGAAGTCCTTGCTAACGATAAAATATCAGGCCGCTCTAATGTTTTGAAATCAAAGATTATTTGCTAACATAATACCAAATGTGAATTATTAAATCTAGTTTTGTTTTAATTCTCCAGAATTTTTTACTATTCTGTTTTCGCTGGAAACACGCTATAAATATGTCACAAACTACATACTTATTTCACACCGGTAAGTCCCCTGGGAATCCTGGTCCACAAAAAAAGTATAAGAAACCGTTGATGGACTACATCGAAACAAATTCCTCCGTTCAGATGACTGCAAGCGCACGCTTGCCATACAACACAAGTCGATTTCTTGAGGAAAATAATCAATTGGAAGATGAATTTGCTCAACACTTACACTGACTGATACAAACCTGTCTCGCAGTATTTCCCTGTGAATCCCAGTACACAAAAGCAAATAACGTCGTTGGCTGCGTCTTGACATGTTGCTCCGTTGCGGCAAGGATCGCTATCACACTCATTAAGCTCTTGAGGGAAACGAAATATGAATATATTATTTTTTTTTCTATTATGTTAATGAGGCAAATCGTTTAGCAAAGTCGTTAGCTTTGTGTGGGGCCGGCCTGGACTGGACAGGACTACGGTTTCAAATAAGGTATTTTGTGGAGTGGTCAGCTTCCTAGAAATTGTTTGAAGGGATAAAAGAATGTCAGGTTTGAAGATTCTGGTCAATAAAGGTTCGTTAGTTTTAAAGAAAAGGTATGTGAATTCCAGTAGTTTTTTGCTCCTTCTCATTTTAGATACAAACATGTATTAATAGCAGTTGTCGTTCGGGATGTTATTTTAATAAGTAAAATAAATATTGAGGGTTAATCGTCCTCACTCACATCCGCGAGGCTGAATTGCGAAGAACGCCGCTAGAAGGCATATAGGGCGGTCTCAGGTCGACCTGCGATTTGCTTGCGCCGCAACGTAACCGTCGCCATCGAGCCAATACTCCAATGAATCCCAGGTAAATCAAATGCTTCAATCCAATGAAATTTCCGATACACCACATCAAGTTTAAGGAGTTATTCTTGAACTTGTTACTCGACTCATTACCAATACTAACCTACTCCACAGAAGAACCCTGAAAATCCTGGTCGACAAAAACACCGAAAACCGTCGACTAAATTGTCACATAATCCGTTCTGACAAGGGCTGCTAGCACACTCATTGATATCTTGAGAAAAGTAAAACAATATATATATAGAAACTGTAATATCAATTAGACAACTAAAGCAATGTGCTCATCCTGGATTCCTTTAAAATTTTACAGAAGTGAATTTCCAAAGAAGCTGTGCAACAAGGCTTAATTGCCCTTCATTCCTTTAAAGGGACATTCACTGCATGGGACAATTATTATCCAATGCAAAAACAAACAAACAAAAAATTGTCAAAAAATAAATACGCCTATCTTTATCAGCGTGGAATGACTGTTCGCTCGAGAGTAATTTCTTTCTTTTATATTGATGAGGCAAATCGTTGGGCAAAGTTTACTTGGTGCGGGGTTCCGCGTCTTTGTATCTTAAAAACAGGACTGCGGTAACAAAAAAGGATTTGTGGAATGGGCAGGTTCCTAGAAATTCTTTGAAGGGGATAAAACAATGTAAATTTCGAAGATTTTGGTGAATGAAGGTTCGTTAGTTACTGCTCGTTTAAGGAATGTGAATTCCAGTAGTTTGATTGCTCCGTCTCATGTTCGATAAAACATGTAACGATAGCAGTTTTCACTCAGGATCGTTAAGTTATAAATTATGTTGAGGGTGAATTGTCCTCATGCACATCCGCGAGGCTGAATTTCGAAGAACGCAGCTAGGTACAAATGGTCAAGCTGCAGGCATATAGGACGGTCTCAGGTCGACCTGCGATTTGCTTGCCCCGCAACGTAACCGTCGGTATCGAGCCAATACTCCAATGAATCCCAGGTTAATCAAATGCAGCAAACAATAAAATGTCCGATACACCTCATCAAGTTTAAGGAATTATTTTAGAACTTGTTACTCGACTCATTACCAATACTAACCTACTTCACAGACGACCCCATCGTATCCTGGTGCACAAGTACACTGGAAACTGTTGACTGCGTCTCTACATACCCCTCCGTTCTGACACGGGCAGCTGGCACACTCATCGATATCTTGAGAAAAGCAAAAACAAAAGATACATAGAAACCTTAATATAAATTAAACTACTAAAGCAATGTGCTCATCCTGGATTCCTTTGAAACTTTACCACAAAGGTGAATTTCCAAAGAAGCTATGCAGCAAGGCTTAATTGCTTTTCATTCCTATCAAGGGACATTCACTGCATGGGACAATTATTATTCAAAGCAAAACAAAAACAAATGTCCAAAAATAAAAACGCCTATTTTTATCAGCTTGGAAAGACTGTTCGTTCCAGAGTAATTTCTTTCTATTATATTGATGAAGCGAATCGTTGGGCAAAGTTGTTTACTTGGTGCGGGGTCCCGGCGTCTATGTATCTTACAAACTGGACTGCGGTAACAAAATAAAGTATTTGTGGAATGGGCAGCTTCCTAGAAATTCTTTGAAGGGGATAAAACAATGTAAGTTTCGAAGATTTTAGTGAATGAAGGTTCGTTAGTTACTGCTCGTTTAAGGAATGTGAATTCCAGTAGTTTGATTGCTCCGTCTCATGTTCGATAAAACATGTAACGATAGCAGTTGTCACTCAGGATCGTTATGTTATAAATTATATTGAGGGTTAATCGTCCTGATTCACATCCGCGAGGCTGAATTTCGAAGAACGCAGCTAGGTACAAATGGTCAAGCTGCAGGCATATAGGACGGTCTCAGGTCGACCTGCGATTTGCTTGCCCCGCAGCGTAACCGTCGGTATCGAGCCAATACTCCAATGAATCCCAGGTTAATCAAATGCATCAAACAATAAAATGTCCGATACACCTCATCATGTTTAAGGAATTATTTTAGAACTTGTTACTCGACTCATTACCAATACTAACCTACTTCACAGACGACCCCATCGTATCCTGGTGCACAAGTACACTGGAAACCGTTGACTGCGTCTCTACATACCCCTCCGTTCTGACACTGGCTGCTGGCACACTCATCGATATCTTGAGAAAAGTATTAAAAAAAACCTTAATATCAATTAGACTACTGAAGCAATGTGCTCATCCTGGATTTTTTTGAAATTCAAAGAAAAGCTGTGTGGTAGCCTGAGCTGTTTTTACACCATCAGACATCAAATGATCAGCAAGGAGTCATCGGCGAATATAAGGCCGAAAAAAACCCATCCCTTCTTCCCGAAATAAAGGTGTGTTGTCCATTGTCCCCATCCCTCCCAACGGCCGGCGGGGGGGGGGGGGGGGAATTGAGTTCATCAATTTGAACGTTCGACATCCGAAAAAAATGCATCAAATTGGATTTCAGATATCTTGACACTCAATTCATTCACAGTATTAACGTATTTTACAATAAGTATGCTACAAATGCTACAAATTCCCTAATCCACGTTATGGGTTCCTGTTTTCTAAAGGTAGAATGTACATATGCTACGATAGGCCTTACCTACTTCACTACATACTACAACTTGTGACTTGTCGTGGTTTACCTTTATATTCGGCTTTTCCCGCCATGATAAAGTCACGGCTTCACCATAAATACTTCAATGTATAAATACAAAAAGAGATTTAATGCAATTTTTTAATTACGTTTCCAAACCCTAAATTGTATCATGGTTTCGGTTGAACAATTACACTTTACGGTCAAGAAAGTACGTTTTGGACTTTTGTGAACACAAAGTTGTGAATTCCGATTGATCAGTTGCTGCGTAATGAGATTCTCTGTAAATAAACATGTGTCCAAAAGCTCACCATTGCATTTAAACACTTTCCTAAACGCGTTCAATACAAATATGTAAACACTGTGTCCAAAAGCTGAGCACGTAGTTTCGCGACGTTAAAAAGTTAAGCGTTTGACATTTTAGGCTAAACACATTCCTAAATGCATTTAATTGTAAACCAAGGGCGGATCCAGGGGGGGGGGGCAATGTGACATCGCAATAAAGGCAGGCAATGAGTACACCACCATCTTTTCCTCAAAAAAATTGCCTCAGATCGCACCACAGAGCATCCAAAATCCAAAAAAAAATCGGAGCCCTTAACCGTAATTTTTTTGACCCATTTTTTGGGGGGACCAAACAGTTTTTGGCCCCCCCCAAAAAAAATTATGCGTTCACAATTGTTTTACTAATGAACGTTTTTGTGTTCAATTTATTGCTTTATAGTGGTCACAGTCTGCTTTTAGCATCTGCCATTGACAAGCTTAGGCTTATTATGGCTTGAATTAATTGCTTTGTCATTTACAATTTTACTTTTTTGTTTCTCCTAGACAAAATTTATATTTGTGTTCCTTTATTGTACATGCTATATGAATTATATTGTTCATGGATGGATATAAATAAATGTTATATTGAATTGAATTAAAATGAATACCATTTGGCACTATAGAGCTAGCCATGAATAGAATCGCCGGTAAATCTCTTACCAATTATCAACATATAAACCTGACGATCCGTTGTCATTAAGTCGGCTGAAGCTGTAGCAGAACAAGTATAATTTCCAGAGTCTGATGGCTGTACAGCATTCAAAGTGATTTCATACAAAGCTGGAGATGGTGGAAGTGTCGTAGTAGTTGCAGTTCTCTCAGTACCACTTGGATCAGAAATGACCACTGAACTGATAGCATTTGACGGTAGGTTGACTTGGCACTGAAGTGTAACATTTTGGGTTGACCCTGCCGTGACTAATATCGGACTGGCTGGGTAAGAGTCGAAAGACAATATCAGACCTGAAACAAAATGGATTTAAAACAAACTTAAAAACACACTTTACTGCCATAAAACGACATTATACTCAAGCGGAAAATTTTCCAATGGGGAAGAAACTCGTTATCCTATGATTTCTCACATTTTAAGAATAACAATTTCGAGGATTGATTGATTGGATAGGGAATCAAGTGCGGGGGGAGGGGGGGTGGAGACGGCCATGCATACCACGGTCATACAAATCAGCAGGTAAGTAATTTAGAAAACAGCTCACGAAATGGTGTTGCTTAAGGAAAACAAAATATCAAAAACAAAAGCAAGAAGTTCATGGCATTGCAAACATTACAATAATTTGCACATTCAAAAAAAAGTGAATTCAAGGTAGATCTGCATGCATTTGTAATATACTGTGTAAACTCCTTGTCAGGATATCCCGCACAGGTCATATAACACTGTATTCAGATAAACATTTACACTGCATTCAGAATTTATTATTCTCATTCATTCATTCATTCATTCTTTATTATTTTTACCACATCTCATTTCATTATGTGACAAGGCATAAATACATACATGTAGTTTTGGGTATTATAAAGTTCGAGCTTGTTTTACAAAATATATTTATACACTTATATTCTCAATATCATTACTGCAGGATGGTAAATTTAGGAAGACCAGAAGTCAACGAACATAATTTGTCAAATGACATATCGTAATGCTATTAAAAGATAACCCTTCTTACCACAACACACTTCAGGTATGAGCATCAATAGAACACACGAAAGCAACGCCATGTTATTGCTCGACATCTGTAAAACACAACAGTAAATAATGCTACACTAACAGTCTACAATCTGAACATCATAGTAAATACACTTTTTACGAAAATACACTTTTTACATAAATACACTTTTTACGTAGATGTCGGCAGAATGTGAGAAATTTACTTAAGCTGACACGAGAAGACTGAATACCCTTGACAAGGAACTAAAATCAACCCTAAATTTCAATAAAAAGAAAAATTTCAACAAAATGTTATACAAACAGTGGAGTAGCCGGCCGGGTGAGGGTGTACAGAGTAGCAGATTGCAATCGAACTGAGATTTTAAAAAAAAAAAAAAAATTGGGAAGCTGATAGAAGCAAAATCGGGACCGTGAAAAATGGGTATGGTTACACGGGACGAACAATTCCATACAGTAGCATGCAACGGGCACGCAAAAGTCTGGCTTTTCATACGCCTCAGTACTTTTTTTTAAGTCAGAATGTACTTCCTCGTACCGGGCCAGGGAGGTCAACTGTTCGACACTATTATAAATAAGGGATCAATTGTGTGCCCGTGGAATAGTTTTAAAACGTCTGGTTTGAAACAGGGTAGAGGCAATTATCGGCAACCCGGCAATTTATAAATAGCTTTTGGGTCAAAAGCTAAAACAAAACAAAACAGGGAAAAATGATAAAATTCTGACAATGATTCCATGATTACCTCAGCTGCAGGATTCAGTGGGTAGCCATTTTGCAAACAACTTGATTAAACGTACTACGGCATCGGGATATGGTAAAAGAAAAAAAAGAGTCACTTGTTTATGATCATATACGTACCTAGTGCCTAGTTGCACCGACAGTACAAGGCAGTAAAGTTCGACAAGACGTCCAGTTGTGTTGTTTAAGAGCAATGTCTGACACGAATCTCACTAAGCCACGTTTTTTTTCGCGGTGTATTTTGCCCGCCTCTCGTCTGCGACTGTGATTTCGTGACGCGACTACATGTATGCATCGTGTGCAGCTATAGTCAGTTGTGACGTACGTGTCTGTTCATATGCATGCATAGCGCGTAATACAATAGAAATCATTCAAGCGTCAAGCAAGTTCAAATAAATACACAATAAAAGTGAAAAATAATAATATGAAGCGGAATGGTGTTTTTTTCAAGCACAAAAAAGTAATGTAAAAGGCTTTTGTTTATTCATGATTGCAGCAGATTGCAGATGCGATTGCAGAAGACGACGGTCCATCGGGAGCACTAATAAGCGTTTACGTGTTCCTTACGGGTGCCACCGGTAAATAGGCCTAAATCCATCCACCGAGCTCTTGAATAAAAGTTATATCCTCATAATATTCCATATTAGAGAGTTTTGAGAGGCATTGAACCTCTGGCCCGGACTTGGGGCGTCCAATTTTGAGCATTTTGGATGCAATTGGGCTCGAAAGTGGCGCTAGATTGCCATGTTGTGGAGGGATAGTTTTTCAAGATAGCTACTTTTCCGCTTTGGGGGAAAAAAGGGGTTGTCTCCTTTAATGAGAAATTCTCGAAAAGTCAACGGTCAACCCACCAAAAAATGAAAAGAAAATGAAAGATGACATGTTGATCATTATTTTTCTGTGTAGCTTAAATACCTGCGAGAGTTCTGAGTATTTTTAAAAGAATTTTGAAGTATGGGCATTTAGCACTATAGAGTCCATGGGAATTTAAATGCAGGGTTGCACCCTTACATAGAGTTTCAAGTTTGCAAGTTGGTTCACATTTATTAATATGACGGGGAATTGTCGGATACAAATAAGAATTTCATAAAGGCCACTACGGACAGAATGGAAACCGCAACACTAACACTGAATTTGAGTAACTTTGATGTTATTTCTCCACAACTATAATAAGAGACATGACCTTTATCGTTTTCTCTGAAATTGTTTTTTCTTGGAAAAAAACTGGAAGATCGTGTCACTGAGCTGAGAGTTGCTTAAAAACCATCGTTACAAAATGGCCCCTGAATCAGGGCAAATTACTGTTTTCGTATATTTCAATTAAAGGACGTAATTATTTTCTCCCATAGTTGATGTTCTTGAGCTTCTATGTCAAATTCATTTATTTTCTCATTTTTTTCTGACAAAATATCTTTTATGAATCAAAAAGTAAAATGTTAGCCTACAGATCAGCCTTCAGACTATTAAAAATATTTACCACGCCAAATACCTCAAGATATTACACATAATGCTCCTAGTTGACTTCTCGTATTTGTTTTGTAAGAAAACGTATATCTGTAACTGAATTATGAAATGCACACATTAGTTAGATCAATCTGCTTTCTGACCCAGCCAACAGTCATCATCTCTCCTGTCAATCATGTTCATGTTTTTTTCGTATTTTCGAGTTTTATGAATGGATAATGGGGTCGTTGTATCCTCCAAAAGCATTTTATAATCAAAATTTGCTGCCAAAAAAATCTTCAAATTTAAATAGCATAATATTATCTATTCCTGGAGTATATTTTTTCAGCACGGACAAATTATTATGCTTGCTTTAACATTAGTATAGTCATCAGTTTATACAAAGAAAGTGCATAATGTTACATAATAGCCAAAAGATTCTGTATCGTCTGAGTATCTGTAGCTTTAATAAAACAATACAAACGAAAAATGTTCCAATGAGCAATAACTACTTTCTGTGTTGGCCTACATTAAATTCATACACATTCTAAATTTCAATTAAATTGTATTAATTCAGTACATTTTACATTTACAAATCTAATTCCTACAAAAAAAATACTTTTGCCCGAGTATTTATTTCACAATTCTGTCAACAATTACTAGAAATGTACTATATTATTCATGCTTAAATTCTCACCTGGACTTTCACAGCGATTCAAAACCGCCGGATTCCATTTTTTTCCAAACATTATTTTATTCATTATGTACCATAATATTAACAACTTCATTCAAATTGGCATTTTACAAAGCAAAAATTACTTGCAAACAAAACTATACTCATACAACAAAATTAAACAATGAGTAAGTATAACAACTACTGACAGCAAAATCTAATTCCCAGAATGGTCTACTTAATTAAAGTATGCAAACAGACTTTAAATTTTCTGAAACCAAACCGCGATATCAATCACTTTCTGTGTAAGAACATACAGCTGAACCACTTGAGTCGGTTGTGCATTATTCTAATATTTCTACTTTAATGCTAATACTCTTTTCCTCAGTCGTTAGGGAAGATTTGGGCTTGGTATGTCCGTTTAGTTGTCATCAAGCTCCGGTCGGATCACGCTGAAGTTCTCATAGTGAGCGCGATCGATCGCCATGTACGTCTGCAACATAAGAAGAAATATCAGACTTTAATCTTCAATGTAAGTAGAATTAGGGAACTGCAGGAGAACATTCTTCAATCCTATCAATGATTCATCAGATAATTACTAATGCCAGAAATGTATTTATTTCTCCAAGCTAAGAAATGAGCTTAAGAAAAGCAAGACAAAGGACGCCTGATAAAGATGGCCCCAGAGCGCAGAAAAATTATATTCAATCGATTCATTATGGCTTTACACTAGAAGTCTTTTCATGTATGTGACGTACACAATAATTGGCCGGATTTAGCATATTCAGTGGCGTTAAGGGGTAATCCTATTTCAAACCTATTGGGCCAAGCAAGTCTAATTCATAAGTGAAAGTCAGTGGGTCGTTCAGTCATTATGCTACAAGGAGAGACTTGTGACAAGACTTGTGATTGACTTGTGATGGATTTGACAACAATTTTGAAGTCCGACACACCCCAGCGCACAAGCATCCAGTCACACCCCACTGCACACGCACAGCCATAAAACCTCCAGCATCATGCACGTCTCATCACTCAACCCCCTGAGGACGGACAGAGCCCACTGTCCGACACGTCCAGTTCTACACTCAACCAACCGGTTCTTTTCAGAACCAGACTTCTTCCAAGAAGAGATATCTTTGCACATGGTGTTACCCGCAAATTTTATAATTTAATACTAAAGTGTGTCTAAAAGTACAAGGAGAGACTTAATCAAGTCTAATCCACAAGTGAAGTGAAAGTCAGTCAGATACCAAGAGACTGGCCCTCTGGGACCAGCACAAATGAATACTGGTTCAAACATTACCCACCTGTTCAGTCTTATTGTCATCCATCTTGCTGAGGATGCGGATCAGATCACTGAAGGAGGGTCTGTTGCTAGGGTCCTCCTCCCAGCAACGAAACATCAAGGAGTAGCTAAAAATGAAGATATCAAACAAAACCACAGCAAGATTTGTGAAGTTATAACTGACTGAACATTAATTTCATTGACAAATGAGAGCGGTTAAGGTGACGTGGTAATCTTGACCAATATATAAGAATGGCGGATGTAATAATTTTCAACAATGGAGCTCAGTCCATCAATATTCTCATGTCTGCCACAAGTGCATGTCCAAGTCATCCAGGCAAATAAATAGGGTTAGTCGCAAGCTATTTTAAGTTGACGGTGACAAAGGTATTCCTATGTCATTATTGTTTGTCCCCTGTTATTTGAAACCAGAGTTGTAAATTGACTTTGTGATTTACTTGTCACATGACATGTGATTGACATGTGATAAACTCGACAACACTGAAGCGTTTCTAACAGTTTACACATGCTCCGTGTATGAGAGGAGAGGGCGCCCTTTAGTTAAAAAAAACGAGTGCGAGTGAAGGTCATTCGGATCTTTATCGGTCCTAGTTATTATTTACATCTTTTTAAAGGAAAAGTCACATTTTTACAAGTAAATGAGGCATCTGTAACCATGTCATTTTTGCATAATATTATGAGATGTTACTTTGTTCAGATATCTAAAGAAAATTCAACACAGTGTTTGTATAAAGCTTAGCATACATTGATGAACTGGAAATAATAAAGGATAAGCTGGTTTTGTTTGTACTCCAATATTTAACGTTGTGCACGCAATTTATATATATATATAGGTTTGGAATGCGATCGACATTCATTGTGATGTGCTTACATTTGTTCATCGCAGTTGGCTGGTTTAGTCATGCGGTATCCTTCCATCAGCCGACCTGCCAGGACCTTGGTGGAAATGGCTGGGTATGGTGTGCCTCCTATGCAAAATAAATCGCGCAATTATATTAAGAAGATTATCTTAATTGAAAAACAGGTATATTAATGTACACCCCCTGTATCTCTATTGACTTCGAATTTACACACTGCATGAGTAATGAATTTCTTCTTACATATCCTGAATTAAAACCTTACCAATGGAAGCTATTTCCCACAGGAGAATACCAAAGGACCACCTAATACCAAAAAATAAACACTTTCATTAGTCATAACAAGGACAAAATAGAATTGAGAAATACATTAATCGAATATGCAACATGGACCTGGCCAACAATCCAATATAAGCTTCAAGAAATACTTGTAAAAAATCTGAAATAAGGCTCTGGGCTGCTGTACATGTAATTCCTTGGGTGATGGAAGAGTATATTCTGATATCGATAGGGGTATTTGTATTCTCCTTATACCATACTTACACGTCACTTTGAGTGGTGTAGGTGCGATCCAGCAAAGACTCAATGGCCAACCAACGGGTAGGCACACGGCGCTGGAGAAAAAAATGAAAGAGTTCAAAAAATATTACGGACGTTTTATCAGGGCTTGAAAGAAAAGAGTCTTTAATCAGACAAATTCATAAAGAACATAGTATGATATTCTGTAGTGTCGATGTGGTCATTTAATTAAATGTTCAGATTAAGTCGGCAGCAGAGCCCGAGCTGGATCATTCATGAGAAACGGTGCTCCATATCATTGCTTTTATCTTAAAATTCGAAATATCGCATTGATCTTAATAAGGATACAAGACCTACCATAGACGTCTGGACATAAATGTCCTCTCCTCTCGAAAGCCCAAAATCAGAGACTTTGGCGACCAGTCGCTCGCCGAGCAAGATGTTTCTTGCCGCCAAATCACGATGAATTACCTGTCGCGAAAACGCGGGAAAACAAAATTTAGGAATATCAACATTTTAGGCCTACTCTCATTTTTGAGTATCTAGGTAAACAAAAGGTGTATTCCTCATGTGGAAGGATTAGTTATGGAGAGTGGTTACTTTTTTTAAACGCTCCTTAAGTTGATCAACCTATGGCCCTTTTTGTGACGTACCCCGGACATAGATAGGTGCTTCATCCCCTTGGCAACATCCAGAGCAAACTTGATCAGCTGGTCGGAGGACAGGGTGTCCTCGTCCGACTCCGATTGTGAACGAGCCGTGCGCAGATAGCTGCGCAGATCGCCGTTGGCTAGATATTCCAGCGCGACGTACAAAACATCTAACATGATAAGACAAATATTTTTTTTGGGATTATGCGACTGTTTTTCTTATTAAGTTTCTAATTCGACTTCAATTGATCGGTGTCAACTTTTCTAAATCATGAATCAAGAAGAGCCACTCATTACAGAATTATAAAACCCCACATATTTAATTAAATAATGACAAAATTCGTAGCATTTTTTTCCACAAAAACAACAAAACACAAGAAACGGACTGAGTATAGCATGCTTTTAACAAAAACAGTCTGTGGGTATTAACCATGCACTAGCACTCAAATCAGGTTTGTTTTCGTCTTTATATTTCTAAAATATGACATCCATAAGGTAGCTTTCTACATTGCAAAAGTGTTGGAAGTACATGTCAATAGTTCTTCTATTTCTAAAAAAGAAGAAACCTTCTTATTGTTTTTTTTCACCAATAGTGCCCCTACCTTCATTTTGGCAAGCCCCCAGCAACGACACGACATTAGGATGGTATCCGATGTTGGTCATTGTACGAAATTCCTCCATGAAATCTTCCCGGTCAGTTTTCGATGCGTGACCTGCGAGCAAAATATACGAGAGAAACTTTTTTTTTTTTAAATGTGCCAGAACTGAGCACATATTGTCAGATTCCACTTGTGATTGCTGTTATTCTTTCTACATGTATATCAAATTACAACTGTCTTGGAAGAATCCTTTCGTTTACCCTGCATTTACAACACGAAAACATTGTGCAAAAGAAAAACATTGTGGAATTTTCTCTCGCATAAAGTGTATTTTGCCATTCGCTTTGAAATAAACTTTGTGTCATATCTAGTCTGGTTCGATCACGCCTTTCACACACACAAAAATTAATACTTTATGATTGAGTATGCCATCATGATTTCTTTTTGCTGTTATATGTGAAATTGTAAATTGCAGGGCGAAAATCAATGTTCTTAAATAACAGTCATTCATACCAAATATTGTGTCTTTTACCTTTCAGTATTTTGATGGCAGTCTTGGTCCTTTTCCCGCCAATATTCACAGTTCCCGATCTCACTTCACCAAAGTTCCCTTGACCGAGGACTTTGTCATCAACCACCAGGTTCTTCCAGAGAATCTCCCATCTCAGGGCCCACGATGGCAGGCCAACGTCCTCGTAGACTGTGGATGCTATGCCACCCTCAGGAAGAGTCACTTCATAGTCAACGTCATTCTGCAAAGTAAGAAATCGTTTCACTATATGCTCTATAGTTTCAGCAGCGCAGGAAAAGTATGGCAGCGTCCGAAATACTTGGCAAAGTACTGTTCGGCCGCCGATAGCATGCGCATAATTGTGACCTGTTCTGTCAAATCAGACTTTTCTGGGCATAATTCAGCCGCTTCCATCATAATTATGATGGAAGCGGCTGAATTCACTTCACATTGAGCCATGCATGCTTTAAAAGGTGCAGTTCATGTCTAATCATTTCATTCCCATTTAGAAGTTGTGAACGGAAAGCATTCATCCCAATCTATACGTTGATGTACTCACCATCTCTACATTAGTAGTTGGCCGATTGCTGCCCGCACGACGCCGTCTTCGCTGCCTCATCACTCCACAAACAATAATTGCAACGATCAGGGCTGTGCTTAGCACACAGACCACTACGATAACTACCGTATAGTCAGCCGCTTTGGCTGCAAAAAATAACCAGTACATCCAAAGAAATTTGGATACCATACGAATTGAATATCTACTCAAAAAACGTTAAATAACGTTATTAAATACCATTTCATCTGAGAAAATTGAGGTCATCTTTGATGCTGCTGCCAATAAGCAATTCAGGCTAAGTTTTTTTTAATTAAGACTGAATTTCCTCCAGCGTGTAGAACTTCGTCTATAACAAATAAATAAAATGGTGTGCTGTCATGGAAAAAAAGCTGCTCCTTGGGGCACATATAACACACAGAGCCATCGTGACGGTACATAAAGTTTCTTACCAGTCCACACAGGCTGCAGCAGAGGACTCGTTACAAAGACCTCCTGCGGTAGAAACATAAGATTTTCTGACCAAGAGTTAGGAAATACCTGTGAGTTACTTTTCCCCACCAAAGGTTCATCGAATGGATAGATGGTTGCAGACCAGTAAATAAATGTCCATAGACCCCAATGATAAATGCCCCAAATTCAGAAATTCAGGGAAAAAACTCACAACCCTCTGAGGTGTTAAAGACGTACATCAAATTAAAGCCTATTTCATCATCTTTCACTTTCTTTTCAATTTTTGGGGGTTAACTAATGACTTTTGGGAGAAAATTCCATCCAACGATGATCACCCCTAAAAGCAGTCCTGAAGCCCATCGCCATTTTGAAAATGGACGCCTACGCTCCATTGGGAAAAAAAGTCATTTTAGGACCTAGTCATCATCCACATTTCACAGAAATACGAGCTCGCAGTCCTCTGCGTGGCTTCCAACCTTCTTTTTTACAAATCATCAAGTTCAAGACCTTCAAAATGCTCTAATACTGAAGAATTTGAGGGCATGCAAATCGTGATTTGGCCGGCGTAGGCAATTTCGGACCGATTTACTGCTCTGCACCCAGATGAATGAAATGCACAGGGCATTTTTGATTCAGTAATAAATCCACTCTCACTTTTGGATGAAATATAGCAAACGGTGCTTTACATATGAATACGTCATATTACTAGCTGAAAATAGTTTATCCGATACTACCTTTCTGTTGTCAAGTACAACATATGCCCGGATGAAAGCTGTGTACTTGGTGTTTGGTGTCAGCGATCCGTTGTCGCCCACATGAACTGACTGTGTCTGTCTCCTCTTGCGTTTTGATCTAGTGCTTCTGCATTCAGTACTGCCCCCACTTCCAATTTCGATGTCTTTAGGTTCGATTAAATCATTTCTGTTTGAGTAAATAAAGACATATTATTTTAAATAACTGGAAACATAAAACCACTCAGATTTTCAGTCATTTCTCGGCCAATTGTACTCGACAGTACTTGATAATGCGTTAAAAGGTATAGGCTGAGCGGTTAGAAATCAGAGGCCTCTTATTAATGTTTTTGACCGAAACAGTATTGTAACGGGTCTGGTTGCGGTCAAGGGCTTTTCAGGGCGGATTTGCTAGGGAAAATTAGGTCGGGTGCTTATGACAAATAACTACGGACGTGGACGGCACACAGACAGACAAATGGCAAAGTAAAATAAACACGGACACAGATGTTGGGTTCAGGAACAATTCTTCTTGTGATCGATATAACTTTATTCCACTTTATTCCACTTACATCTTTCCTGTCAAATAAGCCTTGCACGAGTCACTGGTCTGCCGCACAAGCTGTCCGAATCGTTAGCACGATCCTCTCAGTCCGACGCCCAGCTGGAAAGTGAGCGCGCTACTAAAAGCCCGCGAAAAACCTGGCTTGTTGCCCAGTAACACAAGTACAACGCGCGTGTCACGTACGCAGCGCGCAGAGCAGACGTGACCCGGCCGTGTTCGTTACACCACCCCCTCCTTTAAGGGAGATGTGTCCTCACATCGGCCAATTTTAATTAATAAGCAAATCCAACAATTTTTTTTTTTTTTTTTAAGTGACTCGTGCTCGCTCATTATTTTTTTTTTCTTTTTTACAAACATCAATTATTTCTCTTAAAAATCAGGCAACAATTATTACTAATTATTGATAAACTCCTTATACTGGCACAAATTTTAATCAAAGTCTAAAGCTCAAACACTTAAACTTCAAAAACTTTAATGAATGGCAAGTTTTCCATCGGACTTTCTCAGAAGAAATAACTGTTATAAACTTAACAAAATGTCGTCTTTAATTCTCGGAAGACAAATTTATGCTTTCTAAACAAAATATGCCAAACTTTTGGTTCTCAAATATAAACTTCTTTTGCGCAAACAAGACATCAAAATAATTATTTTAGAAACGTCTGAAAGAACATTATTAATCAAGAAAACCCCTGGGAAGAAATCTGTCTGTTAATTCGCGTGGGCATTATTCGTAAACAAAACGTTCCTTGGTGATCTTGGCTACGACAGTCTTGCCGTCGAACAGCTCCTGTGTGGTGCGCTCCACAACTCGTCCTTCCCCATGCTCTGTCTGCACTCCCTTGTTACGCGTCTCCACCGAAGCCGTTGAAAGAGTCCCCACCATCGATGTCATAGTTGTCACTCTGCGTACAGGGGCCGGGCAATGGTCATTGCGAGTCTCCACGGCCCGACGATCAGCCTTGTCTGGGTGAAGTTGCAAGACGTCGAGGTTCCGTCCAGGCGTACGGGGAACCTCCGGTTCTGTCGAGGACTCGTGTGCGGCCTCCCAGTGGCGATCTAAGTCGTGCTTGCGACGAAAGAGGCTCGGACATGACGGACACTTCAACTTCCCTTTTTCGAGATGCTGCTCATCGATGTGTCTTCGCAGGCTGGCTGCACTTGTAAACTGCTTATGGCAGACTTTGCAGGTATGTTCGCCCTGAGGAGAACGGCTTCGAGCTAGGTCTCGTCCCATCTTTCTGAAATGATATAAACGAAAAGAACCTCTGGTTATGTACATGTATAATTTCTGGTTGGACTTTCCTGCTTGTCTGCAAGATAGGCTATAACTGCCATTCTCCATACCGCTGCGGGGGCCGCCGAGGCCGTTTGGGCCTTACTTCTACTACTGGGTTACATTGCAAAGCCAGGGGACCACCCTCATCTTGAGAAATTGGCATGGAACTAGCGGGTCTGTCCGGGGCCTCAAATTGACTGTTATTCTCTGGGCCTATAAGGTCGGGTCCTCGGTCTCCTCCACAGACATCGTCATTCTCCTGGTAGTCACAGTCAGGGCAATTATCACTGAGCCCATCAATATCGGAGTCGTCGTCCTCCGGGCTATGCGGTGATGAATTATCTCCGGGGTTTGGTACTGCCCTGTGTTCACCCGTCTGTGGTTTTAACCACGTTCGGTCTACGTCACCGTGGAATGGCTTCAACCGATTGACGTGAAGCACTCTTGGCTTGTGTCGGGCACTTTTCTGGACTCGGACAAGTACATCACTGAGTACCTTGGTGATAAGAAGAGGGCCGTCCCATTTCGGCTGCAGTTTGGGGGAAAGGCCGACTTTCTTTGTTCCCACCCTCTCCATAACGGCTCCACCAATCTCGTAGCGCCCTTTTTTGGCTTTGTGGTTGTAGTTGCGGCGCTGGTATTTGGCCGATTTCTTGAGTTGTTCTCTGGCTAACTCATGGATGGCATCAAACTTGTCCCGCAGGTCTTCTACATAGTCTATGGGCACTCTGTCGGATTCTGGCGGGAAACTGCACATCAAGTCCAGCGGGAGCTCCACCTCTCTTCCGAACAGCATCCGGTTTGGCGTCAGGCCAGTACTTTCGTGCACTGAGGCACGATATGCCATCATGACTAACGGAACGTGATTGTCCCAGTCCTTCTGGTTAGCCGCTGTATATGAGGATAGCATGGTCTTTAGCGTCCTGTTAAAACGTTCGACCTGACCATCGCTCTGTGGGTGAAAGGGGGTTGTCCTCGTCTTATCGATTCCAAGTAAGGCACAAATCTCCTGGAACAACCGGCTTTCGAACTGTCTCCCTTGATCACTATGAAGTTGGCGGGGAGTTCCAAATCTACAGACGAACTCCTTCACGAAGATTTCGGCAACTGTCCTTGCATCCATGGTGGCCATCGGATATGCTTCGGTCCACTTTGAGAAATAGTCAGAGATCACCAAAATGTACCGGTTACCATCGTTCGTCATTGGTAGTGGTCCTGTAATATCTAACGCCACTCTCTCCAGTGGCACACCAGAGATTTGCTGCTTTAAAAATGCCTTCTGGTGTTTAGCCGGTAGTTTTTGTTTGGCACATTCTAGGCATTTTCTGCACCACAGATCCACGGACTCCTTCATCTTTGACCAGTAGAATCATGCTTTCGCCTTCTCGTACAGCTTCTTGGCACCAAGGTGCCCTCCAGTCGGTGAGTTATGTAGCTGTTGCAAAACTTCCTTTTGCAGTTTTCGGGGTACGACAAGGCGGTAACGGACTTCATCGCCGGTATCGTCTTCCCACTTCTTGTGCAATGCACCCTCCCGAAGGCAAAGTTGATCCCAGGCACCCCACATGCTCTTTAACTCGGCGCTCTCCGGAGAGACTTCTGTCCATTTTGGTTTTGGTTCTTTCGACTCGATCCACCTGATAATCATCCCAAGGCTTCGATCTTGTAATTGCTGTTTGCGCAACGTTTGAGTGGTCATGCTTTGCAGCCAGTTTGGCTCCACAACCCGGGCAACGGCAAGCCTTATCGACAGTTCCCTTGTTGGACTGCTGCTTCCTTCCTTACTTTGTGGCATGTCCGTCTGCTGGTCATTTGCTGAAGGCTCCATTCCTGGCTTAGATGGCAACAGTACTTCGGTAGTGGGGCAGTCACTCTTTACCTCATCATGATCAGTGACTTCACCAGGAACCCATTCACACTGCCTGCACGGCATCCTGGACATGGCGTCCGCGTTCCCATGCCTGCGCCCGGGTCGGTGTTCGATCTGAAAATCGTACTCCGCCAAAACCTGAAGCCACCTCGCCACCTGCCCAACGGGTTCCTTGAATCCAAATAACCATCTTAACGCACCGTGGTCCGTCCGGAGCTTGAACCTCTGTCCATACAGGTAAGGCCGGAAGTGCTTTACGAAGAACACCAGTGCGAGCAGTTCCTTCCTCGTTACGCAGTAGTTTCTTTCGCTTTTCGTTAAGGCTCTACTGGCGTAAGCTATGACCTTTTCAGTTCCGTCCTGTCTTTGTGATAATACGGCCCCGATTCCATAATCGCTGGCGTCTGTGTCTAAGATGAATTCGCCGGTCGCTGAAGAATACGCAAGGACTGGCGAGGAGATCAGTCGAAGCTTCAGAGCATCAAACGCCACCTGACATTCATTGGACCAGACAAAAGCATTGCCCTTTTCAGTAAGTCTGTGGAGGGGTCTGGCCAGCTCAGCGAAACTTGGCACAAAGCGGCGATAATAGGACGCGAGACCGAGGAAACTACGGACTTCGTGTAAGTTGCTCGGGACTGGCCAATTCTGTACTTTCTGAACTTTTTCGGGATCTGTCTTGACGCCCTCGTTTGACACAATGTGACCTAGGTAGGAAACCTGTCGCTGCAGCACATGGCATTTTTTCGGCTGAAGTTTTAATCCAGCTTCCTGAATGCGGGCCAGTATCTGCTGCAGGCGTTCAAGATGTTCGTCAAATGTCCGGCTGTAGACAATAATTATATCATCAAGATAGACCAAGCAGGTCTGCCATTGCAGACCACGGAGGACCCCCTCCATGAGTCTTTCGAATGTGGACGGGGCATTACACAGCCCAAAGGGCATTACCTCGAACTGGTAAAAGCCGCAGTGGGCTGCAAATGCCGTCTTGTCTTTGTGGTCTTCATCCAGAACTCGGCTTGATGATTCCCTTCTTCAGCATCGACTGAATTTCCTCTTCCACTACGGCCCTTTGTCAGATTGGCAGTCGCCTTGCCGGTTGCTTAATAGGAGTGGCAGATCCTTTTTCGATACGGTGCTTAGCTAGCTTCGTACAACCTAAGTCTTCCGAGTTGGCAGAAAACTGATTTTGGTACCTGACCAGCAATTCTTTGAGTTGCATTCTTTGCCCGGCGTCTATCTCTTTAGAGCCTTGCTCATAAAGATTTTGAAGATGAGCTGGTACCGCAACTTCTACGTCCTGGTAGCCTGCTTCGCTTTCAGCTGTAGAGACCAAGTTAACGCGCTCTATCACATTTGTCCGATCGGATTCTGTGTCAATGGCGGGCCCTACTGCATCCACTGTCAGGAATGTCCCTGCTGTGGCACCCTTGTAGAGGGTCACATGGTCACTGGTTGGATTCCACAGTCTCACTGGCACTGTCTCTTCAGTCGTGCTCACGAGTGATGAGGCCACAATGAGGTTCTCTCTTTGCACCATTCCAGGTGTTGGCTCTATTAACCCATAGGCCACACCTACGTCACTTTCGCCAAGGCTCCCGACTATAACCATCTCAGTCTGTGGTGGGACAACAACTGTTTCCTGCACAGTCACGCGGCAACACTGCAGTGGCTCCGCTGTATCCCTTAGGGAGAGTTCAGTCCCCCTCCACTTCAGACTCTTCCCGTTGATGTCTATAATGCAATTCTCCTCCCGTAGAAAGTCAAGCCCCAGTAGCACGTCATTGCTGACATCAGCTATGATGAACTTGTGTGCTATTAGTTGACCTCCCAACTGGAGTTCTGCTCGTACCTCTCCGATTACTGTCAAGTCCTTTTCATCGGCGAGGTGAACCCGGACATCAGATTTGGTTATACCAGCCTGGGCCTCGACAGGCCACTTACTCACGACTTTCTCTGACAGAATAGACGCTGTTGCCCCCGTGTCAATCAGTGCTACGACGTCCATTCCGTTGATGACAGTGTCCATGTGCAATCCTTCTCCAACAACAGTAACACTCCGGCTCAGTAGATCTTTTGTAGGCCCCTCCCTAATAGCTGCGTCTTGGGCCACAGACACAGCTCCTAACAGTTTCCCGTGGGTTTTGTTGGGTTTGAAACTTGAACTGTCGCCTCCCCCTTCTCCTCACTTCTGTCCTTAGCAAGCTGGGGACAATTTGGCTTGATGTGACCATATTCGTCACACTTGTAGCACCTAGGTCCCTTTCCATCGGCTCTTCGATTTTTGCCTTTGTTTCGGGTGTTTATGGACTTCCGTAACTTTTGCAGTTGGTCTGCCAGTTCTTGGAATTGTTGTTGAAGCGCAGTTGGTGTTTGCTGAACATCACTACTGCTTTGCCCTTCTGGAATTACCTGTGCTGCGGCGGCCCGTTCTTTCTTAGGCTCAAAGGTGCTGCGGGCCTTTTCGGCCTTTTGTAAAGCTTCTAATTCAACTGCCGCTGCCACTGCGTCGTCAAGGGTAGTTGTCCTCATTTGAATGACCCGAATCCTGATTTCGCTGTCTTGTAGAGCGTCCAGAAAATGATCCCTACCCATGCGGTCTCTGCTGTCTGCCGAGAGATCGACATAGACTTTGTCCACCAATCGCCTTATGTCTTCAGCCATTTCCACCAAGCTCTCTGTGTTCTTTTGCCTGCGGCTCCTTAGTTGCGCTCTGTGCAATTCCAGTCTGCCCGTAGGGTCGAAACGTGCCTGCAGAGCCTTTACCAACAATTTGTAGTCACTTGTTGTTTCCTTAGGAAAACCACCTAATATCTGTTGAGCAGGACCATTTAGCAACACTGCCAAGTATTGAAGTTTGTCGCGCTCACGCCAGCCGTTCAGTTCGGCGCACAGTTCAAAGTGCTTGTGGTAAGCTGTCCATGATGTCTTTCCGTCGTAACGGTCCGGTTTCATCAAAGGTCTCTCCCGCGGTTGGTCTTTCCCTTTTGGTGTTTTTGGATTTGGCTGACTAGGCTTTTCCCGATCTACCGTCGGCTCAGTTGGTGTTCCTTGGGTTGGACTCAATCTTGACACTTTTTCACAACCTCCTAACGGTTTCGCGATAGGCCTAGGTGCCGTTCCTTTGTCACAGTTAGCAAGCGGCTGACTGCTGGTGTAGAAATCCGGTGTCCTGCCTAGGTTACGCTCAGGCTCATGCAAGTAGCAAGACGGGTCGGGAAACAGGGTCGTCCCCAATGGTGCAAACCTCACTGGAGGTTCTATCCCAGGCCACGTAGCGTCAGCAATTCTGTCTGCACGGCCTGGCTCTCTACCTGGACTGTAACTCATATACTCTGTGAGTTGAGGCAAAGGAGGGAAAATTTCGGTCAGCGCCGGCCCTGGTTTCTGGTGAGCAGAGGTAGACTCGCGGGTCGAGGTATTTGTGGCCATCAGGTCACGGCGATTTCCGGCCGCTGCATTCAAAGATGAATTGTCAGCTTCCATGTGATTTGCAAAGGCTGGGCTCGCATTTCCAGACTGCACACCGTAATGCCATGGGTTCATTCTGGCTGGCTTGCCGGCACCGGGGGCTCGGTCAGCTGGCGCTAGTTGTTCGCCGGTGGAACGACGATCACTATATTTGCTGGAGTGCATTTTGTCAGAACGCAGTCCAAAATTGATTCCGCTGTGGTCTGTAGCACGTGATTTTCCAACCTGCACCTCTTCTGCGAAATGGGTGTTCGCTTCTATGCAAGCATCGGGGCAGATGTGGTCCCTAGGCAGTTGTACGCTGAACCGACTGGGTAAACTTTGGGTTGGATCCGCCCGGAAAGGTTGGTAGCTCTCCATCGGCGGTGAATCAGGAACATAGCTAAACCTTGGTTCGGAGCCTGCGGCGGCATGACTGGAAATCCTGGAATCTGGAACACCATATGGGGTGCTCTGTCGAGGCGCCACTTGCTCTATTCCGGGTCTAGCGGACTCAGTTCCGCTATTCAAGAAATATTGGTCCGGCTGTGAAGCACCACTGGGTTCCTGTTGCATGCTTTTGGTGTTTACTGACTCACATTTGCTGGCTATAGTTGCCGACAGGGTTTCAATTTCTTTACCAACCTCTTCTAACTCTCTGGTGAGAAGCTTATACAACCGACTTTGTCCCTGTGGTGATGAAAGCAGGTGGAAGTCAGTTCCACAGTTCATCGCAAAGGCCATCGTTCTTTCTCTCACAGCAAAATTAATTCTGTCTTTTATTTATTTAGCAGACTACAATGTATGTCTTTCTGAGCGGCTTTATGATTTCCGGCTGGTTCTGTGATTCTCCGGGCGGCTTTTGAATTCCGGCCGGCTGTCTGGCTCTCCGGGCGGCTTTGGAATTCCGGCCGGCTGTCTAGCTCTCCGGGCGGCTTTGGAATTCCGGCCGGCTGGCTGGTTTTCCGGGCGGTTTGTCGGACACGGGGGGGGATTTGGTTTGAAAATTCACTACAACCTACGTTCTAAGCCTAGCTTCGATTAAAATCATAACACAAAAGAGTTCATATCCCGCTGCTGCCACCAATGTAACGGGTCTGGTTGCGGTCAAGGGCTTTTCAGGGCGGATTTGCTAGGGAAAATTAGGTCGGGTGCTTATGACAAATAGCTACGGACGTGGACGGCACACAGACAGACAAATGGCAAAGTAAAATAAACACGGACACAGATGTTGGGTTCAGGAACAATTCTTCTTGTGATCGATATAACTTTATTCCACTTTATTCCACTTACATCTTTCCTGTCAAATAAGTTGCACGAGTCACTGGTCTGCCGCACAAGCTGTCCGAATCGTTAGCACGATTCTCTCAGTCCGACGCCCAGCTGGAAAGTGAGCGCGCTACTAAAAGCCCGCGAAAAACCTGGCTTGTTGCCCAGTAACACAAGTACAACGCGCGTGTCACGTACGCAGCGCGCAGAGCAGACGTGACCCGGCCGTGTTCGTTACAGTATCTTAAAATAATTATCAAATTTTGTTTGTATTTTCATCATTAAGGCGAATGGAAAAACTCTTTCGGATAGGTTTACCAGAGTTGCTGGTATTTCAATTATCATTGTTGTTGTTTTTTTAAATGCAAGGGCGGATCCAGGAATTTTTGCGGGGGGGGGGGGTATCAGCAATTAAGTCTGAAATGTAGACAGATTTTTTCTCCGAACACTTGGCCTCCGAAAATCAATGGGTGGTTTGGGGGGGGGGGGGGCTCGTGCCATACTTTCAATGGGGGCGCTGTTCAAATCCGACGGTTATTAACACTATATTACAGAATTGTGTACATATACCCCCTAACTAAGCTGGCTCTGTCCGTATTTTGTGTACAGGCGGACGTTATTTCCAGTATAAATGTTTCTGGTGTCACAGCGGGGGGGGGGGGGGGGGGGGGGGGTTCGCACGATTTTTATTGAATTTCTATGAAGAAAAAAAAAGGAAGAGCCGGGGGTTTTGACCCTCCCCCCCCCCCCCTGATCCGCGCCTGCTATGAGATTCAGAAATAATGCTCTGCCAGACATTCAGAATGGGATGCTTACCCTTCTAGCACTACAGCTATGTAAGGTAGTCCTGGTGCCGCTTGAGCTTCCTCGTAAGATCGATGGATATCAGGGTGATACAAAACATCCGGATCCTTGCCCTCAATAACTTCATCATCATTCAGTCGAATGATGGTCAACTCCACGCAGCTACTCAAACATTGATGCGAACATTATTTTTAGTGATATTATTATTTTTAGCGAATTAGTGATAAATAAAACAGATTCATACTGAGTCAATGTAAGTAGATGTCCCGACAACAACAAAAGTGGTTCTTTATTTTCGGAGTATTTTTTCTGGAAATTTATTTAAAATACAAAATAGAAACGCATATCAGCCGGGGTTTCAGCTACCTTTTCTTGGCGGAGTGAACATCTTGATTAATAACGTTGGAATAAGAAGGTGGACAACAGTCAAAAATAGAATTTGTTTGCTTTCAATCATTATCTGATAGAAGTTACAGGTATGCGAGTGGACGAGAAGCCCTCTTAGTTTAGAACTCACCTGATGGGTCCGTTTCGTTGACTAACCGGTCCAGCTTTCATCGTGAAAGTGCTGTCTGTGATCTGATTCTCGGAGGAGTCGGACACCATCGGTTGTTGTAGCTCAGCGGGAACTGTGTTTTGGGGAAATTCAATTAATATTGCAAAGTAAAAAAAAACCTCAAAACTAAAGTCCTGGAAAAGCAGTAGGTCTTTACTGTTTTTCAAATATATCGCTGCTTTTCTTTAACAATTTATTTCAAAACTGATCAATCATTGGGACAGTTGTAACTTGTCTCCTAAAACTATACACAGTAACATACAGTCACTCTCTCAACACAAAACATATTCCATGATGATCGCTACGGATATACCTGCTCGCGGTGAATCACACGTCAAATCGGTCTCCGTACTGACAGCTCCCTCACCGGCTTGAGTAGAGGCACGGACTTCAAATCTGTACCGAGTGTAGACAGTCAAGTCGACCTTTCTGACAGAGTACGATCTTGAAGTCACATTGGTGACAACGAAGTCAGACTTTTCCAAATCAGGGATTTCATCCATGTTTTCTGTTCCAGCGTCTGGGAACAGGTACGCATTACGGAAAATCTAAAATAAGAAAACCAAAAACAAAACTGACGTTTAATCATAGACCTCTACTGACGAAGTTGCTTTATTTGCTTGCCTGAAAACATATCTTGGACGGAAATCAAGCTGAACATCGCTCGAGACGCGCTAGCGAATCAGCACCTACAACACACCGCTCGTAACTGAATGAATACTTTACCAATTCAAATAGCCATCTTCGCTGGCCAGGGTACTTCATTGGCAAACGGGGTCCAAATTTTCACTACATTGTATTTTGAAACTCGTCGTCAGCCAATCAGATTGTCACCCAATCAGATTGTTCAGATTGTCTTCTGAACCAACGCTTCTTCACAAAACACATTAAATTTTGTCACAAAAAAATACTTTCCAATTTACCACTCAACCATGCAAAACTTCAAACAACACTTCTGTCTTATCTGATTGACAGATTATGTACCCTCACTTTTACCTATTTTCGTTGCTAAACAATGGCAGGGTAATAATTTGCTCTTGCAACTAATACGATTCGTCATACCTTGTAGGAAACAATGATGCCATTTTCGTGTTCAGGTGGATCCCACGTGAAGATGCATGTGTCTCCTTCATTGTCCAGAAGAACGTTAACAGGTGCTGATGGAACTGGAATTCAAGCATGAATATTAAAAAGAAAATAGTCAGAGGGATCTACAACATCACACATTTAACTTTAGACTGATCAGGATAGCGCCCCTTAAACATAGACATTGACAAGCTGGGGACCCGCCAACGTAGGGCCGGCTGGATAGCTCAGTTGGTAGAGCACGGTGTCCCGGAAGTCGCAGGTTCAAACCCCGCTCCATCCATTTTCCCAGTTCAACATTTAAATTATTACAATACACCTTGTCAGTTTCCCTTGTGGTTTATTTTATTACATGAAACTTAAGGCATAATTTGCGGTTCTTACCACTCTGTGCAGTCTTGTGTGCAATCATTTGAGAATCAGCTCCCTTCAGCTCATTGCTTCTTTCCACGTTGAATGCCGTCACAAAAATAGTGTAGTCTCGGTACGGACTCAATTCACTCACGACCAGAGATAAGGGTGCAGGGTTTCCTGGTCCAGGGGCTTAGATGAACAGAATATGCATGAATGAATAATTACTAAATTCCTGCGCTAATTATGTCGGATCACTTGATAATAAATTTAAAAACAAAAACAGCCCAGACAAATGTTTAAGATGAAGGGTTACTTAAGAACAACTTAAACTCCCTCAGCCCACTGAGATATAGCCTTTGGGGTGACTTCTGAAACAAACTTGTAATCCATAGACCCCTACACCGTATCTTTACCTCATGAGATAACTTTTGGATCATGCCAGATGTTGGGTCTAAGTAATGAATGAAACGATATAGCTAGTTAATGGAATTTTGACCAATCATTCAAACAAACTGATGAAAACAAACAAAAACCAAATCTCAAACCATTATGAAAACATGAAGATGTTTGAGTGCAAGTTAATTATCTCACTTCGGTGTGACTTTGGCTCATCAAATGCGGAGTCAACTGTTACAACGTAGTAAGCAATAGTGCCTCTCTTGATTACAGGTGCATCCCACTCCACAGTGAGAGAGCTCGAAGTAATCGCTGTCACTCGGACATTCTCTGGGGCATCAGGTGCTAAATACAAAATAAATTTGAAGAAAGGTTTACTTAAAGATAAAAAGTAACCTTACTGTTGCCATTTGCATTAAGACATGCATGTATGTATTCAGTACGTTTTAGACCAATGACATATGAAAGCTAACAAAATTCACAGCTGATAAGGCCTGTTTTAAAAAAAGGATATAAAACAATTTCAAATATAAGGAATAAAACAGGATATAAAACAATTACAATTATAAGCAAAAACAAAAGTCTTATTAGAAAATCAAACCTGCTTTAGCAATCATGTCAAATTATGTAAAAAGAAAGGTCTACGCTTTGCCTTGCAAAGTTTAAAAACAGTACCTATTTTTTCACTTATTATCAGTCAGACCTGATTCTTACCTGCCTGTAGAGTTCTAATTGGGTTTGGTAGCATTACTTCCAAGCCTACACCAGCTCTGTTCCGACAGATTACCCTGACTGGGTAATCAGTATACGCATCGAGGTTTGTAATGCGTCGTGATAGTGGTGGCTCCTCAGCGAATGCCCCAAGTGTCCAATCAGGACGTCCAGGTTTTCGGTAATCCACCTTACACATGAATGGCAGAGCATTACCATCATAACTGACTCTCCAAGTGACCTCGACTTCTGTGGCACTAACGGCCGTGGCATCAACATTATCTACCTCAGGAACCTCTGTAAGTAAGATTGAGAGATCATTGTTATTGTCACAACTGAATTTCTGATTCAAGAGAATTGAAAGTGCATCATTACACTTTAAAGACATGCACATGTTGACATGTATATCATTCAAATAATTAAACACAAAATGGACAAATCCTAGTAAGCAACATTTTAATTCATTTTTTGGAAGAGGCTGTCCCAAATGATGGTTTCTGCTCTCTGTTCATTTAGATTCAAAGAAATAACCCAGTAGCTTTTAGTAAAGTGCTGGAAATAGATACTTTTATTCTGTGCCATTCACAAAAAGTACTGCATTACTTCTTTAAATCTAAGTGAGTGGAGGGCATTCATCCCGTTCAATATTATTTGAAAACATTCCCAGTGGAGAGTATTTTTTCCCTCTCGCTGCACAGTGTGATTCGAAATATACATTTAAACGAGCAAAACAATCCCTCCTTTGAGATATTTGAATGCATCTACTCATCTCACTTACCGATAACAATAATGGCAGCCTCCCTTCGATCTTTATCCTGAGTAAGACTATTCGAAGTCTCACAGATATAAGTTCCATTATCAACTCGGGCAAGATTCAGCACACTCAGTGAACTAGTCAGACGTTCTTGGCCATCAACCGATAAAATGGAATACTTAGGATCAGTAGCCTCTATGACTGCATTGTTCTTATCGTACCATGTGATCACAGGTCTTGGTCGAGCATTTACTACGCAGTAGACAGTTGCAGTTTCTCCTAATTTACCCTCGGTGCTCTCATTTAGTGATATGATGCGCCCAGGTCCTACAAGAGCAAGGGCACACAGTTAAAGACACAACGTTTGGGTATTATGTCTACTTTTATTTCCATAATGTGTTTTCCAGATTTCCAAAATATGTTTTCCAACTAAAAGAAAAGTCAGCATTTATTGCGTATTTGTTCACACTTGTTCCTGTTTCATCTGTGGATAGTTAAAGTGTTCTTTTTCCTAAGGAGTTGTTGACCAAAAAGGACAAATAAAGACCAGGAGAGCTGGTCCATGAATGCATCAAGCAGTGTGGTATTTATCAGACAGGCTATTTACATGCAACCAAGGTTCTATTCAATTTTAACAACAACTCGTCCGAAAAAAGTCTACCAGTTAGACCAGGAAATTGGGTTATAATTATTAGGGATACATAATGATAGTGATTGACAGTATTAACTTACCAAGGACATCTAATTCAAATTCATCTGAATCTGACAATCCAACTCCATTTATCACCGTTGTCGCTGTACATGTATATTTCCCACTGATGGCTGGGCTGATGTCATGTACGATGATCTCATACAAACCCTCCATTATCATACTGGCAGTCTCTGATGTTCCGTCAGGATTGGTTATTATCACGGGATTCGCAGGATCCAGATCTCCTGAAGGTAGATTGACTTGACACCGCAGTGAAGCGTTATCAACAGCAGCTGTGTCCAAGACTGGTTCCTCGGTCACAGATAATTCTACGTCCAGGTAATCTGCACGGAGGTTCATGGAAGTAATGATTGATTAGACATGTATATGTCCATGACGAAGTACTTTATCCATTATGTATGAAGCCCGGGAAGGGACAGGGTGGAATTTTTTTTTTGGAACTTCCTAATTCGTTCGCACGAATTACTAATTCGTTCGCACGAATTACTAATTCGTTCGCACGAATTACTAATTCGTTCGCACGAATTACTAATTCGTTCGCACGAATTACTAATTCGTTCGCACGATACTAATTCGTGGGAACGAATTAGTAATTCGTTCGAACGAATTACTAGGGCTAATTCGTTCGCACGAATTAGTAATTCGTTCGCACGAATTAGTAATTCGTGGGAACGAATTAGTAATTCGTGCGAACGAATTAGAAATTCGTGCGAACGCATTGGTAATTCGTGCGAACGAATTAGTAATTCGTGCAAACGAATTAGTAATTCGTGCGAACGAATTAGTAATTCGTGCGAACGAATTACTAATTCGTGCGAACGAATTACTAATTCGTGCGAACGAATTACTAATTCGTGCGAACGAAATAGCAAACTCCAAAAAAAAATTCTACCCTGTCCCTTCCTGTGCTTCTTAATTATGACCAATTCTCAGCATTATTTGCATTTTAAAATCCTATATAAAAAATTACCAATCTAAAAGCTGGCACCAAATCAGTCAACATTTTGCCGTATATCCGGTGTGGCAGCATTACCAACATAGCACATTCCCTATTATGAAAGTATTCACTGAAACAATTCTCTGCCAAAGGCGGACCGGGGGACCAACGAGGGGCAATGGCCCCCAAAAACGAACCCTTTTTTTTTTTTAAGTGACGTTGCCATAAAAGCGAGCACTGCGTACGCTACCATCTTTCTCAAAATAATGTTCGTTAAAGTGGTAAGAAATTGCCTCAGACCGCACCACAGGGCATCTAGAATCAAAAAAAGAAATCCGGGCCCTGAGGCGGGCCCCGAACCCCACGCCGTAAATTTTTTGGACCAACTTTTTGGGGGACCAAACAAATTTTGCCCCCCAAAAAATTGGGTTCTGGATCTGCCCTTGTTCTCGGCCATTATTATCGATTCTCCTTTTCAATTTTATCAGAAATAAAAAAGGCTCAGACATCAAGATAGTATTAATTGGAGAAGTGAAAGTAAATTGTACTAAATGTACATCTTTCTTACCTTTGTCGCATACAGCATTTGTAAACCCAGGAGTACAGGTGCATGCACCATTCACGTTATTACAATCTGCGCCTTGTATGCATGTGCAGCGTGACAAACATCCAAGTCCAAAGAAACCATCAGCACATTCTAGGATAAAATACAAACAATAGCAAATTGTTAAAACTGTTATTTTACTATTCACTGTAAGTAATACACCCCCATCTCTCCCCAATTTAACCTAGAAAATATCAAACATTGACCAAAAATGTCTTGACACTATTTGCTTTGTTTGTGCTGGTCCCAGAGGGAAAGCCTGCAGTCCTATTGTACCCAACTGACTGACTGACTATCACTTGTGACTACTTCTGGTTGTTGGTTTGTGAAGAGAGCCTGGCGGTGCTATTGTGTAGGATTACCTTGTAACAGGCTTAATCCAGTCCACTGTGTAGACCAGATGCATCAACAGACTACCAGCGAATACCCATTCTGCATCACTTGAATGGGATATGGTTTGCTATGGGATCAGCTTTACTAGGCTTTCCCTGGTCTAGTTTTAGTATCAGAACAGCATCTTCCATAGATGTTTCACAAATTGCAGTTTCAAGTGAAACAGGAACCTAACCCATTATCACTTGTATTACACTGTAGTATATACTGTATCTTTGATGAATTCAGAAAACCATAGAGTGGTATTAGGAGTAATTGGCAGGGTGCTTCACTACGGCACAGGGAATAATGGGTTAAAGTTTCAAGGCACTTTAAGAAAGTATTTTTCAAATGATTACTTTTCAACTGATTGCATGACGTCACGGTGCATGAAGCTATGCAAAAGTTAGCATCAACATCCAGTGCATACATTACTTTACACAGACACTTAATAATTATTTTTGGAAGTCATTATCATTTCATTCATGCTTTGTTAATATTTGACTTTACTATGGATTGTTTCCTTTTAGATCACCCATACCTGTGCACGTCACTCCACTACCAGTGTAGCCAGCTGTACACGTGCACAGAAAACCTCCATCTATGTTTGTACAGTTTGCAAAGGTGTCACAATTATCTCTATTCATCACTGCAGAGCATTCATCGAAATCTATCAATGGAAAGAAAAATAAACAAGATAAATGCAACAATGAGATATACATTATTTGTTTTGGTCCAATCATTTTAAAAATGACCCAAAACAGGAAAAGTGATGTAAAACTATTAAATTAAAATGTAACTAACAGACTGACACACAAGTTCAATTAATAAAACAACAGTTGGTCACTAATACAGTAGTGTTTAGGCCGTGTCTGAATTACTTCGCCACGGTTTGAAATAACACACATAGGTCTAGGGAAAGTAGCTGCTGGACTACTCCCCATAGACCCGTAGACTTGTGTGTTATTTAGCCATAGCAAAGTACTTTGCACGCCGTCATAGCATGTGAAGGTCACAAAAATTAATTTCATTTTCAGCAGGGGAAAAAACGGCGATTGTAATTCCTAGAACTTATACAAAAAAGAGAAAAGGTTACATTTTGGCCATATGATAGCTACACCAGTACTAAAGCACATTGTTCAATTGGTATTCTATACCTATAACGGTGACTGTGAATGCACAGTTAATCAGAGCCATATTGCCAGCAGCATCTCTTGCTATACATGTGACATCCGTATCACCAATCCTAAAGGCGTGATTGGTTGATGGTGTACACGTCACAGTAGGAGCTATTCCTGTAGTATCCGTGGCTGTAGGAGTGGTCCAAGTAACTGAAGTTGATGTCATACTTTCAGGATCCGCAACTTGAGCATCTGGTGACCTACAGGTGTTGGGATCAAAGACGGGAGGAGTAGTGTCTGTGAATAAAAAAGGATGTTTCATTAAAAAGCAATTTCATTTACTTTATTTATCGTTTTCAGATCATCTATAACGAAAAGTTACTAAATCATTGGACTTACACACTAAACTCGGTGAAATACAACACAAACTGTGAGGTAAAAGCACACACCATTTTCCGTGAGCTTGAAAAGGTAGTTTCTCCACATTATTAAGGTATAAGAAAAAACAATGTGCTATGAGAAAAAAACAACATTTGCGAAAGCAATGTTTGGAAGGTTTTCTCGCCAGATATAGGGTCATATGTCCATAATTACGACTGAAAGACAGCACTTTTTCTGAATGACCAGAAATGTTCCAGTTCTGAGGGGAGATATCGGGTGACAATTACAATTTCAAAAGGTGGATTCTGTTAATCATATGTTTACAATTCTCCATTTCTGCTACGTGAAGATATTGGACATTGGATTCATGATCAGATTGTCTTCTATTTAGGAATGTAACAGACAACATGTACATGTTTTCATACCTGAGCAAGTATGATCATCCATGTTAGGTTTACTGTAGCCATTGTTGCATGTACATGAGAACCCTCCATCTTCATTACTACACTCAGCATTGACACAATCATGACGACCAGGTGAACCCACTGAGGCAGTGCACTCATTGAAATCTGCAAGAAAAACAATTTAACCAACATTCTATATCACATAGAGAAGATAATAATTAAAGCGTGTTGTACTCAAACCTGACATTAATCTCAACAAATTTAAGAATTGCATATTGACATTTACATGTTCTTACAACATGCAAAGTCTTTCCTTAACATCAAGAACATCTTTCAAATACATTCATTGCACTCCTCTCCCAAAACTTCAAACCTCCAGGATAATTATAAACATACCCGTAACAGTCACAGTAAATGTACAGTCAGGTGTGGCCTTATTTCCAGCAGCATCTGTTGCTGTACATGTGACAGGTGTCTGACCAATCACGAAGTCTGTTCCTGAGGCCGGTGTGCATTCCACAGTAGGAGCAACATTGGTAGAATCAGTGGCTGTAGGATCGGTCCATGTTACCATGGTAACCATGCTTCTGGGATCAGCCACACGAGATATTGCTTGAGGACAAGAACCGGGTGTAAATACTGGAGGCTCAGTATCTATAATAAAAAGAGGAATAAACAGTATATCAATTATATCTTTTAATTAAAAAGGAATATAGACATGCAAGATGGAATAGTGGATGATGTCAAGTAACTAGCTCATGAAAGCCAGCGTGTGTGGGACAGGGTTGGTTTGCGCATTTCAGAATGGGCATACAATTAAAGTGTTGTCACAGATTGACACACCCCTGAATAATTATATATATGCGCACTGCAGAGACATGAGGTCAACACAACCATTAAGATACAAACTAACAAGTCGCGCTTAATGAATAAGATGTGTTTTACTTATTTTTAAATGGAGTGAAAGTAAAACCTAAAAAACTAACTGATTGACCAATACCTGTGCAAGTATGATCATTCATGTTGGGTTTACTGTAGCCATCGTTGCATGTACATGAGAACCCTCCATCTTCATTAATACACACAGCATTGACACAATCATGACGACCAGCTTCCATTGAGGCAGTGCACTCATTAAAATCTGAAATGGATCAATAAAAACATGACGGGAAACAAAAAAGAACAGGAAAACATTTGCCAAATAAGTTACATATATCACTGAATTATTAACAATGTGCTAAGCTATTTTCTGTTCCAATATTAGGCTACATAATAAGAGTGATTTGCCAACCAACATATCTTTACGGAGTTATATTAGTCTTTGTACCGACTCCCCCCCCCCCCCAACAGATATGAAGAGAGAGTTGAGAAGACCACTTTGAAGGACGTTTGAACTTATAACACCTCGCCCACAGATTCTGTGTCTTGATTGGGCGAGAGCGAGTCACATGATACTTTCTATTTTTGCTATCTTTTTGTGCACAGCCAAAAGTACTATACCCGTAGTAACCAAAGTACTATACCATTAGCAACCAAAGTACTATATCCCCGGCGCGGTATTTGTGTGCAAATGCATGCTGGTGTGCGCGTTGCGCGTAGCGCACTTTGTTCCAAAGAGAGCGCGCCGCAGAGTTGGGTTCAAACATTTCGTAAAGGGGTAGTTTGGAAGAGAGAAATACATTCTCCACCAATTTTGTATTGAAATTGAAGTTTATTTCAACTGTGTTCAGATTTAAATAATTTAAAATATTAAAACCAAGCAGAATCTGTGGGGGAAGTGTTATAAAACAAATATTGAATGCTTTATCTCGTGGTGAAGTAAAACTAGCCTCCCTCGGTGATCCATGGAGCATTCTATTTTCCCTCGGCGATGTCCATGGATCACTTCGGGAGGCTAGTTTTACTACACCACTCGAAGCATTCAATATTTGTATAATATTACCATTGGTACATGATGCACACATGCTGATATTCTTTGCAACTTAAGTGCACAAACCAATCTGCATACATGCAGCGTGTCCCTCCCACTAGGACTCTCAAAAGTAGTCACAAAGCATTATCTACTCAGGCACGTAGCCAGGGTTTTGTTTGCTTGTTGCAAACTTAAAGTTTCATTCCGTTAATCTATTTTAATCATTCCGATTTTGCTTCTCTGAGCGTCCTGATTTTCCTGTTAGAATCTCTAGCCCGTTGCATTCTGCCACTCTGCACTCTCCTGGTTACGCTACTGCATCTACTGCACACACACAAATGTTATCTAAAAATCTAAGATTAACGTCTTACCCGTGATGATCACATCAAATGAACAGTCTCGTGTATTTCCAGCAGAATCCGTAGCTGTACATGTGACTCTATGGGTGCCAATTTGTAAATCTCGTCCAGATGGTGGATTACATACAACATTTACTGATCCACCGTCAACAACATCAGATGCCATGGGATCGGTCCAGGTTACAGTTGTTGTGGTACTTCTTGGGTCGGCAAATCGATTGATGTCTGCTGGGCACTGGGTATCAAAGACTGGAGGATCATCTGAAAAGTTGAACAGAAATTCAATTAAACTTTACCCCGAGCAATTGATCAGAGGAGAAAATGGAAGTAACAATGTGCAACACATATCAGAAAATCTGAAAATGGAAATATAGCTTTAGGTCAAATTAAAGAAACTGGAAACTGAAGTACTGAATTAAATATCAACAAAAAGCAATAATTTTTTCAAAGACTGCGAAGTTTACTACATATATTACTATTTCTGTAAAACAGAGCAAAGCAAGAAATAGACTTCATGTTGCAAGTCCTACTTGGAAGTAGGAACATCAACCTTTGATTAGAGCACTCGAAAACCTGTAATTCTCTCAAATAATAAAGGGGGTTAAGAGAAAGACGTTACAAAAGCTTAGCTATTTGTGTTTTTGAATGGACAAAGAATTGTCCAACTGTCCTCCCTGTAAGTACCTATACACATTGTTGCATCTCCGCTAGATTGACTATAGCCAGCATTGCAAGTGCACGTAAAGCTTCCTGCGGTGTTGGTGCATTGAGCGTTGGTGCAAGGTGATGGCTGGCATTCATAAATGTCTAATAGCCACAGAAGAAGAGGGATCAAATGTTACATGACAGTGCAACTTGCCCAAATTTTTAAGCAAAAAATATACATCTGAACAATATGTGTGGGAAGATGTGATATGGAAGAACAGGAAAAGGTTCAAGTTGATGGGGTTGTAGTTAAAAATGAAGCTACTGCAGTGTGCATTCAAACAGCATGCTATTTAGGTGCAGCTAAGGTGTTCATTGGATCTATGCTTTTTTTGGTCTCTAAAATGCAGCAAAAATTAAGCAGTGGTTGTTGTTCTGTGGCAAAAATGAGACAGATTTTAATCAGAACGAAATGGATGGTCAAAAAAAGGAAGAGATTTCTGACTATTGTGCAAATTGCATCATTCTACCTTCGCATGTCTTCCCATCTCCATTGTTATTACTGTAGCCGGCATTACAGTTGCAGTTGTAGTCTCCATCTGTATTCATGCAGACTGATATACTTTCATCGCAAGTATGGCGGTCAGAGTTCGTTGCAGTGCACTCATTAAAATCTGACAAAATAATTCAAAACAATATTAAAACCAATGTCATATCACTGTATGCAATCCAGGTTTTAGACCATTATACATGTTATATTAGACCAAAAGGAGGATTACAACAAATGTAAAGTCAACCTCGTTCCCCGTGGGTATGATCTTGCTGCGCCATGTTGTTTCCCATCATGCCTTGTGCCATCATAACCCCTGGCTTTGTCTCATTTAATTGTGTCAGAATATGGCACATTATAATAAGGGCTGCAGTCAATCCGTTTAACGTGCGACGCCATCTTTAAAATGTTCAACATTGTGTTTTTTGAAGAATCAATTCCTTCAAACATGAAATTTCGATGTCGCATTACTTAGCAAGGATTTATATTACATGTACTTACCTCTGTCGTCCCTTTACAACACAAGATAGAGGGTTTTTTGGCCAAAAAAAATCATCCATAATCCAAATCGTACAGGCATCGCTCAGTTTTGAAAAAATATTCGTAAGTGACGTGACGGGCAGGAGATAACGCGCGGGTGCGAAGTCTTTGAAATACGTGCGCAGTATGCTCTGAATAGCCAGTCAGAGTCATTTACGTAATCATCCACGGCCATGGGTTAGTAAAGGCACGAAGGAACGCGCATGAACCCATGGAGTCGGGCTGATGTAAAGTATAAATGGTAATTTTTTTAAGGACTGATTTTTGAAAGTTGTTATTTTAGATTAAAGACAACAATGTGAAGATTACCAAAAAAGGGTTGACATGTTGCAGTCCTGAAGCATAACTCAGGAGTTCTTGGGATATAATCTCACTCATGTCCTTCAAAACTGAATTAGAAGCATTCTAATTCAAAAGGTGAAATTAAGTAATCAGTTACTTATCGTCGGCTGGATTTTTTCTTGCAATATCTCATTGGAAAGCTTATAACTAATGTAATGCTAGAAAATGATCAATTCAATTTGAAAATGTATTGTTCAGGGGTTGCCATACCCAAAAAACATGTATATACCAACTTTAAAACACTATTAACAAACTACTTATTATATTACATTACATTGTACCTTCAACAGTCACAGTAAATGTACAGTCAGGTGTGGCCATATTTCCAGCAGCATCTGTTGCTGTACATGTGACAGGTGTCTGACCAATCGTGAAGTCCGTTCCTGAGGCCGGTGTGCATTGCACAGTAGGAGCAACATTGGTAGAATCAGTGGCTGTAGGATCACTCCATGTTACCATGGTTTCCATGCTTCTAGGATCAGCCACTTTAGTTCTATCAGACGGACAGGAATTGGCCGTAAATACTGGAGGGTCGTTATCTATAACAATTAAAAGAGAAATAAATGTTATGTTGATTTTGTCTTGCATTTATCATGAATATTGACTTCAAGACAGAACGATGTGGCTACAATCAGCCACACCAGATGTTGATGACGGACAGGAATTGGGTGTGAATACTGGAGGGTTGGATCTACGAAAATAATAACAATATAATACTCAATATAAAGGCATCAAACAGATTTAAATTGCAAGTAATTTTTAAATGCACATGTAAATAAACTTTTACTTTTCCTGATTACATTTTGTTAGAAAAGGAATAATGTTACATCCACATATTACATCAGCCTTCGTAAGCATTGGTTTACTGACTTAGTTTACTTAGAATTTAAGAAATGGGAAAATTAGGTGCTGCCAAGAGCGTTTGTAGTGAATCTGTAATTAAACATTTGTGATTGTTTTATTGTAGAGTAAGTATATACTACAGCAAGTCAAATTCTCCCCATGGTTGAGAAAATAGCAATATTGAATGTACATGTATAATGTGTCTTCTTTGACTGAATAAGCCTCTGCACTGATGACATCACACTTTTGTGTGCTCTCCTAAGGTGCTCAATGGACCGTGGGCCCCCACTGACTCAGTAAACGAAGTGTGACCTCCTCAGTGCAGAGGCTTATTAGGTTTTTAACTTTCTGAAAATGTCAAGAATATCCTCCACTCGAACAGAAAAAGTTCAAATCACATAGCACGGTGATTTGTTTACCATTAATTATTGATGGTAAAAAAATCACCGTGCTATGTGATTTGAACTGTTTCTGTTCGTTCAAATCACATACCATTTGAACTGTTTCTGTTCGGCATAGGGGAGGAAATTCTTTACATTTTCAGAAAGTTAAAAACCTAATAAGCCTCTGCACATATACATGTATGTATGCCTCTAAACACATACCGGGTACTAATAAAGGCATACATACTGTACATGTACAGAAAGGTTTGGGATGATAGTGAATAACAGGCAGGGCTATTTTTAGTCCGTGAGACGAGAGGCCGAAAACGCTTTAGTTTTCGAGATACGCTATCTGTTCCGCCAAATTTTATAAAACTTTCTAGACATGTAGATTATAATGTACCATATCAAAAAGCTGTGTTCCCCGATCCACAGTTTGTTTGGGAATGGGAGAATTTGGGATAAAAACGCCGAAAATTCTGCATGAGAAAAAAACATAAAATACAGCGCCCTCTATTGACACATTCAGAAACATTTTCGCACACAATGAGCGCTTGCCAGATAATACCTCTTTCAAGTTCCCTTTGAAGATCATTACAGAACAAATTTGTTTAAGCTGTTGCCGAATGGCAGCATTCAGAAATTGAATTCGTTGATTATAAATCAATTAGACGAATTTAATTTTTTGACTAAAATGGTTTGGCGTAGACTAGACGAAATCGATACTCCGGTACGAAAACGTGTACTTGTTGTTTGAATTGCTTGAACTGAGTTTTATATTGTCACACAAAAGACGAAATTAAACATTGGAAGTGCACTAAATCGACAGTGATGGGCAAATATGAATAATAGAAACGTTTTAAAATAGCCAGGAAAACCTATATAATCTAATTTAATCCATTGATTGATTTATTTATTCTTTTTGTTGGGGATTTAAACCTGCACAGTTGTTACCCACACAAGAAGAATGGTACAGGTTTTCCCGGCCAATTTCTTAAAATGTTCATTCACTTCTGAAAATCGGTCATTCAATTTCGTCTGAATTTGAGAATCGCTCTGAATATGCGTTTCAGTTTTGCTACCAGAGCATTCGATTCCATTTCAGTGCAATCAATCAAGTGATCGAGCAGCACTTTTCGTTTATGTCCATTCAGATTCGTTTACAAGAATTCTATTCGCTTTTAGAGGGCGATTTCAAACTTTCACCATTTTATTTCACTTTTAGTTTAATGCAGGCGCGGTTCTACGGGGGGGGGGGGGCTGGGTGGGGGGGCTGTAGCCTGAAAAAATTCTGATCCACCGTGCTAGCCCCCCCCCCCAAAAAAAAAAAAACATTTGTTCTAGAACCGCGCCTGGTTTAATGCCATCGGCACCGGATACAATTAGTGGGTTTTTTTCATTAACCGTCAATCAAACTGGCATAAATGCTTGTTTGCGTAAATGCTTGCATATGCTTGCGTAAATGAATGCACAGGTAATGTAATTGACCGTCTGTTTCTCAAAACCAAATACACGGACAATGAAAACGATGAACTTTAGTTGAATTGAAATGGGATTCAAATTCACACAAAAACAAACGACCGATTTTCAGAAGTGAATGAACATTTCACGAAATTGGCCAGCAAATAAAAGCTATATTTAGATTACATAGGTTTGTTCAATCTGTACTGAATGAGCATTACTTGTTTATTTTGAACTATCCAAACAAGATTATGAGCACATGTACAGCCCGGATAATTGCTGTATAACATATCAAAAGTCTCATCAAATTGAAGGACCCACTTTTAGTTTGCAAACGTTTTTAAGAAATGAAAATTAATGTACCGGTATATTACCCTATTTTGAAGCTGTGAGCAAGCGTGGATCCAGAACACAATTGGAGGGGGGGCCCCAAAATATTTTGGTCCCCCAAAAAGTGGGTCAAAAAAATTACGGCGTGGGATTCGGGGCCCGCTTAAGGGCCCCGAATGTTTTTTGGATTCTAGATGCTCTGTGGTGCAATCTGAGACAATTTCTGACCACTTTAACCGATTTTTTTTTGAGGAAAAGACGGTGGTGTACTCATTGCCTGCCTTTATTGCGATGTCACATAAAAAAAAAAAAAAATTGGTTTCGTTTTTTTTTGGGGGGGGGGGGGGCATCAAATAACAACGTCGGCCAGAGTGAGAAATATTGATAAGTTCAGCAGAAGCAATGCTTGATCATCACACTCCACAATTGAGTTTACACACATAGCACGTATCATATGCATGTATTTGTATCTTATGCGTATGTGCATAACTGTTAAGCGACAACTTTAGACTTTGCAGAAAAGGCTTAGCATTCAGGGACCATCAGCGTTGGACGTTCAAAATCGCACTCACTAAAATCTGACAAAAGTAATTTATGGTTTATCCGAACAAAAATCATTCAAAATATTACAACCAATGTCATGTCAATGTATACAGTTTTTAGACAGTTACATGAGACTAAGGGAGAATTACAATAAAAAGGCAGTTTGTAGAAATAACCTTGTTTGGGGCAGATTTGAAATGTCATCATAGTTCATATAATTGACAATTTAAAGACTGCCAACAAAATACGTACTTTTGATTAACTACCATGGGTGCATAATTCCTGACATGTCAAGTTTCAGTCACAACCTTGTGATTCTTTCTTTTCTTTTTCTTCTAAAATTGTCACACAATGATGAATAAAAATGTTTGGCAGGGCTGTCAGGATTTAGATTTTGGAACTATTTCAGGGGCGGATCAAGGGGGGCTGTTGGGGCACACGCCGCCCCCCCCCCCCCTGTTTCCTTCAGAAAAAAAGCAAGATATAGATTATCTCGGTAGAAAGAGAACAATGCATTAATGATGCATCCACTTTAATATCCATCACCATTCTAGAATAGCACTTGTTGGGTGAATTGACTCGTTAATATTTAAAGAATTTGAAACGATTGCGCTACCAAGAAATAACAATTGTGAAATGACTAAACGTATTTGTGTGGATTTCATCTTGAAAAACCTTATTTCTCCCAATTTATGGGAGAGGACATGTTATGATAGAAGAATGAACTACTTTCCAACTTGTTAATTACGTGTCCCTCCCCTCCCCAGGCTACCGTTGTTTATCTCTGTTTGAGTTTCTTAAAAGCAAGAGTTGCAAGTTCAAGAAAAGATTTCTACATTGTTAGTACATTGAATGTAAGACTGTACGTGGCTCAGAGCAAGCCTAATGAAAAGACTACATCTGAACAAAGACGGCAAATCATGATAACAAAATGGAAAACATCAAATATCAGTTGAAGTTATACAGGGTGAGTAAAAATGTCCCTTTGGATGCGTTCTTGTCTCCCCAAAACACGGGAAGGGTTGCCAAATGTTTCTCTTCGGCCAACATTTGGTCTGGGTTTGGACCACAGCCTAAAACGGTCTGTGTAAGTTTCAGCCATGCATGATAAAGGATACAGGCCTTTCTTTGTGACTACCCAAGAACACTACCAACAAAATGTGTAGAATGGGCCTTTTGATATCAACATAATGGCAACAATGGGCCTCTGGACAGTGAAGGAAATAAAAGGAACAACAGAACAGGACATCAATTAATGAATTACATTTATTGAACAGTCTTTGGTCTATACCCAGATCGAATGTTGGCCGAAGGGAAACATACAGGGTGAGTCAATTAAAGCGGAACCCAAACCCCCCAAAAATATATATTTCATATTTAAAATATTATGTAGCGCCAAAAATAATAATAGCATTTAAACACAATGACCCTAAAACCGCTTTCCTCAAAAAATGCGATTTCAAGAATCGTCGTCACAATTGTCTTCAAATATCACCAGCGATAAAACCGCAGTTTAAAAGTAAAAAAATATTCAACAAAGACCTTTTGAAGGCCCGTCTTTTAAAAAAAAAAATTGGATTTTATAAATCATATTGCTTGCCTTACCAGGGTGTTAATAAAGATATTGTGTACTACAGTTGTTGACATTTGTTGAAACAAGTATTCTGTGGCATTATCTTTGTTGTTCCAAATAGTCAGAATACACAATAAATGGGGGCTTTTTGTCGAAACAGGTTTTAGGGTTATTGTGTTTAAATGGTGATATTCTTTGAACGGATTGAGCAATTTCATTAATTTTTCCTTCTAAAAGTAGCTTATGAAATTATCTTTTCCAGTCATTATTATTTTTGGTGCTACATATGTTTTAAATATGAAATATATTTTGGGGGGTTTGGGTTCCGCTTTTTTTTTACTCACCCTGTAGTTTGGTTACCTTTCCGATTTGGTGGGAGACAAAAACGTATCCAAAGGGACATTTCTTGTTCTCACCCTGTATTGCAGTAGGCCTATTGGACTCGATTCTTTGCTTATTAGGCCCTTGGTGCTTATAATTCAATTTTGTTTTAATGTGTTTGGTTTTGGTTTTTTATTAATTGTAATTTTACATGACCAATCTGCACTCTATATCCTTCGTCTCTCACCTTGACAATCCATTCCATTTCCAGTGAAGCCAGCATTGCATATACAGGTTCCAGCCCTACATGTTGCATCTTGATGGCAAGGTGCACATATCTGAGCTACATGTAAAGTTACCATACGAAAACTTCATTTACATATAGATGACTTTATACACAAAATGCAATTATATTGATTTGATTTTTTCCCAAAAAAAAACTCACCGTTTTCCTAAGTCTGTGTAGGCCTTAGCCATATGATCTGTTTGGTGGATAGAGAAGTTGATCTTGTGTGATTGAGAAGTGGTTTAAATATCCTGGAAGAGTACATTATTATTTTTTTTCTCCGACACTTTGTGACATTGCTCTTTTGCATCAATGTTCAAGTTCCTGTCATTAACCATAAAGGCCAATACAAGTATAGCCCGAAACCATTCCTGTCAGCAATGATGCTTATATTGAAGACGGAGTGAAATAGATCATACAGTATGTATTATGTCCAAAGGTTATGAACCCATCAAGTCAAACATTTTCACTTACCATAACTGCCTGATAGAAGAACACTTGTTAGACAAATCCACATGAACACAAGTGCCATGACTCACTAACAAAGCGTTACTGCTTCGTACAAATCAAACTTCAATTGCCACACGCAAGCATTGAAATTTACGAACGCTTAAACGAAGGAGAGGCCTATAGTCCAAAGCACAGTCCTTTGCACAGTCTTTCACTTCCTTATGTTATTTTGTACACATTGAAACTCGACAATTTCTTTTTTTTATTGTAAACCAATTTTATTTTCCCCTATTTCCTCATTCGTGAACCATTTGCCCACACGCAGTGACTGTTTGCATAGAAAGCCGACTGAAAAGGTTCGTGTGTTATTTGGCAAGGTCAGTGACGAATAATATATTTTGGATTTCTAGGTTTTGTTCCTAATCTCGTCGAACTAGTGAGGTCAAACCGTTGAGGGATGGTGCATCGCATTTGTAGGGAAGGTTAATGTGACTATCCGTGTATAGTTTTTTTCTGAGAAATTGACTCTTTGCATGAAGACAATTTCTGAAATCCTATTTTTTTTAATCGCCTTGTTATGGAAAGAAATTTCTCAGTGAAACCGTTTTAATTTATTTATTAATTCCTTTCCTTATCAGGGTATTCCCAAACAGATAAAAGCTGGTTTCCATTAGGCACCTGCATACTTAAACAAATGATTTAATAATGTTAAGTAAGGTTATACTCATAAGGAAAAGTACATTGATAAAACATACATCGAATATTATTATTTTCTATCTTTCAGAATTGTATTTGCGAGTCTATAACGATTTATTGTTGCGTGTTATTGTTTGATAAAATCTCTATTTTATCTCCTTTGTTTGTTTTTTTGGGTTTTTTTTCACTTAGGCCTACATTTTTAACGTTTTATAATTGTGTGTAATGTTTGCTCGCACGTCTATTTTATCTTTCTTGTTATTTTGGTTGGTTATATATTTTACCGTGTACATTTTAATTTTTCTTTTCTATACGTTAAATTTCAAATATTATCCTTTTTGTTTTACAGTTTACATGATTGCCTTAAGTTTTTGTCTTTAACTGATTACTTTTAAGTTTTTATCTTATTGTATACGGGAAGTGATTCAAGATGGTCTGTACAGTCTTTCCACAACCCATGACTTTGTCAAACTATTAATCATAACAAAAATTGACATCTATTTACAGATGCAGGTACATGTATCGCAGAAATATTAAAGAAAAGCAGTACATGGTACATATTTTAAACATTCAACTATAATAAAGCATGCATTACAGATCACGGGAAGGGCGAAAAGCCCACAAAAACTCTTCTGGGAAAAAAAACACGGGGAAAATCCCGATCCGGCTCCAACTTAATACCATGGCAACCAAGTATCAGCGCATTTTGAACTAAATATCACTCACTGATGGCTTTGCGTAGTTCTAATGGGAATGTACATAAGGAATTTATTGTTCTGAGTTGTTTATGCTAATTATTTAATATTATTTGCACCACTCACGGCGCAACGTTTGGCATGAATGCCTTGTTAGTTAAACTGTGTAAATGGTGTGAAACGATTCGTCATAATCGTCATGTACAAAAGAGTCTAAATTTGCATAAATCGTAAATACCTACCGTGTAATGGGTATTTTTTTATTTATTGAAAAGTATATTTCCGTGATTTGTTTTCTCGCGAAAACATAGAATCGCTAAAATAAAGAATATATATATTGTTTCTGAACGTATTCAAAGGCAGTTAGTAATCGAGTCGCTTGGGTCGAGTCCAATTCCGAATACTGTTGTACGAGTGCGGCAAAACTTTTGCCAACCATATGTCCCTCGTAGCAATGCAGCCCCACAAGTATTTTTGCTAAAATCTATCGGCATACCATTAAAAAAAGACCAAAAATGTTCTACTTCGGTCAAATTAGTGAGACCCTCCATTGTAGATGTCCAGGACAAATTTATAGGTAGTAGGGACAGTACGGTACATGTAGAGGGGGAGGTTGTCTCCTAATGTATACAAATTATATGCATGGCTTTCTGATAGCTACCGGTACGTGTTTTTCAGGTGTCGTCCAAGGATGCGTAAATATCGTTTTCACAAATATTCTGCGCACGGTACGCGCAGAGGTGATCCAATCAATGGCATCAACCGGTCCTAATATCTACTGGGCGGGGACCAATTTATGCGCCTAATCAAGATTCGCATGCTCACAAATTCTCTGTTATTAGAGCATGATGACCTTGAGGGTTTTTTTGTTTTGTTTTTAAGTGACAGTTGTAAACAGGGCTACGAGTGTGTGTGAAAGTTGGATGCCAAAATTGGGCCCTATATAAAAAGTTAGCTCTTCGAGTAGGCATCTCGAAATGTCGATGGACTTAATTCATTCAACATAACTACTTTTGTGGGTAATCATCTTAGGATAGAAATCTCTCCCCAAAAGTCATCAGATTACCACCACAAGATTTAACAGAAAATGAATTATGATGAAATAAGCTTTAATCTCGATTTTTGGGAGTGCGACTGGGACCGGTCACGTGAGAGGGTTTAACCAATAAAAGGGAAAAAGAGTCCGATTTTCATACGAGTCCGATTTTCATATGGGGCATCTCCATGAGTAGTGACAAATATTATTATTCGGGGAAAATCTCAATACCGCCCTCTGTCGTTAGGCCCTCTGCCGTTGAAAATGTGCTATTATAAGGAAGTGTATTGTGCAGGAAAACTTCCGGGACAAAATTGTTACTTTTCTTTCGTCATGTTCGTACCGCCGTTCCAGATCTCTTCCTTCGTGTAAATCATGTTGTGAATCTGAGTAAAAAGTCTGTCACTTTGGCAAGTTCATTTCATCCTTGTTTCCCTTATATATAGGAGGAAGGTAAGTAATTTTAAAGCTTTGATTAATGTGGCACGCAGTGTAGACTGTAGCCCCATAAATGTGGCCTATTTACTGGACTGCCTCCGTAAACATAGGCCACACATCCACATGTACAAAAATCGTGTCGACGGAGCCAAATTTTGATTTTCACATTTAGGCTTAGTTTGTAGGGTTTGTTTGCTTTAGAAGCATACTCACCCTCTTTATAGGCTAATCAGAAAGTGCTGCCTTTTTCAGATGTATATTTTTTGTGAAATTTCATGTTGAAATTTTGATACGCAAACGTGTAAAAATGAATCTGGAAATTTCACAAAAAATTCCATTTTGTTGTCTTTTCTGTCTTCACAAAATACCTCTCAACAACCCTTTTGCATAAAAAAAATGCTTGTATTTATTTGTTTTCTTACTTACCTTTCGCTTTTTTTCCAAAGAAACCTCAGTTATTTTTACAAATTCGCTTCGCGAAATAGCTACTTCGCAATGCGATGTCACGGCGACTATAATCACGTGGCGACGACTGGTTCCCGCCGCGCCGCGCAGGGGCCAATTTTGAAGACATGATGAAAATGCAGTTACCAGTCCATAGCTATGTGACCGTACCGATAGCACGCTAGCAGTGCAGGCCACTGTCAACTGGTCGGATTCGACATCGTAAAAATGCCAAGAAAACACTGATGGAGAAAGAACATTTTTGCAAGTTAATTTACAGAATTGATCTAGCTTGTCTGTGTATGTATTTTCTGTGTTCAAGAGTTCATTTTGAGATCGCACTACTCGTATTTGGAGTGATACATGCCGCGTGTTTCCCAAAATTTTTGACCTTAAAAACAGGTCTGTCGGCCCATGGTGGGCCGCTCGCCACACACGCACGCATCACACACCTCGGAGTTTCGGCCAGCTCCCCGCGTCTTGACTAGCGTTGTGCATATGGTGCAAACGACCTGAATTTTCCATTATTTTCCGAAATTATCGAAGGTAAATATAGGCCTATTTACAATAATTAAAGGTAGTTTTTATTCACTCTTTGTTGCCACTTCATGTATAGCTTTCGTAGTGCAATGGAAATAGTTCAGGCTAAAAACTTCGCCTATAATTAAATACCCCATTAAATCTGCATTAAAAAAAATGGCAAAAAAAAAAGGAAAATTCCGACCGACCGATCCTATTTTTGAAAGGCATGTAATCGGAAGCAGAACTTCTTTTTTTTTGGCCTAAGTGCTAATTATTGCACCTCTGCGGACCCATAAATTTAGATGTATTTTCCATAATAGACTAGTTGCAACTTTTTATTGCAACTAATTGTGACTATTGAAATTGACTAGTCGCCCACGCCTACTTTCTGAATTGTTATTTAAATTGTTATTTGTTAGATTTTTCATTTTTTTTTCAGATTAATTGACAACAGACAAATCTGCAAGACAACAAGTCACGAGGGCTCAGCCCATTAAGGTACAGTGCACCGAACAGTTAACTTTACAATTATTAAAGTTTTGTATATCGAAAACTACTTTGTAAAAAAGAAGTCTTCCTTGTGTAAGGTGCAAATAATGGACTGTAAAAATATTCTCAATACAAAAACCTAAAAATGTTGAGAAACTATTTCAAAAAGAAGTGAGATGAAAAGTTGAAAACAAACATGGTCGTACATGGTGGAAACGATGTGTGGATGTTACTGATTGATTATTGACAGTCCCACCACATTCACTGTGTAGTATTTGAGGGGCATCAAAGATCCACTATGTCCACAGAAACATGTTGATTCGCAATGAACATGTACAAGTACATGTATGGTAATTTGATTTGCCACAACTATCATGACTATAGCGTTGTAACACCTACATGTATAGCTACATGTAGGTCAATTCGAACTTGATCAAGCATCAATCCAAACTATAGTTGGGACTTCCCAAACTATAGTTGGGACCATAGCTGTACTTGGGACCATACATGTAGCTGTAGTTGGGACCATTACTATAGTTGGGACTGATGCTATATTTGATCAAAAAATCACTGGGCGACATTTGACCTGTTGCCACAAAATGAGCTGAAATTCACCAATTGGGCATTACAGGGGGACAAGAACAAAATTTCAAAGGAGTGATCATTTTTTGTGCCCCCCCCCCCATAAATTCCTTTTTTTGGTGGCAAAATTGTGTGTCTGTTGCTAACTTTGCTACGACAACATGTAATATAATGTACATGTATAACGTTCAAGATTGTCAGCTTTGAACAGCACCCCCCCCCCCTCCAACACCGCAGCCCTCCCCCCACCCCCCCCCCCCCCCACCCCTGTGGATTTTTGGGGCACATTTTTGAAATTCCTTGCTACCTTCCAGCACGAATGGTCAGTCAGCAAATTTGTTGTCAACTCCCTTCCCAAAAAAAAAAAAATTGGTCTGGCGATGCCCCTGAATTCATGTACTAGAGGAAATGCCATAATTTGGTACATGAAAAGCATGATGTGAATGAGGTGGTGTTTTTTTATTAAAATGTACTGAGCTTCAGAAGATTGGTCACAATCAGGAAGTAAAATAGTGTTTAACACACAGAACACGCAATTTAAGGCAGTATGTGAATTCGCTCAAAACGTTAATCATTATATTCACTTACCGGCAGAGTTGTAATGACTCGAGTCAATGACTCGACTCGAGTCCGACTCGAGTCACATTTTTTGGCGACTCGACTCGACTCGAGTCCCGACGGGTAAATGACTCGACTCGACTTGAGTCACTGCGAGCAAATGACTCGACTCGACTCGAGTCCCTCATCAGAATGACTCGACTCGACTCGAGGAAGGCTAATAAGACTCGAGTACCAAAATAAAAGCAAAACTTACTTGCGAATAATATTTGCAATGACTTACGCTGCGCCGTTCGCGTTGCCAGTTTTTGTTCACGTCACGTTAATGTTCGCGAATAATGTACGTTTATATACAGCGGCAGTCTGTTTCCTTCCTCCATAATGAAACAACAAACATACACCGTGTCGCGGACTCCCACCTTGTGGTTCTATAGCATGTAATGCTAAACCCGGAACCAGACTTAAAACGCATTTCTCAATCCGTGGTTTCATCATTGGTTTCGGGCGATTTTGAAGTTCTTGGTGGAACGCTGGCTAAATTCATGTCCCAATTTCACACACAAAAATGGATACGGACAGGCCCACCTTTAAATAATCAGAAACAGTTTTGTATAATGCAATTAGGTTTTAACGTTGTCAGCGATCAGCGAACAACAAAATCTAGACCCGAAGCCAAACCAGTTATAAGACCGAAGTTTCACATCTTCTTATCTGTGACGTGAGCTAGCAATGGAAACTGTTGGTTGGGTACCATACAGCATACTTTATGTCTTTGGATTTCCGTAATAGACTGGTGCCTTGTATTCTTTCTCTCTTGTGTTTGTTGCTTTTTATTGTAAGTAAGTGTTCAAATATTTGTGACTCGAATTGACTCGAGCTAAATACTTGACTCGGCTCGACTCGACTCGACCACACTCTGTGACTCGACTCGACTCGACCTTGTTGACCTAATGACTCGACTCGACTCGAGTCACTTCTTTAAAATGACTCGACTCGACTCGAGTCAAAAAAATCAGTGACTCGTTACAACTCTACTTACCGGTAGGCCTATTTGTTTGAGAGTTTCAGTAGAAGATGGTCGAATGTGATTTGAAATTTGTGCAAATTGTAAACATTCTATTCATAAAGATTTTGGAGGAAAGTAATTTTACTATCACTTGATAGGGTCTAATACTGACATGTGAACTTTGATGTGGAACATTATTGTAAATCATGATAATGTTTTTTATTTCCCTATGGGGACCTTTTGTGTTTACTGTGTTGTAGTACACTTGAGTCAATCTGAGTCAGGGTCTCGAGTCAGTTGGGTCAAGTCTGAGTCTGAGACATGAGTTATTTGATTCAAGTCCAATTTGTGAGTCACAAATCATTTTTGTATTTTATAAACACATGTACATCCGGCATGCAACTTTTCCTCGCCTCCTCGATCTGCTGATCTGCTGATTTCCTCTTTTTTTTACTTCCCATATGTGCCATTAAAAATCGAAAAACCCTGTACAAAGTCTTGGAAGGATTCAAATTTCCTCTTTTTTGTGACTTCACAGTTGCATGCCTGGTACGTATGTAATTAACCTTTCACAAATGAAAAAGGTGTCAAAATGCCATTTAACTAAAAGTAGAAACAACATATAAATACATGTACATGTTCTGTATTGAAAATTTTTTTTAACTAAACCGGAATGTTCAATAAAATTGTGTGGGAAACAACATATTGGTGTGATGATGGTGCATTTTGCAGCTGCCGATAATACCTTACAGGTATTTGTTTGAATTTCCTTATCGAAATGAAAAACGCACCTTTTTAAAACCAATTCCGCGACCCGGATTTTCCTGCTTTTCACACACAAAATGAATGCCTTAAGTTTGAACCCGGAGAATAACATGGTAACCACTTCGGGTAGGAACCTTTGTGTAAGTTTTTATTTTATTTAAAGACCTGATAAATGCATTTTACCTGTTCACACTCAATTGTTTACGATCAACAATACTTCTAATCTTAGGAACAATATTTATTTCTGAGAACTGAGTCATTTCGAAACATGTGTTTAGCCCCCCCCCCCCAAAAAAAATAGTTCTGTTTCCAATTACATGGCATTCCAAAGTAGGGTAGGAAGGTAGGAATTTTTTTTTTCGGCCAATTTTTTTTGTGTATGATTACATGTATATGGAGGCGTCTGTGTGTAGTCAAGGGTAAAAGGTACAAAATGATGGAGTGTTTTTTTTTTCCCCTCATTTTTCCCGTAGACATTTTCATGTCTCCCTAATGTCACAGCCCTCTTTAGAGGCAAAATTTTATCCTTGCAAGTAGGTGTTTTTTTTGCTCGTGGTCTAATTAGTAAACATACCGAAATTCGTGGAAAAAGGACAAGGGAATATTGGGTTAGGGCACATTTAATTTTGAAAACTGTTGTGCACAAGTCCATGGGAAAGTCTTCCTAATGACCCATTCCTGGTTACAAAATATGTACATTTAAACATTTTCACAATCTTTCAAAAATTGCATCTTTATCTTTTTTTTGTGTACATTTTCTTGAAACAGTTTAAAATGAATTACTTCCTCCTTTCCTATCCTCCAGAAAGGATCTATGGCTTAATATTAGGGAAGTACCGTACATGTGTAGTAATTTAAGTTCTGAGAGCCTTTAGATTGTGTCTTGTACCAAGATTGGCGCTATGTCAACACCAGTTTGTGTACTGAAGGTCTAACAATTCTGATATTTGTTTGGAAAGGGAACATTTCTGTTAGTGTATGTTTCATAAAATAAATAGAATGTGTCAGTGTCGGAATTTCTTATCATTTTAATCATTTTGGAGGATTCATTGAAGAGTTTAGGATGGTACGGATACATAATTATATTGTACCTAAATAAGTGGTGAAGATTAAAAAAAGGCATACATTTACATGCATGGGATTATTTGCAATTAATCTTAAAAGCAATCTACCAAATCATTTTTAAAAAGCAGATCGTGCTTTTTCTACATGTAAGTACACCTTGAAATTATTTCATCTGGCTTGCTGTCATTTAGAAGAACATGAAGAAATCGAGAAATGTAAGTGATTTCCAGTGATCAGTCAATTGACTGTTTGTATGGAAATAAAGAGTGTAGTTGATGAAATCGTGTTTCGTGATCAAAAGGTTTTGCATTGTTTTCTCTGTTTTCTTAAGTGTAACATTTATTATCCACTTCCTTCTTTGGATTCTGAGCGGCGTTATTATTTGAATGGACAAAATGCATGAAAAGCAAATGATCCCGTATACCTTGAAATGAAAATAACTTTTGAAAAGCACTTTTCATCTGTACTACATGTAAGTTTTGTTCTGAGTTGAGTTCAACATTTGTTTTGAATTAGGCACACACAAGTTTTGCTTCCGGTTTCCCTACCTTCCCTATTTTGAGAGCCCCTCCCCTAATATTTTTATGGGAAAAATGAGGGGAAAAAACACCAAAAGCCATCAATTTCTACCTTTTTACCCTTGACTACACGCAGACGCCTCCAATAGATTGTACACAAAAATTAGCCAAACAAGAATTTCCCTACGTACTGTACCCTATTTTAGAATGCCATGTAATCAGAAGCAGAAATTTTTTTTTTTGGCCGTAACAAATTCCATAGAAATGTGGTGCTTCATGTGAACGTGACTTGGGGAACTGCGCAGCTAGAGTGTGCATGGTTCAGTTATTAAAATGAATCAAGCATAACAATGGGTGGAGCTGCCCTTTATAATACAGAGTGCAAGTTTGTACAATTATGTCTGGCTGTGGCTTGGGTTTTGCTTTTGAAAGCATTGAAATCCACGCAAACACAAGGAAGTAACTTCGATAAAAATACAAATTGAACATGAACGCAGTACATACATGTACAGTATGTGTTCGTGTACATGTACATGTATGTGCATAATCATGGACAGTTTTATCATATTACATGTTTCAACATTTGTTGAAAATAAGAGTATGGATGTATGTGTACATACAGAGGACGTAAAATTTGTGTTTTTTATGACTAAATGTAGGCCCAACACATGCCGACTTATTTTTGTTTTCCTGCAAAGGTAGCCTTATCATCATATTTCATATGGAGGTATGTTAATCTTCTGTAATACTTCATTTGACTAAATACTCCAAGGAAAAAATGTTGCAACCTGACGCCACTTTTTTCTTAATACATCATCTCAATGAATGTTATTCATTGCAAAAATGATGATAAGACATGAATCTGGGACTGAGAAACATTTCCGATTTTGTTAGGAAATAAGAAAATTTTCTTGACTCTCCATAGACATTGTACACAATCGAGGAAGAGGCGTCAGGTTGCAACATTTTTTTTCCCACTTCAAAATTGTTCGCTCTTGGGCAATTCCACAGTAACGGAAGGATGTTTTCACTCATTAAACAAAATTTCAAATGTGTATATCACAGACACTGTTAATAGTTACAGCAAACAAAATCAATTGTATTGCTATAATGCTACCTTCAATTTCCACACTTTTGGGGGGCATGAATGCCTCCCGTTTATGAATTATGAATATTAATGAGGTCGGTAACGGAAGGACGGTAAAACGGACAAGGGTTTTCCAACTTACTCGCATTTTGCGTAAACTCTGTGAATTTTATGGGGCAATTATATTTTAAAGTTAGGAAATTGAATCCCTGAAGCTTTATCTATACTATACCACCTTTCATTTGACTTTAAGTGTTTCGGTAATATAATTACAACGTTTTAAGTGGATTATAATTTGGTAACGGAAGGACGGTAACGGAAGGACAAAAGGTTTACTCAATTATAGCATGAACAAAATGTGAATTTACACTAATTATACAAGTGAAACAAATTGCTGAAATGTGTAGCTGAATGTGAAATCAACAATATGCAGACCTGGCATAAATAATTATACCCAAAAAACTATTGAGATAAAGATAGAAGCCTGCTAATTAATGATAACAAAAGAAAAATGAAAACAACCAAAAACAAATCATTCACGAACACAAGACAACTACAGAAATGAACTTCAAACCTATCACCTCAATCCTTAAAAGTATAATACACAGTATTTGAACACTTGAGTATATTGGTTACATGTTCACCAACAACTTTTAATAATAATACCGGTAGGTTCAGTGGTTTACATAAAGAGTGGGGGGGGGGGGGGGCAACCAGCCTACATGTACAAGGTAAAAACATCTACTGGTAGAACTGATGGCTTCAGAATCATTATGCTTTTAGGTGTTGCTTTTAATTGAACTCTAAATTCAATGTTTGAAATCAAATTACAATGATTTAGAGTAGTAGGCCCTACCATAAAATAAATAAACATCCAAACTGAAGTTGTTAACTTGGGCATAATTTGTCAAAGATTGCACCTCACATGTCTTACACATGTAAATTGAAGGAAAGTGCCCCAAACTACGGTACCGGTACTTTCTTCCATCTCATTTTTGACTTAATTTGCTTCTGGAATGGCTTCACAGAAATTGTATCTTTCTCTATTGTCCATGAATGCTGGTGGCAGCAACTTTATGATTTGATTTTCTGCAACAACTCCATACATGAACAAGTACTGGTACATGTACGGTACATTGGCATATATGTACATATACATTGTACATATTGTACATGCCTGTGCCATCCTTTGTAATAAACACCTTGCCCTGCTTATCCCTCTTTTGTGAAGGTGGGTCACATGAATGTCCTTTCAATGCTCATTATACATGCATGTATTTGCAGTGATTGTCTTTTTTCAAACATGAGCACAAATGTTGTAACATTTGATAAAAATACGATTTGTCCTTCCGTTACCGTCCTTCCGTTACCAATTTGGTAACGGAAAGACGTGATTTAATTAATTGTAATTAAAAAACGAGAAGTACAGCAGTGTCAGTTATAATGTCATATTGAAGGCCTACCTAAACTTGCTTTGCACAATAACTTTCAATGCATTCATACTGCAAGTTTTAAAAAATAAATTAAAAATATGTATTTTTTCGGTAACGGAAGGACATTTTTGAAGGCTGAAATATTAGAAGTCACTGAAGCGAAACAAATTACGCAAAACATTAAAAACAAGTTTCAGTCAGTTTTTCAAGGCCAATACTTTCTCATGACAGAAACTGATGGCATTAGTACATATTTTTGTGTGTGTATTGGTAGAATACTTTCATATCACTTTTAATCACATTTTTAGGATTTAAAGATGAAAATCTTGAAAATATAGACTTTTAGCTTTCATTTGATGCCAAATTTGTTTAAGTCACATGTATTTAAATTTGTTGGTGTCATGTCCACTTTGGTGTGGAATTGCCCTCTTTCATGCCAAATAACGAACACATTCAACATGTTCAATTGAATGTCATGATAATTAAATCTTTGAAGCTGTAGTTGAAGAAGTTTATTGGAATCATGTCATTTTTGTCACAGATCCCCATTCAAACTGGAAAGCAAGTTCGCAGTCATGGCACTGATGTGGCTGCTTCTGGGGTTATCAATTATCCCCCTTTTATGCAATGGTAAGAGGATGTCTTCGATCTTCATGATTTGTACATAGTATACTGGTACTTTGAGTAGATACATTGTATCCTTGTACACATGTATGATGAAAATGTACATAAAAAAAAGAAAAGTCACCATACATGTACATGTCATGCATGTAGTAAACTTCAAACTAAATAAACATTAACATATGTACCCGGTACAAGACTTTATTGTGACCAACAGCACCAAAAAATATGTTGATATTTTGATTTGTGTTTGAAGTAATATGTTGTCACAGAACATTCAGTATGTAGTCCTGTAACTTAATTTTTAATTAATGTTGTAATATTTTCATGGCCACTCTGTCTGTCAAACAAACTTTCGTAGGACTTAAAGGCAATATTAAACTGGGTGTCACAGCAGGAGATTACTAAAAGATGATCTGGTCTGTAAACAATCATGATGTCTTTATCAATAATATTTTTGTGTTACCTGTACTTATACAGCTCAGACCTGTGCACCTTGCCATCAAGATGCAACATGTATGGCTGAAAACTGTACATGCAATGCTGGCTTCACTGGAGATGGAATGGATTGTCAAGGTGAGAGAGGACAGAATCCATCTAGTAGCTGGCTCCATAACAGGGTTCGCCCTTTAATTTGTTTTTTCCCACTAGCCAGTGGGACTAATGTAGTCCGGCACGCCTTTTTACTAGTCAGCACGCCTTTTCACTAGTCAGCACGCCTTTTTACTAGTCAGCACGCCTTTTCACTAGTCAGCACGCCTTTTCACTAGTCGGCACGCCTTTTCACTAGTCGGCACGCCTTTTCACTAGTCAGCACGCCTTTTCACTAGTCAGCACGCCTTTTCACTAGTCGGAACGCCTTTTCACTAGTTGGCACGCCTTTTCACTAGTCAGCACCCCTTTTCACTAGTCAGCACGCCTTTTTCACTAGTCAGCACGCCTTTTCACTAGTCAGCAAGCCTTTTCACTAGTCAGCACCCCTTTTCACTAGTCAGCACGCCTTTTTCACTAGTCAGCGTGACTTTTCACTAGTCGGCACACCTTTTCACTAGTCGGCACGCCTTTTCACTAGTCAGCACGCCTTTTCACTAGTCAGCACGCCTTTTCACTAGTCGGCACGCCTTTTCACTAGTCAGCACGCCTTTTCACTAGTCAGCACGCCTTTTCACTAGTCGGCATGCCTTTTCACTAGTCGGCAAGCCTTTTCACTAATCAGCACGCCTTTTCACTAGTCAGCACGCCTTTTCACTAGTCAGCACGCCTTTTCACTAGTCGGCACGCCTTTTCACTAGTCGGCACGCCTTTTCACTAGTCAGCACGCCTTTTCACGAGCCAGGCACGCCTTTTCACTAGCCAGGCACGCCTTTTCACTAGTCAGCATGCCTTTTCACTAGTCGGCACGCCTTTTCACTAGTCAGCACGCCTTTTCAGTAGTCGGCACGCCTTTTCACTAGTCGGCACGCCTTTTCACTAGCCAGGCATGCCTTTTCACTACTCAGCACGTTTTTTTTCACTAGTCAGCACGCCTTTTCACTAGTCAGCACGCCTTTTCACTAGTCGGCACACCTTTTCACTAGTTGGCACGCCTTTCACTAGTCGGCAAGCCTTTTCACTAGTCAGCACGCCTTTTCACGAGCCAGGCACGCCTTTTCACTAGCCAGGCACGCCTTTTCACTAGTCAGCATGCCTTTTCACTAGTCGGCACACCTTTTCACTAGTCAGCACGCCTTTTCACTAGTCGGCACGCCTTTTCACTAGTCGGCACGCCTTTTCACTAGCCAGGCACGCCTTTTCACTACTCAGCACGTTTTTTTTCACTAGTCAGCACGCCTTTTCACTAGTCAGCACGCCTTTTCACTAGTCGGCACACCTTTTCACTAGTTGGCACGCCTTTCACTAGTCGGCAAGCCTTTTCACTAGTCAGCACGCCTTTTCACGAGCCAGGCACGCCTTTTCACTAGCCAGGCACGCCTTTTCACTAGTCAGCATGCCTTTTCACTAGTCGGCACACCTTTTCACTAGTCAGCACGCCTTTTCACTAGTCGGCACGCCTTTTCACTAGTCGGCACGCCTTTTCACTAGCCAGGCACGCCTTTTCACTACTCAGCACGTTTTTTTCACTAGTCAGCACGCCTTTTCACTAGTCAGCACGCCTTTTCACTAGTCGGCACACCTTTTCACTAGTCGGCACGCCTTTTCACTAGCCAGGCACGCCTTTTCACTACTCAGCACGTTTTTTTTCACTAGTCAGCACCCCTTTTCACTAGTCAGCACGCCTTTTCACTACTCAGCACGTTTTTTTCACTAGTCAGCACGCCTTTTCACTAGTCGGCACGCCTTTTCACTAGTCAGCACGCCTTTTCACGGGCCAGGCACGCCTTTTCACTAGCCAGGCACGCCTTTTCACTAGTCAGCATGCCTTTTCACTGGTCGGCACGCCTTTTCACTAGTCAGCACGCCTTTTCACTAGTCGGCACGCCTTTTCACTAGTCGGCACGCCTTTTCACTAGCCAGGCACGCCTTTTCACTACTCAGCACGTTTTTTTCACTAGTCAGCACGCCTTTTCACTAGTCGGCACGCCTTTTCACTAGTCGGCACACCTTTTCACTAGTCGGCACGCCTTTTCACTAGCCAGGCACGCCTTTTCACTAAGCACGTTTTTTTCACTAGTCAGCACGCCTTTTCACTAGCCAGACACCCCTTTTCACTAGTCGGCACGCCTTTTCACTAGTCGGCACTGCCTTTTCACTAGCCAGGCACGCCTTTTCACTACTCAGCACGTTTTTTTCACTAGTCAGCACGCCTTTCCACTAGTCAGCACGCCTTTTCACTAGTCGGCACGCCTTTTCACTAGTCGGCACGCCTTTTCACTAGCCAGGCACGCCTTTTCACTACTCAGCACGTTTTTTTCACTAGTCAGCACGCCTTTCCACTAGTCAGCACGCCTTTTCACTAGTCGGTACGCCTTTTCACTAGTCGGCAAGCCTTTTTACTAGTCGGCAAGCCTTTTTACTAGTCGGCACGCCTTTTCACTAGTCGGCAAGCCTTTTCACTAGTCGGCACGCCTTTTCACTAGTCGGCAAGCCTTTTCACTAATCAGCACGCCTTTTCACTAGTCTGCCAGCCTTTCACTTTCAAAATGTCATGTATGTAAACATCAATGTACACAAAGGTATAACTTTATCCTGAGGCAATTTACTCAGTGTTTTCAACAAACATATCTAAGAAAAGTGAATTAAAACAAACACAAATTATTTAACATTATTAATAAATGAAATACATTATTTATTAATAAATTAAATCAACTTAAAAAGAAATAATTAGCTGTTAAAAAAAAAAAGTGTGTTTATGGTGATAAGAAGAGAAGTATTCTCATCATGTTTTATGCCCAAATTATTTTCAGCCCCAAAAGCTATCAAAACTGGACCCTCATAAAGAAAAAATTGGGGAAAGAATATAAAAGATGCCCTAAAAAAAGTGTGCAACACTATACATCCCTGGGGACGGTATTGAGCGGCATCAGCGCTTGGACTAACATTAAAACCGGCGCAGCCACAGGGTATCGGCGCAAGCACCAGCATTCACACCTCGAAGTAAATTATACAGAAAAACAGAAAATGCAGACACAGAAAAGAGAGATTAAGCTATGTGAGTAAAGTTGCAGAAATCTTCTTTCTCTGCTTATGTTTTTCTGACATTTCTACGATGTCAAATTTGACCAGCTTACACTTAGTATGCATGATTTTTCAATGAGCGCAATACGTGCAGTACTATACTGTCTGTATCCCAACATATTTATGCCTGGCTAATTGCCAGATTAAACAGAGGTCACTATGGCGACAGGCTCATTCATAAAAAAAAGGCCAGACGGTACGCTGGAGAATATGAACAGAGTCTGTGTCCTGTACTTATATACTTTTATGTACCTATACAAAACGCAAAAATCCGTGGATACAAGGAAAAGTTGCATGCCTTATTTCAATGATTTTGACTCGCCAGGCAAACTACTAAGAGAAAGGTTGTGACTGTTCACGGCTGTTTTTACTCACTGTTGATCTTTTTCAATAAAAATGTAAACTCCAAATCATGTCACACAATTTCAAGAGAAAAAAAAGAATCACTCAGCTGGACCTACATTCCTTGCTTTTATAGTAACCCTAGCAGGGGCAGATCCAGGAAACATCAGAAATCGACAGTTAACACATGATACCGGTATTTATTCACCTATTTTTATTTACATGTACTGGTGGAACATCAAATAACAACGTTGGCCAGAGTGAGAAATATTGATAAGTTCAGCAGAAGCAATGCTTGATCATCACACTCCACAATTGAATTTACACACATAGCGCGTATCATATGCATGTACATGTATTTGTATCTTATGCGTATGTGCATAACTGTTAAGCGACAACTATACACTTCGCAGAAAAGGCTTAGCATCCAGGGACCATCAGCGTTGGACGTTCAGAATCGCATGACCAACCATAAACCTATCTTTAATTCTAGTGTTCTATTATGCCCAGCCTGATGTTAAGGTTGCACAAAATTTCATGACTTTGTATAAATTAGTTCTATTATGACCAAATAGTCCATGGGACGAGGCCGTTTTTTCGCTCGTCATGTGGTCTGGTTCACCGAATTATATAAAACTTCACAGACATGTAGATTTGAGATACGCTATCTGTTCCGCCAAATTTTATAAAACTATCTAGACATGTAAATTATGATGTACCATATCTAAAAAACATTGTTCCCTGATCCACAGTTTGTTTGGGAATGAGAAAATCTGGGATAAAAATGCCGAAAATTCTACATGAGAAAAAAACATTAGAAACAGCGCCCCCTTTTGACACAGTCAGAAACCTTTTCTCACGCAATGGCTGTCCGACTCCGAGTTCGGGCGGTCTGTTCTCAACTTGACGCAATTTTTTTTGTGCTTGATGGCGGGAACACAACCCACGAACACGTACTGCACTCGGAGCAGGATCTCACACCATGCCCCTATCCGTCGTTGTTTGCAATAATAATATACCCATGTCAAGAACAAGACCTGCCCATACTCGGCCAATGAGTGCTTGCTAGATGACACTTCTTTCATATTCTAGATTTTTCTCATTGGAATACCAAAATATCTTCTTTATAGTTTTGTCCAACATGAAATGATCACGCTTTAAATTTAAGATGGAATGTTTACATTGTTGTATTAGTTGAACATCGATTGGTATAGTTAAACCACAGTTTTGTGAACTCTTATCTCAGGGTAACATGTTTTCAAAAATAATATTAGTGTGTGGAATCTGCTGGAGCATCTGAACTTCTGAAACATCTGTAAGAAATGTTATTCCTGAAATTTAAAAAAGTAACACAAATTTGATGCTGCCTCAAAAAGGAAGTGGGTGGGCCGTTGGGTTATTTGTGGTTTCACGTAACGGACAGAGCAACTGAACAACAAAATAAGGAATCGGTTCTTAAAACAATACTCAAAATAATAAAATCGGTAAAACGGTTCAGCTTAAACAAATTGCAGCGATAATTCTGCCACTCACAGCTTCCAAATAGGGTAATATACCGGTACATTAATTTTCATTTCTTAAAAAAGTTTGCAAACAAAAAGTGGGTCCTTCAATTTGATGAGACTTTTGACATGTTATACAGCAATTATCCGGTCCGTACATGCTCATAATCTTGTTTGGTTAGTTAAAAATGAACAAGTAATGCTCATTCAGTACAGATTGAACAAACCTATGTAATCTAAATATAGCTTTTAATTCCTGGCCAATTTCGTGAAATGTTCATTCACTTCTGAAAATCGGTCGTTTGTTTTCGTGTGAATTTGAATCCCATTTCAATTCAACGAAAGTTCATCGTTTCATTGTCCGTGGATTTGGTTTTGAGAAACAGACGGTCAATTACATTACCTGTGCATTCATTTACGCAAGCATATGCAAGCATTTACGCAAGCAAGCATTTACGCTAGTTTGATTGACGGTTAATGAAAAAAAAAACACTAATTGTATCTGGTGCCGATGGCATTAAACTAAAAGTGAAATAGAATGGTGAATGTTTGAAATCGCCCTCTAAAAGCATAAAGAATTCTTGTTAACAAATCTGAATGGACATAAACGAAAGGTGCTGCTCAATCACTTGATTGATTGAACTGAAATGGAAATGAATTCTCTGGTAGCAAAACTGAAACGCATATTCAGAGCGATTCTCAAATTCAGACGAAAATGAATGACCGATTTTCAGAAGTGAATGAACATTTTAAGAAATTGGCCGGGAAAACCTATACCATTCTTCTTTTGTGGGTAACAACTGTGCAGGTTTAAATCCCCCCAACAAAAAGAATAAATAAATCAATCAATTGATGGATTAAATTAGATATAAACCACATGTATATAGGTTTTCCTGGCTATTTTAAAACGTTTATCATGCAAATTCATCGTTTCTATTATTCATATTTGCCCATCACTGTCGATTTAGTGCACTTCCAATGTTTAATTTCGTCTTTTGTGTGACAATATAAAATTCAGTTCAAGCAATTCAAACAACAAGTACACGTTTTCGTACCGGAGTATCGATTTCGTCTAGTCTACGCCAAACCATTTTAGTCAAGAAATTAAATTTGTCTAATTGATTTATAATCAACGAATTCAATTTCTGAATGCTGCCATTCGGCAACAGCTTAGACACATTTTTCTGTAATGATCTTCTAAGGGAACTTGAAAGAGGTATCATCTGGCAATCGCTCATTGCGTGCGAAAATGTTTCTGACTGTGTCAATAGAGGGCGCTGTATTTTATGTTTTTTTTTCTCCTGCAGAATTTTCGGCGTATTTATCCCAGATTTTCCCATTCCCAAACAAACTGTGGATCAGGGAACAATGTTTTTTAGATATGGTACATCATAATCTACATGTCTAGATAGTTTTATAAAATTTGGCGGAACAGATAGCGTATCTCGAAAACTAAAGCGTTTTCGGCCTCTCGTCTCACGGACTAAAAATAGCCATGCCTGTTATTCACTATCATCCCAAACTTTCTGTTCATGTATGTATGCCTCTAAACACATATGTGTTTAGAGGCATACATACATATGTACATGTATATGCAAAGTGTGACCTCATCAGTGCAGAGGCTTATTAGGTTTTTAACTTTCTGAAAATGTAAAGAATTTCCTCCCCTATGCCGAACAGAAACAGTTCAAATCACATAGCACAGTGATTTTTTTATCATTAATAATTAATGGTAAAAAAATCACCGTGCTATGTGATTTGAACTGTTTCTGTTCGAGGGGAGGATATTCTTGACATTTTCAGGAAGTTAAAAACCTAAGAAGCCTCTGCACTGAGGAGGTCACACTTCGTTTACTGAGCCAGTGGGGGCCCACGGTCCATTGAGCACCATAGGAGAGCACACAAAAGTGTGACGTCATCAGTGCAGAGGCTTATTCAGTCAAAGAAGACACATTATACACGTACATTCAATATTGCTATTTTCTCAACCCCCCTCATTTATGGGGAGAATTTGACTTGCTGTAATATATACTTACTCTACAATAAAACAATCACAAGTGTTTAAAGCTATAGTCCATCATTTGTAATGTGTGCATTTTGTTCGTTTGAAGCAACAAAAGAGTTCAAAATCTAATAAAGGATACTAAGCAACTAACCTGATAAAGTTTCAGCTAAGCTTCAGCTGTACATTCCGAGAAAAACAGAATTCTAAGATCTCAATTTCAAATCAAAAGTTACTGAATCATGTTTTGAATTGCAGCTATACGCGACGTCGCGCACTGATCCGACGAATTATAACAACCGCGCGCGCGTGTGCGTCGTTCCAATACTTGCGCGCCCTGCTCTGTATAACAAAACGAACTACTAATTTAAATTTTCCTACGGTGCTTCTTAAGAATCACCGTTGGAAATGCCTTCTTTCGTTGATTACTTCAAAATGACAGCTTCCCAGAAAGAATAATTTCACAGGGAGTTTAGTTCCCTTACTATCTTTCAACTAAGTTTGTTTTTCAACAATAATTACGCCAGTTACTTTTCGGATGGCTGCAAATGATGGACTATAGCTTTAATTACAGATTCACTACAAACGCTCTTGGCAGCACCTAATTTTCCCATTTCTTAAATTCTAAGTAAACTAAGTCAGTAAACCAATGCTTACGAAGGCTGATGTAATATGTGGATGTTACATTATTCCTTTTCTAACAAAATGTAATCAGGAAAAGTGAAAGTTTATTTACATGTGCATTTAAAAATTACTTGCAATTTAATTCTGTTTGATGCCTTTATATTGTTATTATTTCCGTAGATCCAACCCTCCAGTATTCACACCCAATTCCTGTCCATCATCAACATCTGGTGTGGCTGATTGTAGCCACATTGTTCCATCTTGAAGTCAATATTCATGATAAATGCAAGATAAAATCAACATAGTATTTATTCCTCTTTTAATTGTTATAGATACCGAGCCTCCGGTATTTACGGCCAATTCATGTCCATCTGATAGAACTAAAGTGGCTGATCCAAGCAGCATGGTTACCATGGTAACATGGACTGATCCTACAGCCACTGATTCTACCAATGTTGATCCTATTGTGGAATGCACACCGGCCTCAGGAACAGACTTCGTGATTGGTCAGACACCTGTCACATGTACAGCAACAGATGCTGCTGGAAATAAGGCCACACCTGACTGTACATTTACTGTGACTGTTACAGGTACAATGTAATGTAATATAATAAGTAGTTTGTTAATAGTGCTTTAAAGTTGGTATATACATGTTTTTTGGGTATGGCAACCCCTGAACAATACATTTTCAAATTGAATTGATCATTTTCTAGCATTACATTTAAGCTTTCCAATGAGATATTGCAAGAAAAAATCACGCCGACGATAAGTAACCGATTACTTAATTTCACCTTTTGAATTAAAATGCTTCTAATTCAGTTTTGAAGGACATGAGTGAGATTATATCCCAAGAACTCCTGACTTATGCTTCAGGACTGCAACATGTCAACCCTTTTTTTGGTAATCTTCACATTGTTGTCTTTAATCTAAAATAACAACTTTCAAAATCAATCCTTAAAAAAATTACCATTTATACTTTACATCAGCCCCGACTTCATGGGCTCGTGTGCGTTCCTTCGTTCCTTTATTAACCCCTGGCCGTGGATGATTACGTAAACGACTCTGACTGGCTATTCAGAGCATACTGCGCACGTATTTCAAAGAATTCGCACCTGCGCGTTATCTCCTGCCCATCACGTCACTTACGAACATTTTTTCAAAACTGAGCGATGCCTGTACGATTTGGATTATGGATGCCCTCGGGTTTTTTTTGGCCAAAAAAACCTCTATCTTGTGTTGTAAAGGGACGACAGAGGTACGTACATTTAATATAAATCCTTGCTAAATAATGCGACATCGAAATTTCATGTTTGAAGGGATTGATTCTTCAAAAAACACAATGTTGAACATTTTAAAGATGGTGGCGCACGTTAAACGACTCGACTGCAGCCCTTATTATAATGTGCCATATTCTGACACAATTAAATGAGACAAAGCCAGGGGTTATGATGGCGCAAGGCATGATGGGAAACAACATTGCGCAGCAAGATCGTACCCACAGGGAATGAGGTTGACTTTACATTTGTTGTAATCCTCCTTTTGGTCTAATATAATGGTCTAAAACCTGGACTGCATACAGTGATATGACATTGGTTTTAATATTGTTTTGAATTATTTTGTCAGATTTTAATGAGTGCACTGCAACGAACTCTGACCGCCATACTTGCGATGAAAGTATATCAGTCTGCATGAATACAGATGGAGACTACAACTGCAACTGTAATGCTGGCTACAGTCATAACAACGGAGATGACAAGACATGCGAAGGTAGAATGATGCAATTTGCACAATAGTCAGGGTTCTCTTCCTTTTTTTGACCATCCATCTCGTTCTGATTAAAATCTGTCTCATTTTTGCCACAGAACAACAACCACTGCTTTATTTTTGCTGCATTTTAGAGACCAAAAAAAGCATAGATCCAATGAACACCTTAGCTGCACCTAAATAGCATGCTGTTTGAATGCACACTGCAGTAGCTTCATTTTTAACTACAACCCCATCAACTTGAACCTTTTCCTGTTCTTCCATATCACATCTTCCCACACATATTGTTCAGATGTATATTTTTTGCTTTAAAATTTGAGCAAGTTGCACTGTCATGTAACATTTGATCCCTCTTCTTCTGTGGCTATTAGACATTGATGAATGCCAGCCATCACCTTGCACCAACGCTCAATGCACCAACACCGCAGGAAGCTTTACGTGCACTTGCAATGCTGGCTATAGTCAATCTAGCGGAGATGCAACAATGTGTATAGGTACTTACAGGGAGGACGGTTGGACAATTCTTTGTCCATTCAAAAACACAAATAGCTAAGCTTTTGTAACGTCTTTCTCTTAACCCCCTTCATTATTTGAGAGAATTACAGGTTTTCGAGTGCTCTAATCAAAGGTTGATGTTCCTACTTCCAAGTAGGACTTGCAACATGAAGTCTATTTCTTGCTTTGCTCTGTTTTACAGAAATAGTAATATATGTAGTAAACTTCGCAGTCTTTGAAAAAATTATTGCTTTTTGTTGATATTTAATTCAGTACTTCAGTTTCCAATTTCTTTAATTTGACCTAAAGCTATATTTCCATTTTCAGATCTTCTGATATGTGTTGCACATTGTTACTTCCATTTTCTCCTCTGATCAATTGCTCGGGGTAAAGTTTAATTGAATTTCTGTTCAACTTTTCAGATGATCCTCCAGTCTTTGATACCCAGTGCCCAGCAGACATCAATCGATTTGCCGACCCAAGAAGTACCACAACAACTGTAACCTGGACCGATCCCATGGCATCTGATGTTGTTGACGGTGGATCAGTAAATGTTGTATGTAATCCACCATCTGGACGAGATTTACAAATTGGCACCCATAGAGTCACATGTACAGCTACGGATTCTGCTGGAAATACACGAGACTGTTCATTTGATGTGATCATCACGGGTAAGACGTTAATCTTAGATTTTTAGATAACATTTGTGTGTGTGCAGTAGATGCAGTAGCGTAACCAGGAGAGTGCAGAGTGGCAGAATGCAACGAGCTAGAGATTCTAACAGGAAAATCAGGACGCTCAGAGAAGCAAAATCGGAATGATTAAAATAGATTAACGGAATGAAACTTTAAGTTTGCAACAAGCAAACAAAACCCTGGCTACGTGCCTGAGTAGATAATGCTTTGTGACTACTTTTGAGAGTCCTAGTGGGAGGGACACGCTGCATGTATGCAGATTGGTTTGTGCACTTAAGTTGCAAAGAATATCAGCATGTGTGCATCATGTACCAATGGTAATATTATACAAATATTGAATGCTTCGAGTGGTGTAGTAAAACTAGCCTCCCGAAGTGATCCATGGACATCGCCGAGGGAAAATAGAATGCTCCATGGATCACCGAGGGAGGCTAGTTTTACTTCACCACGAGATAAAGCATTCAATATTTGTTTTATAACACTTCCCCCACAGATTCTGCTTGGTTTTAATATTTTAAATTATTTAAATCTGAACACAGTTGAAATAAACTTCAATTTCAATACAAAATTGGTGGAGAATGTATTTCTCTCTTCCAAACTACCCCTTTACGAAATGTTTGAACCCAACTCTGCGGCGCGCTCTCTTTGGAACAAAATTGGTGGAGAATGTATTTCTCTCTTTGGAACAAAGTGCGCAACGCGCACACCAGCATGCATTTGCACACAAATACCGTGCCGGGGATATAGTACTTTGGTTGCTAATGGTATAGTACTTTGGTTGCTACGGGTATAGTACTTTTGGCTGTGCACAAAAAGATAGCAAAAATAGAAAGTATCATGTGACTCGCTCTCGCCCAATCAAGACACAGAATCTGTGGGCGAGGTGTTATAAGTTCAAACGTCCTTCAAAGTGGTCTTCTCAACTCTCTCTTCATATCTGTTGGGGGGGGGGGGGGGAGTCGGTACAAAGACTAATATAACTCCCTAAAGATATGTTGGTTGGCAAATCACTCTTATTATGTAGCCTAATATTGGAACAGAAAATAGCTTAGCACATTGTTAATAATTCAGTGATATATGTAACTTATTTGGCAAATGTTTTCCTGTTCTTTTTTGTTTCCCGTCATGTTTTTATTGATCCATTTCAGATTTTAATGAGTGCACTGCCTCAATGGAAGCTGGTCGTCATGATTGTGTCAATGCTGTGTGTATTAATGAAGATGGAGGGTTTTCATGTACATGCAACGATGGCTACAGTAAACCCAACATGAATGATCATACTTGCACAGGTATTGGTCAATCAGTTAGTTTTTTAGGTTTTACTTTCACTCCGTTTAAAAATAAGTAAAACACATCTTATTCATTAAGCGCGACTTGTTAGTTTGTATCTTAATGGTTGTGTTGACCTCATGTCTCTGCAGTGCGCATATATATAATTATTCAGGGGTGTGTCAATCTGTGACAACACTTTAATTGTATGCCCATTCTGAAATGCGCAAACCAACCCTGTCCCACACACGCTGGCTTTCATGAGCTAGTTACTTGACATCATCCACTATTCCATCTTGCATGTCTATATTCCTTTTTAATTAAAAGATATAATTGATATACTGTTTATTCCTCTTTTTATTATAGATACTGAGCCTCCAGTATTTACACCCGGTTCTTGTCCTCAAGCAATATCTCGTGTGGCTGATCCCAGAAGCATGGTTACCATGGTAACATGGACCGATCCTACAGCCACTGATTCTACCAATGTTGCTCCTACTGTGGAATGCACACCGGCCTCAGGAACAGACTTCGTGATTGGTCAGACACCTGTCACATGTACAGCAACAGATGCTGCTGGAAATAAGGCCACACCTGACTGTACATTTACTGTGACTGTTACGGGTATGTTTATAATTATCCTGGAGGTTTGAAGTTTTGGGAGAGGAGTGCAATGAATGTATTTGAAAGATGTTCTTGATGTTAAGGAAAGACTTTGCATGTTGTAAGAACATGTAAATGTCAATATGCAATTCTTAAATTTGTTGAGATTAATGTCAGGTTTGAGTACAACACGCTTTAATTATTATCTTCTCTATGTGATATAGAATGTTGGTTAAATTGTTTTTCTTGCAGATTTCAATGAGTGCACTGCCTCAGTGGGTTCACCTGGTCGTCATGATTGTGTCAATGCTGAGTGTAATAATGAAGATGGAGGGTTCTCATGTACATGCAACAATGGCTACAATAAACCCAACATGGATGATCATATTTGCACAGGTATGAAAACACGTACATGTTGTCTGTTACATTCCTAAATAGAAGACAATCTTATTATGAATCCAGTGTCCAATATCTTAATGTCGCAGAGATGGAGAATTGTAAACAAATCATTAACAACAGAATCCATCACATGAAATGAAATTGTGACCCGATGTCTCCCCTCAGAAAAAAAAGTGTTGTCTTTCAGTCGTAATTAAGGACATTGACCCTATATCTGGCGAGAAAACCTTCCAAACATTGCTTTTGCAAATGTTGTTTTTTTCTCATAGCACATTGTTTTTTCTTATACCTTAATAATGTGGAGAAACTACCTTTTCAAGCTCACGGAAAATGGTGTGTGCTTTTACCTCACAGTTTGTGTTGTATTTCACCGAGCTTAGTGTGTAAGTCCATTGATTTACTAACTTGTCGTTGGATGATCTGAGAATGATAAATAAAGTAAATGAAATTGCTTTTTAATGAAACATCCTTTTTTATTCACAGACACTACTCCTCCCGTCTTTGATCCCAACACCTGTAGGTCACCAGATGCTCAAGTTGCCGATCCTGAAAGTATGACATCAACTACAGTTACTTGGACCACTCCTACAGCCACTGATACTACAGGAATAGCTCCTACTGTGACCTGTACACCATCAACCAATCACGCCTTTAGGATTGGTGATACGGATGTCACATGTACAGCAAGAGATGCTGCTGGCAATATGGCTCTGATTAACTGTGTATTTACAGTCACCGTTATAGGTAGGAATACCAATTGAACAATGTGCTTTAGTACTGGTGTAGCTGTCATATGCCCAAAATGTAACTTTTTCTCGTTTTTTGTATAAGTTCTAGGAATTACAATCGCCGTTCTGTCTCCTGCTGAAAATGAAATAACGTTTTGTGACCTTCACATGCTATGACGGCGTACAAAGTACTTTGCTATGGCTAAATAACACACAAGTCTACGGGTCTATGGGGAGTAGTTCAGCAGCTACACTTCCCCTAGACCTATGTGTGTTATTTCAAACCGTTGCCAAGTAATTCAGACACGGCCTAAACTATGGTATTAGTGATCAATTGTTGTTTTATTAATTGAACTTGTGTGTTAGTCTATTAGTTACATTTTAATTTAATAGTTTTACATCACACTTTTCCTGTTTTGGGTCATTTTTAAAATGATTGGACCAAAACAAATAATGTAAATCTCATTGTTGCATTTATCTTGTTTATTTTCCCTTCCATTGATAGATTTCGATGAATGTACTGCAGTGACGAATGGACATAATTGTGATACCTTTGCAAACTGTACAAACACAGATGGAGGTTTTCTGTGCACGTGTACAGCTGGCTACACTGGTAGTGGAGTGACGTGCACAGGTATGGGTGATCTAAAAGGAAATCATTGATAATACAGTAAACTCCGGCCAAGTCGACATCATACAACTTGCCAAATTGCTCAAGTCGGCCATCTGACTAAAGTCTTGATTGTCTGTAAAGTGTTTCAATTGAATTTTGTATTGCTAAGTTGGCTGTTTTAAGTCCCCATTTCGCTCAAGTTGTAGTGTTACTCTCGGACCCCTTTCCGTAAAAAGTATAACAAAATCCTTTGAGTAAGTCGGCATTCAAAAAATCACGCATTGGCATCGACTTCCTGTACTGCGGTTGGCAAGAAGTGTCGAGTGAAAAGTGGTTTGGCACGGCCATGATCGCTGCATTGGCATGGCTGCACAGCCGGCCAAAAGGGTTTCCTACTGCATGCATCGTGAGCATATCTGCATCGTGAGCATATCAGTACCAGAACCCCCTCTAGTCTTTACGCATGCGCTCTGTCCATTTTGGGGGTCGTCTTACTGAATATCGAATGATGCAGTCAATACTGCAATGATGCAGTGCTTGCGTGGTATACCACTGTGCACGTACATGTATTACTAGTTTGTGCACGTGGTCTCCACTATAAATACCCCAAACGTGATGATAAAATTCGAGGATTAATTTGCTGGATTGAACTCAAGCACTAAGGAGATAAACCAGGGTAAATCGAAGCCAATTAGTGCAATGAATCATGTGTGCAAAAAGGCCATTCATGTAAGTCGGCAAAATGACGACTTACAGCAGTATCGACATTCGCGTAAGTCCTCACAAATTCTCGGGTCCCGAGAGTGCCGACTTCGCCGGAGTTTACTGTATAGTCAAATATACAAAGCATGAATTAAGGTTACTTAGAATAAAATGATAATGACTTTAAAAAAGGAATCAACATGGCATTTTGTAAAGTACTGTATGCACTGCATGTAGGTGCTAACTTTTGCATCAGTTCTGGCACGTTCCATCATCGGAAAAGTAATCATTTGAAAAACACTTTCTTAAAGTGCCTTGAAAGTCTAATCCATTAGTCCGTGTGCTGTAGTGAAGCAAACTACTCCTTAAACCGCCCAAGCACTATGGTTTTCTGGATTCATCAAGGAAAATACAGTGAACTACCGTAAAATGTTGCGCAAACCCGAATCCGACGCGATCTGAAACCAACTTCGGGTTGCTTTGGGTTGGTTTGTCCATCATTTCAGTCGGGTCGGGTCGGTTTCGGTTTTGCATTTGTGATTTTGGGGTCAGGTCGGTTATTCCATCTTGTGAAAAAAAAAAAAAAAAACAAGTTGGAGTTTCATGCGATGCTATTTAATTGCAGAGTTACTGTACCAACCAACGACTATTACGTCAACCAAACATGCTAATGTGCATGTGGTTTGCAGTCTAACACAAACAGTCTAAAACGTGTAGGCCCACAAGTACAGTGGGTAACGTTATGAATCTTCACCGAACCTATGTACGGTATGATTTTTTACTTAGAGACGACTATTTTCACGCAACGCTGTTAAGTTCAGGCATAAAAAGTGGACACACAATTGCCCAAGCCCAATATTCGGGGGGTTTTCGGGTCAGTTCGGCTTCGGGTTAGTTTGGGTCTGTTTTTGCTTGATTTTTGTCAGGTCGGGTCGGGTCGGGTTGGATTTGGGGAGTTCAGATTGGTTTCAGTTCAGATTCGGTTTATATCAATAATGTTTCGGGTTGGTTTGGCCTGGTCAACGTGACCTATTTCTGTTTTGCTTGAAACTGCAGTTTGAGAAACATCCATGAGTGACACTGTTCTGATACTAAAACAAGACCAGGGAAAGCTTGGTAAAGCTGATCCCATAGCAAACCATATCCCATTCAAGTGATGCAGAATGGCTATTCACTGGCAGTCTGTTCATGCATCTGGTCTGCACAGTGGACCGGATTTAGCCTGTTGCAAGGTATTCCTATACTACCTGGTTCTAGCTCTCTTCACAAGCTAACAACCAGAAGAAGTCACACGTTGTGTATAAAAAGGACTGCAAGCTGGCCCCTCATGGGACCAGCAAAAATAGTACAAAAAGTGTCAAGACTTTTTTGGTCAATGTTTGATCAATGTTTGATGTTTTTAAAGTTAAATTTGGGAGGAATGGGGTGTATTTACTGGAAAAGTGAATCTTAAAGTAAACAATTTAACAATTTGCTATTGTTTGTATTTTATTCTAGAATGTGCTGATGGTTTCTTTGGAGTTGAGTGTTTGTCACCCTGCACATGCGTACAAGGCGCAGATTGTAATAATGTGAATGGTACCTGCACCTGTACTCCTGGGTTTACAAATGCTGTATGCGACAAAAGTAAGAAAGATACACATTCAATACAATTCACTTTCTTTTCTCCAGTTAATACTTTTTCTTTTGATAGAATTTTTTTAAAAAGGTAATAAAACTGGTTGATAATTATTTCAGTGAATAATTTCATAACCGGGAATGTGTCAAGTTGCTAATGCTGCCACATGGAAGTTGATTATTATGGGACAAAGTGTACCGATTTGGTGCCAGCTTTGCATTGATAATTTGTTGTATAGACTTTTAGGTACTGACCTGTTGGTATTTTGTCATTACGGATGAAGTATTTTTTCATATACATGTCTAATCAATCATTCCATCCATGAACCTCCGTGCAGATTACCTGGACGTAGAATTATCCGTGACTGAGGAACCAGTCTTAGACACAGCTGCTGTTGATAACGCTACACTGCGGTGTCAAGTCAATCTACTTTCAGGAGATCTGGTTCCTATAAACCCTGTGACAATAACCAATCCTAACGGGACATCAGAGACTGCCAGTATGATAATGGAGGGTTTGTATGAGATCATCGTACATGACATCAGCCCAGACAACAGTGGGAAATATACATGTACAGCGACAACGGTGATAAACGGAGTTGGATTGTCAGATTCAGATGAATTTGAATTAGATGTCCTTGGTAAGTGAGCACTGTAAATCGATATTAGTGTGTGTCCCTAATATAACTACATTTCCTGGTCTTCGATTGCCAGACAAATTGGGATGAGTTGTTATGATTCTACCATAAATGGATTAAATATTAGGTTTTGCCCCTCATAAATAGAACCTTGCTTATCTACCACCTACCAGTGCATGTAAGCAGCCGTTCTACTAAATCTTGATAACTGCTTGATGCATTTAACGGACAAGCTCTCCTGGTCTTTAAGGGCTCCTTGGGGAGAAAAAAAACATGTCAAGCATCCATAGATGAAACAGGCACTTGTGTGAAAAGATACGCAACTAAACAAAAGCGGACATTTTCTTTTAATTGAAAAACATATTTTAAAAATCTGGAGAAAAAAAATTAGAAATTAAAGTTAACATAATGCCCAAACATTGTGTCCTATATGAACTCTGTGTCCTAATGACATTGTCTGTGAATTAAATACAAGTCTCATTTTATTGCTCTCTTGTAGCACCTGGGCGCATCATATCTGAAATGTTCTTGTAGTTGGAAAACAACTTTTTGAAATGAAAGTAAAGATATACCCAAACACTGTGATCTAATAACAGCCTTTTTTTTCTTGTAGCACCTGGGCGCATCATATCACTAAATGAGAGCACCGAGGGGAAATTGGGAGAAACTGCAACTGTCGACTGCGTAGTATATGCTCGACCAAGACCTGTGATCACCTGGTACAATAAGAACAATGCAGTCATAGAGACTACTGATCCTAAGTATTCCATTTCATCGGTTGATGGCCAAGAACGTCTGACTAGTTCACTGAGTGTGCTGAATCTTGCCCGATCCGATAATGGAACTTATTTCTGCGAGACTTCGAATAATCTTACCCTAGATAGAGATCGAAGGGAGGCTGCCATCATTGTTATCGGTAAGTGAGATGAGTAGATGCATTCAAATATCTCAAAGGAGGGATTGTTTTGCTTGTTTAAGAGTAGTATGTTTCAAGTCTCACGAGAATGAGGAGATAAAGTACTCTGGGAATGTTTAAAACATTGTACATCATGATTGTAAAAGTGTTTGGAACGGATTTACTTTGGTTAAAGAGGTGGAACTAGATAATTTGTTTTATGTGCCATTAAAAAATACTGCGTTACTTGTTTGAGTTTAAATGAGTGGAGGACAGAACCATCATTTGGGACAGCCTTTTTCAAAACAATTTGATTGAAAATCCGTTTTGTTTTTAATAGTTTGAATGATTACATGTACAGAAGTGCATTGCCTTTATAGTTAATTAATGCACCTTCAACACTATCATTTGTGACAAATTCAGTTCAGTTGTGACAATCAACAATGATCTCTCTATCTTCCTTGCAGAGGTTCCTGAGGTAGACAATGTTGATGCCATGGCCATTAGTGCCACTGAAGTCGAGGTCATTTGGAGAGTCAGTTATGATGGTAATGCTCTGCCATTCATGTGTAAGGTGGATTACCAAAAACCTGGACGTCCTGATTGGACACTTGGAGCATTTGCTGAGGAGCCACCACTATCACGACGTATCACAAACCTTGTTGCATACATGGAGTACCCAGTCAGGGTAATCTGTCAGAACAGAGCTGGTGTAGGCTTGGAAGTAATGCGACCAAACCCAATTAGAACTCTACAGGCAGGTAAGAATCAGGTCTGTCTGATAACAAGTGAAAAAATAGGCACTGTTTTTAAACTTTGAAAGGCAAGGTGCAGACCTTTCTTTTTACATAATTTGACAGTAGTTGTGACTTTGTGAGAAATAGCCTAGGTACTGTTGAGAAACTTTGTAAGGAGCGGATGGGCCTTAGTCACGAGTTGGCCATTTTTGTCGCGTTCCCTGAACGTATTTCAGTAAGTGTTAACTGTTCAATGGGACAGCACCAGACTATTTATGCAGGCACAATGCAGCCTTCATTTACTGGATTTTTTTTTTCAATCTGGCTTTAAACATTAGGAAATTTTTAATTACAAATTTAAAATGATTCCTTGACGCAGACTGGAATTAGTTAGGAATTAAGTTGCTTTCATTTCTCTTTGAAAGTCCCAAAAAGATTTTTCCTCTCTTTCAATTCAATATGGCTGACTCGTGAATAAGGCCCATAAGACTGAAAATCCATGTGTCCATTTTTCGATATGGGTATTGCATTGTGCATTTATCAGTTAAGTATCCGTGTCTGTACACATGTTTACAAAAGAAACATTGACAAGATGTAATCTCTAAATGATATACATGGGGTATGAATATTCAATCAACGTGTTATCAATGGAGAATTTGGACGTTTATTAGACGTCTAAAAATAAATTATTGCTTATAGAAATTTGTATTCTGTTCTTAAGATTTGTTCTATTATCATTCTGTAATTTTGAAAATATACCGCATTAGCGGTGATTAAAGAGGCTGTGAGCATTTACATTTCATAGTTCTAAAACTTACTGATGTCTTAATAAAAATGGCAATTATATGGTTGCTTTTTATTTTTTAGTAAACCTTTCTTCAAATTTATTTTGTATTTAGCACCTGATGCCCCAGAGAAGGTCCGAGTGACAGCGATTACTTCGAGCTCTCTCACTGTGAAGTGGGATGCACCTGTAATCGAGAGAGGAACCATTGCTCACTACGTTGTAACAGTTGACTCTGCATTTGATGAGCCAAAGTCACACCAAAGTGAGTAACTTTATTTGTACTTTTGTGTTGACGGAGATTCGAGCAGGGTTTTTTATTACGGTTTTTATAATTTCAAATACAAGAGACAGTTGAGGCCAGTTCATAATTCATGCGAATACAAATGCAAAATGAATTTGGCATCTTAAAACATGTGGTGCAAATGAGTTAAGTGTGTTCAGATTTTGCACATTTGCAGCGCAAAAAGTTACTGTGTTACAAGTTTGCATTCACTTTCACGCAGAGTTTGAACCAGCCTTTGCATGAAAAGACTTGCCATACAATTCTTTTCTAATAATTTTGTTTTGCAGGAAGCCTGTTCAAAGTTTGTTTTGATAATTATCTTATAAAAAATGAACGCCGGTCAGCACACTTCCTTGCAATATCAAAAACATCAATTTTGGACCAAAAACATCAACTTTCTCATAATATTTCTTTTGTCAAAGTATCGGCTCACTACAACGAGATTTAAGACAAAACACCCAGTTGGAAGAATTTCACCATTTTCACACAAAATCTTAAACTTCGCCACAGTCGGCATTATAAAGGAAAAGTCATTTTTGGACCAAAAAAAATTAAATATCCCCAAATCCCTCAAATGTTCACACAAGGTGCCAGGAAGCCAGGAATGAATCCAGACAAAGTTTCACACTGTGTGTGCATACACAATATGCACTACTAATTTTATTTTGAATGCGCACAAAGGCAACATCTTGGCGTGAGCATCAGGTATCGGCGAAGCGTCAGAATCTCTCTTCCGATGGGCTTCCTAGTCTGGTTCCCAGACCAAACGATCTATCTCTGATGTATCTAAGATTTGTCAGAAATAATGGAGTTTCCAAAACCTTTGCTTCCGCTTCGTCTTCGGCCTTACCTCCAACTTCTGAATCACTGAGAGGCAAACTAAACAAAGATTTCCAACTTTCGACTTCATATAAATCGATTGAATGTTCCTGAAGCATAACAGGCACCAAAATGTAGCTGGAGTTCCAGAAGTTGAGTCCTCAAATCTCCTTAAGACGAAGCCAAAGCCAGTTGTTTTTAAAACGCTTTATATGTCGGATCTTTTGGTCGGGGAACCAAACTGTGGTCTCCCCCAACACTCCCTTTCTTACCGGTGATGAGCTACATGTGATCTGTTCCTATTTTTTAATAAGTACTTTTCCTTTTATGTTCATGGATATTCTGTTCATCTAACAGCCCCTGGATCAGGAAACCCTGCACCCTTATCTCTGGTCGTGAGTGAATTGAGTCCGTACCGTAACTACACTATTTATGTGACGGCATTCAATGTGGAAGGAGGCAATCCTCTGATGGGAGATGATTCTGACAGTATTGTACGCAAGACTGCACAGAGTGGTAAGAAGCGTAAATTTGTCAATACCTTAAATTTTATTTAATAAACCACAAGGGCAACCGACTAGGTGTTTGTAATAATTTTAAATATCCACCACACTGCTGCTCCGGTGCTCTACCAACTGGGCTATCCAACCCTATGTTGGGGGTTCCCCATTTTGTAAAAGTCTTTGTTCAAGGGGCGCTAACCTGATAAGTCTATTAACTTACAAAATTTGATAGTTGTAGAGCCCTCTTACTCTATTGTTCTTATTCATATTTGAATTCAAGCTCCCTCAGCACCTATCAACGTTCTTCTAGACAATGAAGGAGACGCCTGCATGGTCACATGGGATCCACCCGAGCAAGAAAATGGCATCATTATAGCTTATAAGGTAGGGAGGGAATCAAACATCAAGCATCATACTGTACGATTGCTATGGTTCCATGCACCAGTAACCCCTCAGCGACAAATAAGGGAAAGTTGGGGGAGAGCAGTTGGAAAGATATTCAAACAAATTGCTAACGGCGTTTGCCCGCTCATGCGAAGACGCCAGTAGATCACCAGTGATCTAATTTTACACATGTGTAGCGGACAATAAGGTCACTAGTGCCCATCTAATGTATATGTTACCCTCTTACAGTCATTCACAGATCCAAGGGATGCATAGACTATTTAATGACAGTCAATAGTATAAAAACTATAATCTGGCTTGAGGATGGATCATCAATATTACCTCCCTGAGGTATTGGAAGTTGAGGGAACTAGTTTTTCAACTTCCAATATCCAGGGAATCTAATATCGACGATCCACCCAAAACAAACCATGGTTTGTTCGTTTTACTTTACCTCATAGTTATTCACCAAATCTTTGTCAAGTTGCGCATCAGTTACCTCAGCAAAACGTTGCTGTGCATGTGCCGTCGTCTTTTCATGTAGCTAGGTGCACTACCCCCTTGGAATATTTCCACGATTCCTTCATAAAGCATAAGCGTAGTAGACTCTCACACTTTTAGCCCATGCAATAGTTAACTGCACATGCGTATTTATCCTATGCGTGAATCCTTGCATGCACACTAGGTGAATACCAGTGAGAATGAAGCTCTTGCTCATGAATATGTATGGGGTATTGTAATGTTTTATGACACACCACAATCCAACAAACCCCCATTCGTGGTGTATGGTGAGACTTGATAAACTTGGTAAGAAGAGGGTGTCAATAGAATCAGCCTTAAAATGCTAAAATTACTCTTTCCCTGGCACAGATTTTTCTTCAAGCGTACATGTACCCAGAGCCTGGATCTGATGGAAGTTTGGATCTTATTTTTGATGAAAGCAAGTCGGACTCTCTGTCGTGGAGTAATGTTGATGAGAGGTTGTATGTTGTCAATAAGACTGAATTGGAACCGTACGCCAGATTCAAGTTTCAAGTTCTCGCAGAGACGGAGCCAGGGGAAGGCCCCAAAAGCGAGGAGACCAACGTCACTTGTGATTCCCCTCCAGTAGGTCAGTACAAGAATGCTTATTTAAATGTAATCCACCAGTTGTTTCATTGCTGTTATCTTCTCTCAAATTCGTAAAATTTGTGCTGGAAGATTTTAGAGAAACTGTTACGTGCATTCCTGATAAACATTATATTGACAGCATGACGTGACTGTAGTTAGGCAATGGAATGATATGCTTGTTGACGATGATTGGGAGAGATTCAACTATTAGACTTGAATGCAACTTATTTCAAACAAAGCTGTGGAAGTAAAGCTGCTTAAGCACTTAGTCTGATTGAATAAATGCAGTGTCCAACAGAGATTATGCAATAGCCCATACTATAGATGAATGAGGCAATAGATGAATATGGCAGTTTTAGTGATTATATAAGTCTTGGTTTATAAGGAACTAGGCTTATTTAACAAATAATAAAAAATGAAGTCAAGGCTGCCTCTACAAATTACCAAATATGTGCGGCATTCTGGCAAAGTGGGACGGAACTGGGCACAGGCCGCACTGGAGAAAAATGCAAAAAAATAGATTGAGCATTTTTTTTTTTCAATTTTATATATTGATAACATATTTGAAAGAAATACCATAAAAATTGTAAGGGGAAAAATGTTTTTCATGAAAAACAGTAGGCATCCTTCATTTTCATGACTACAAACTCAAAACTTTAAAGGCCTTTTTTTCACTATTTCACTTTTTTTTGACAAGTTGATAAATGCAAACTTAAAACAGCCATAAGTTGTCAACGAAATGTCTGACTGAAGTGCTACAAACAGTTTGTATGGAGAAATTTATTCTTTTTCCTAATACCCGCAAACCATCATTTCCACCTCTGCCCAGTTCTAGTGTACCGTGTTGGACAGTGTTTGGTCAAAAGTAAATCACAAATTCATTTGCAAGTGCAGTTACAAGTAACGGGATGAACTGTAACAGAGGAATGCCTGTGCCACAGTTCATTTAACTCTACGTGGGAGTGGATGACTCGCGATGGACTGTTTCACAACTAGTTTAGATATCCCTGTAGACGTGCTACATGTGAATGAGAGTGCACAGTAACCCTTGAATGCATGATTTCAAAGAACTTGACATCAGACTAATCTGACAGTAAGGCGGACGTTTCCTTTATGATTTCATAGCCCCGACTGAGGAAATTGTAACCCCAACAAAGGTAGACTACATTGATGACGACACACCGGTTGTCACCCATGAGAGTTTTTGGATGTCTGTGAGTCCAGCTAGCACCAGATATGGACCAATCAGGTAAAATGTAATCAAAGTTTTGAAGCAGATTTGTTTTTGGCAGTTTGTCTAGAAAGTTTGGAAGAATTATTTTTTGCCAAATCCATCTTTACTGGTTTCATCTTCTACGCTTCTATTGACTGACGTGTGCTGTGGTGTTTGTGTTTTTTTTAGTTTTTTATGTTTTCTCACAGTGCCCCTTGAAACATTTTTTAAGAATTATAAAATTTCTCATAACACCTTTAACCCTAACCTTCCTCAATCCTCCAAAGTCCTCCAGGCAGTTTTGGAGGTTTTGTGAGGCTAAATGCAACATACAATTTTGGAGGATTGTGAAAGACTAAGGACACATGGACATTCAGTTTTTGTTGATTTGGGAGGATTAAGTGGAAAAATGTGGAGGAGTTTGTAGTATTGAGGATGATTCATAGCAAAACAGGCCAAGGAGGTGAGGGTTCAAGTCTTTGGGCACATGTCCACGGAAAGGATGTAAGTATTGATGTATGCAATTCCAATGCGCAGATCCCTTTTTTACCTTGTGTTCAAAGATCCTTTGATGACAGTTTAATGAAGTGTTAGCTTTCATCATTTTTAAGGAATTGCTTTGGAATGTTTTACCCTACGTTTGTAGTTGTTACGACATTGTGGTTGTGGAGCTTCCTGAAGGGGAAGGCATTGAAGGCAAGGTCCCAGACGTGAATTATCCCATCGAAAACTTTGTCAGCTTTGTCGATGCACAGAAGGAAGCTGGAAAGCCTTACATCGCCCAGTCACGAAACGGGTAAGTCATACAATTAAAAAAAATCTTGTTTCAAATGCTTGATGAAAACTTTGGCCTCGTGGTTAAGGGCATTGAATTTGTGGTCTGTGGGTAAAACTGCAGGTAGTGGGTATGAGTCCAGCCCGGTGTCATGGTGCGTGTGTCCTTGGGCAAGGCACTTTGTCACTCATTGCTTCTCTCCACCCAGGAGTAAAATGGGTACCTGTGAGGGCAGAGATGGTTAGTGTGATTGAATTAGCTTCCTTGCACCTAACAGGCTGCATCGAGCTATACTCCTATACTCCTCAGGGAGCTGAGATGGTATTTGGAATGTTTAATTGGCCCAATGATCAGGGGTAATAATAATGTAAACCGCTTCGATCTCAGTTAAAAGCGCTATATGAGAACCCGTTATTATTATATTATTAATATAAAACTTAAAGAAATTTAAAGCTTTTGTGATGTTGTTACTATACGCTGAGAAACACTGCATAACAGTGTCAAATGCTGATGGCAGTGCTTTACATATGAACGGCTTGTTTCCAGTGCTGCCAAGGAGATGCACATGTGCTGTTGCCCACGTTGTACAGTGGAGGGGGCCCTATGAATCAGTCCGTTCTATTTGCCGGTTCCCTGGAACTAAATACATTTATTTCACCACAACACTAAATGAAAAGAATGTGATACCTAGCCATGCCTTTGTCATTGGCAATTTCAATCACAGCAACAGCCTCACAGATCAAACTAACGTCAAGATTGGCAACACCGGGTCCTCATCCTGTACTCCAGAATCCAGACGAAGAAAGAGAGCGACTACATCTCCACACAAAGGGGATGACGGAGCTCTGAAGTCAAGTACCTCCTACACAGCATTTCTACTTGCATGTGTCAGGCTGGACGATGGAACGGTAAGACATGGGTTTACATTGTTGCCAAGGAAAACTTTGTGACGAACTAGTTACAGTAATAATGACATCACAATGTGACCAGTCAGATTAGATATTCTTTATCGTGGGACAGTTCAAATTTGGAAGATCCCCACAGGCAAGCGGCTTTTTCATTGATCGGCTTATTTACTTTTTTTCTTTGCCATTTGAACTTTAAAAAAACACTTAAGAAACTCTTCAAAAGCTTTGAATACCCCTTTTTGTGACTTTCCGTGGAGTGCCTGTTTCCAACACATGAAGTTAGAATCTCAAATTGTTTTTTTTGCTAAAACTTTAAAGACAACAGACTTGGTAAGAATGTTCCTATATATTTTTTTCCCTATCAGGAACTTTGCTCTTCCAGTCCACTGATGCAACCAGTCATTACCTGTAAGTTGCTTGAATTTCTATGTTCTTAATTTTTAAATACCATCAGATTCCTTTAAAAATTCATCTATCATAACGTGAAAGGCTGGAAATTCCATGACATTCCATGAAAGCCCGAAAATTCCACCATGCCTCAAGTTGATGGTGATTTGTGATGATGATTTGTGACCATTGGTGAGAGCTCCGTTTTTAAGCCATAAGGTGGCTCGCCCGCTGCGTCTCCCAACAAGAACGGCAAAAGTGGATACTATGGACTCTGGGCACAGAGCACACACAGTTCGAGCATGAGTGTACGTGTTCTACATAACCCCAGAGGACCGGCACACAAAGGGAGAATAACAGATCCTTTTAGTCCTCGGGAGTTGGGTCTTTTGTTCAAAACGGTCCTCTGTAGTAAGTTTATGTGCTTAGTCTGTTGGACAGTGTTATATTACAGGGACAAAGGGAAACACAAAGCAATGTCCTCGAGAGTATAGTAAAACAAGAGTGTGTGCTTGGCATTTGTTCAAGGGCTCTACCTTAACCCTAACCTTGCCGGACGCAACACAGTGCATCAGGTGGAAAAGTCTGGTGCACTTTGATGCATTCAGCTACCAACACCAGTGCATAAACAGCCGCTTCTGAGACAATGAGAGCTAGTCCCATAGAACAATGCCAGAGTTGTATCCTGCTGCATTCGGTGACCACAGACTCTGAGGCAGTGTGGCCTTGAGATTTTGACCTGATAGATCTTGCTGCACTGGGCAGGCTTGTCACTTAGACAAATGTTGCATGTTGCTGCGTTTGGCAGGGTTCTAGCAAACATACCCTGGAGGGTTAGGATCAAAGGCCGGTGCTTTCTGGGTGCAGAAGCAAACTCAAAGGCAAAGTTGAACACATTTCAACTCTGGCAATTTCCCAGGGAATGTTTTGTGAAGTCAAATTCGCTTTACTTTTGTATACGCATGAAGTGTGAACCGGCCTTTACTCTCTCATGTGCCCAGAGTCCATAGTATCCACTTTTGCTGTTCTTGTTGAACCATTGCATGAACATTGTTTATGACTGATGATATTCAACTAACAGCTCTTTTTGCTTGCACATGCAATGTGTCAAGGTATATTCTTACCCTTAAATAAAAGACACTTAGCGGGTTTTTAAAATTATTATTTTATTGTCCTTGACCTCTCCAAAAGTAGTTTGTTGCATTGAAAACTTTGCGCCAGTGTTGTATTTGAGTCCACCACATGTCTATCCCGTGTTCCTCACAAGTCCATCACAAGTCCATCACAAGTGCATCACAAGTCCATCACAAATCCATCACAAGTCCATCACAAATCCATCACAAATCCATCACAAGTCCATCACAAGTCCATCACAAGTCCATCACAAGTCCATCACAAGTGCATCACAAGTCCATCACAAATCCAACATCAAATCCATCACAAGTCCATCACAAGTCCATCACAAGTCTATCACAAGTCCATCACAAGTCCATTACCAGTCAATCACCAGTCCATCACAAGTCCATCACAAGTCCATCACAAGTCCATCACAAGTCCATCACAAGTCCATCACAAGTCCATCACAAGTCCATCACAAGTCCTCCAGTCTCAACTCAATACACAAGCTATTGAAATGAATGTGACAAAGGCATTCCTTCGTTATCGTTCATCCTCTGTTTCCTTTGACACGACTTGATTACTATTCAGATTATTCAGAACATTTATTTCCATACCTTCAAAAATTTAAATGATACAATTAAGAAAAACACTTATGAATTGACTTATGACATATAGTTCTGAAGGACTCCAATAGCACACTGAAGTGTGTCTACCAGTTTGCCATGAGGCACTGTGCATGAGCTTTAGAGGGTTGTTAAGAAACAGGGCGCGGTAGATATTACCCGCACCCCCGTTGGTCTAGTGACAGACTCAACTACAACACAGCTTCATCCACAAATACCCCAAAAGCTGAAAATGAGAAAGCACACAGACATGGATCTGTGTACAAACAGTAGATGATAGCTTTTGGGAGCTCCTGCGAGAGGGGCACACCACATTTGCGCTTTTATTTGCACACGCACGGTGCATGCAAATTATGCACAACTGATTTTATTCTGAATGTCCACAAACCATCTTTGCGTGAGCATCAGGCACCGCCAGTAATGCACTTCAATGTCCCTCCCAAAGAAGTCATGCTGTCGTCGTTAGTTTGCACGCAGCGCCCTCGTTTGTTAGCACACGGAGTCCACACTGTTTGTCCCGAGGGGAATGATTTAAGTTTATCAGCTTTTAAAACACATTTGGCATTGCATCCTTGCCTCTCCCACTAATAATACCTTTTTTTTTTTTTTTTACTTCTCTCCTTAATTTGCATGGTGTGTTTACCGCTACCTTGCTCTGAATAGTGGCTGGAGGTATGTCATCATATTTTAAATATCTCTCAATGTTGATTGTTTTCATTAAAAAGAAAATTTTAAAAAGTATTGAGATTAATTTTATTTTTTGTCTATACATTGATTGCCAACTTCAGCTAAAGGCTAAGATGTTTCTGACGATGATATGTGAGTTAGATAGTAGGGCTGTGCGGAATATACCGAATACCTGAATGTGCGATCATTCACTGAATATCCACTTTCCAAACGGTCTCGATAAGATGACAAAAATGTCTTCGATGTTACTGCATTTGTATAAATTGTGTGGTTCTGTTTGTCAAAATGCCAATCGGTATTTTTGTGGACAGCCACCTTACATTTTGTAGATGCATGATTTGAGAGCTTCTGTGAGCAATATTAGTCTAAATTATATCTTTAAAATCTGTTGAATATCAGCTAGTCAGCTACAAATGGAAAAAAATATATCTATACAAATTTGATGTTCTTATTATTTTAATTAGATCAATGTCAGTGTTCGAAGTTTTGTTCAGATTCAAGTTTGAGTAATCCAATACAAAGTTAATTGAAAATGCACAGCAGTAGTAGAGAGAAAGAATCCAGATTTCAAGAAGAACCTGTCTTTGACTTAATGCAAAGTTTTGGAGTCTGAAAAATCTAGGATGGTTCTTAGTAAACGTAGACATTGATTTTGGTTAAAGCTTAGATAAATTGTTGGATAAATTGTTCATTCACAATACATATTGTCCATTGAAAACAGTGAACACAGCTGCAATCGCCATTGGTATCGTCCTGGCTATACTTATAGCTGTCGTCATAGCTCTAGGAGTGGTTATCTACATGTAAGTAAGGGAATAAATGTGTGCTCCGGAGGTTTTTATCACTCTGTTTAATACCACTTAGAGTCTGGGTGCTGATAATTACCCGAGCCGGAGGCGAGGGTAATTATCAGCACCCAGACTCTAAGTGGTATTAAACAGAGTGATAAATACCGACGGAGTACATATTTATTCCCATTCATAAATACCTTTTCGGTAAAAAAAAATCATATAATTCGTTCAAAACATCCCGATTTTGTTCAACAAATTCACTTCATGGTTTTGAATCATCCCTCCTGCAAAATAATGGAGTGTTCAGCTGGCGAGTAAGATGAAAACAACCCTTTTATGGAGATTGACGCGCGCGTATCATGTTCTATGCGATGTCGCGCAGAACGCACCTGGCGCGTTGCGTTTTGAATTTAGAACTATAAAATTCTAACTCCATGGTAGTGTTGCGCATGCCTACGTGAGGATTGTGAACGTTCAACCAATGAAACGATAAGAGGCACTGGATTTTTAGGAGTCCACATTTTATTGTGACACTGGAAAAGTGTTTAAGACCAGCTAGCCATGTCTTTATCATCCGTTTAATACCGGCCACGTGACGGGCTCTCGACCAATAGGAATGGCTAAACTGTCTGAGGTATTTATGAATAACACTTTAAAGATGTTATGCCTTGGGTTTTTTTTGAGAAACATTGTTATATCCAGATATTCTTACCTTGAACAAATGGCAGAGGTTCTTTTGACTTGAAATCACGATGTCTTTTTGTGCCACAGACTTTTTCTGTGTTATTTTCTGAAACATGACAATACTGCTGTAATGCACTTGAGTGATGCAATAATCACATAGGCTTAGTTGCTTAGCAAGACTGTGTAAGTAAAAACTCTTAAGAGTATTGTATTTTCAGGGTGTTTCGATGACTTGCACCTAAACGCTTTCAAAAAAAAATTCAAGCAGTTATCTTCGAAAAGCATCAAATCATCGGTTGCACCACGTACCGACGTATCGCATTTTTTTGTGTTTCGAGAAAAAAACGATTTAAAGTTGGTCATTATTTTGTAGGCTCATTCCATATACTCCCTGTGTAAGAATTCAAGCTGTTTCGTTTTTGCTAGTAAATTATAGATTAAACTTTATTGTATGCAATCCGTGTGCATCTGAGTTGCTTAGTTTTTGAGAAATTCAGTTCCAAAGTTATTCGTCACTTCGTGAAACAGATTTCTATCATGTATATCGTATGTCATACAACGCGCGTAATAGTGGCCGTGTGCCAGATACGGAGATACGTCGGTTCGTGAAATGCTAAATTCCAATTTTTCATATCGACGGTCCTTTGTGACATCATAGCACTATGGGAATTAGCGTGTTAAGCGGCGTATCGGGATATGCCACTTCGTGGTGCAGCATTTTTCATTTTTTAGAGATACGCCACACAGTCTAATTAGCGTTCTTAGTTAATTAGAACTCCGAAATAAAACTTTCTGAGAATGAGCACTTTGATGAAATAATAACGTTAATGACAGAAACTCAATTTGGCAAAAAATCGGGATACGCCGGTTCGTGGTGCGACCGACGAAATGTTCAAGTTGTGTTGATGCACAGACCTATTTGTAAGAAATGCTGTTCCCTTACTCACAAACATGATTTCCTTGGAAGATGATTTTTCCCTCCTTCGAAATGTCCAATTCTGCAGGAAGCGTCGGAAGCAAACTCCCCTCCTTCGTGATAGCGAGAACGGCGTGGCTATGGTACCAGTCATGGAGAAGGAACCAGGTATGAAAGTTAGGTGGTTTGTAAATAGTAACAATATGGTGATGTCTTGTTTGCAACGATAACCAGAGAACATGACTTCAGCAAACATTGATCATAGTTATGATTTTTTTTGTGTTGCTGGTGGCGGTGTTGATTATAGTGATAATAGTAATGATGGTGATTATGATGGTGATAATGGTGATTTGGTGATTCTGTTGATATTGTTAATATGATTGTGATAATTCATTATTTTGTTTATGTGCACACAAACAAAAACCCTCCAGAACCCTTTCTTAAAAACTTTCCCCAACTCAAAGTTTCAGTTATATTTTTCTCAGCCGAAGGAATTGTTTTAAGCAACTTTCGACTATATAATCTCTCTTAGATATGGTAGTTAAAACATTAAGGAGACATTCAAATATCTCCTGTAATGCCCAGTGTCTCCCTGGTAAGAAATAATTTACCATTACGTCATACACCGGATAATTTACCATAACCTGCATTGCCCAGAGTGATGTCCAAACACACATATGCCTAACGTAGGTGTAGGCACATTGCCCACTTTTTTAACAAATTTCATCCGTTGAAACAAGAAAATAACAGCATCCGTCACATTCCGATTGATGACTACAGTCAGCGATGAAAGCACTGCACCCTTCTCCAGTCTTAATTATTCTTAATGTCTGAAAAATCTCAACTAGAAACTGTTCACCTTAATCGCCCGTGGAAGTCCTAGGGTAAAAATGGCAGACAAGACATTGTTCGGACCAATCACTATTGGAGATGACCCAGCGTGACGTCACACTTCTGCAGCCTATAAGCACCAATCATATGAAGAATTTTACTCAAGAATTTCACACTTTGATGAAATCCTCAAAGTTTCGCATCTGGACCTTTCCTCATCATTGCTTTTTTCCTTCCTGGCTTTCAGAGGTGACTCACATGGTGGTTCTTCCCATCACCTTGGAGAATCTGTCTGAGACAGTCCGACAGAAGAGCGAGAATGACGACGAGACCTTCAAGGCTGAGTTCAAGGTGAGCTGGAAACTCTTGGTGATTTCCTAGAAATTGATGAAGGAGTCCTCAAAAGCAGCTTCCAACTCATAGGCCCGGGTTTGATTTCTGTCCTGGTCCACACTTCGATTGGGCCTTCAGTCCCTGCCTGATTCCGTGTGATTTACCCAGAATATTATTCTGGGGTTTTCCTCCCACATCTTAAACTGTAATTTCATCTCATTGTCTCCTCTCTACAGATTTCTTCAGGCTTGAGAGCTACAGTGCCTATAGAGCGTATTTCAAAATAAATTTTTGGTGTATTTTTTTATTTCGCAGTCTATCCCAGAAGCCACCGGTGATGTTACCAGGGACGCAACCAATCTGGAATGCAACAGGGAGAAGAACCGCTACATCAACATTGGTGCATGTGAGTATCATAACCAAATGCCATTGGCTGCTGGCCGCACACTGAATATTCATTATCTGGCTTCCTGATATGTGATTGGTCAGCAGCATGTACTGCCATTTTGTCATTGGTCAGTTGTTCTTCTGCAGATTTATGAATGATTAGTCTGATGCAATTTCTGTAGAAAGCATTTCTATCTGATAGTTCTCTTCTAGTTTGCGATTGGTCGGCCACCCATTATGCCATTTTGTGATTGGACAAAACCTGTTTGGGGGCTCTGCGATTGGCCAGAACATTTTTATGCACAGGCTTAGATTGACATTGTCACCAACTTTTTATAAATGTTGAATGTGGTCTTGTTCCCTACCTCCCACAGATGACCACACCAGGGTCCGATTGTCTCCCATAGAAGGCGAGGAGGGATCTGACTACATCAATGCCTGCTTTGTTGATGTAAGTTGGTTCTTCTGGATAATCTTTAACACTGTATTAAAAATCGTTCTTGCATTTTCTTGAACATCTTTACTAAACATTGACCTTTGTTTTTAAGATATATTTCTACTTCTACGTTTTATTTCTCATTCATATTAGTTAGTCAGTGTTTCATGTGTTTCATTTTTACTGTTTGCATTATTTTCAATTCAGATTCATGATTGTTTTTTTCTTAATTCAATTTTTAGAATTAACATATACCAAAATGCTTGAATTTTTTTCAGGGCTATGAGAAACCAAGGAAGTTCATTGCTGCACAAGGTGTGTTGAAAGACAGTTTTTGTCATTTTTTTCAGACCCAGGGGTGGGGGATGGGTGACTGATGAGACTCCCCTCCCTCCTCACTGATGTGTTTAAGAAAATCTCCAGAATGCAAGAATTAATATAAAATTGGAAATTTTGTGACTCGTGCTACCTAGCTCAAGGCCCACTTTCATGGCTCTGCTAACCATAGCATTCTGGACTATATTGCCATTCTGTGCTTTAAGTGCTAGCACGGGAATTCTTCGCTAGCCCATGAATCACAGAAAACTTCAGTTTATGGGATTCATGTTCATGGGAGGAAGCAAAAAAACCTCGAAAATTGTGAAAAAAAACAACAGCTGTTGCAAAATTTTCTGCTTTCAGAGCCATGAAATTGGCCAAAAATTTACAATTTTTTTTAACAAACTGAACAAATCCATGTACAGTTGTTTGTAGAAAATAAAAAGTGATTTGACTTTATGCCTCCTTGAAGTATGGTGGACACAATAGGCGGGTGCTATTTGAAATGGGTCAGTGTGAGTTCTTCAAAAGAGTTCACCCACTTCAAATAGCGCCCTCATACGGTGTCCGCCATACTTTAAAAAGTTAATACCTTGATTGATAAAAGGGAGGTTTCGCAAGGGAACGGATACGCTTACAAATACGTTTAGCTATCCGTATCCGTTTTTTTTACTTACGTGTAGCGAGCGAGATATGCGTGTCGTCTGCACGTATGACGTCATACGCCACTCACTATCCGCTAAACGTGCAGACAACACGCATATCTCGCTCGCTACACGTAAGTAAAAAACGGATACGGATAGCTAAACGTAAGTGTAAGCGTATCCGTTCGCTTGCGAAACCTCCCTAATGTCTCGTACGTGTGTGATGAAGTCTCGTTCTTATCATCGTAGGTGCCCGCGAGGACACCGTGCTGGATTTCTGGCGCATGGTCTGGGAGCAGAACTGCGCCACCATCATCATGCTGACCAAGTGCCTGGAGAACGGCAGGGTAGGTAGCGTGCGTGGCAGCAAGAGACAGAACGATGAGGACCGATCAAGTTGTTTGATTTTTGTGATTAGTGGGTTGGCTTTCTACCATTATTGGGACACACCGAAGCTCGCTTTGGTATTTCGCACAATGCACTGTCATTGCTTGTGATGTGTTTATCCTAACCCTCTAGGGTATGTTTGCTAGAACCCTTCCAAATGTAGCAACATGCAACACTTGAGTAAGTGACAAGCCTGCCAAATGTAGCAAGATCCATCAGGGGAAAAGTCTCAAGGCCACACTGCCTCAGAGTCCGTGGTCACTGCACGCAGCAGGATACAACTGTGACATTGTTCAATGAGACTTTGTTTCAGAGCTGACCATTGATGCACTGGTGTTGCTAGCTGAATGCATCAAAGTGCACCAGTTCTTTTCCACCTGATGTTCCACTTGCGTTGCGTCTGGCAGGGTTAGGGCTAAGAGCTTTACAAAATGAACCTGCAATCCTAGTAACGGCCAGTCACAAGTAAATCACAAGACCAGTCACAAGTAAATCACAAGACCAGTCACAAGACCAGTCACAAGTAAATCACAAGACCAGTCACAAGTAAATTACAAGACCAGTCACAAGTAAATCACAAGACCAGTCAAAACCAAGGCCAACGATACCGTCACTAGAATTGCAAAATCAGTCTGTCAGTTGTACCAGGTAGTGAAGTATCGTGTGTACAAAGTTTGTAGACAATCCATCACCTTATGGCGTAATCAACAAGATTGGGATAGAGGACTGGCAAATTGAGTTTAAAGGAAAAGTGTTTTAACTTGACCTGGGTCAGTACACAGCACTTGTATGACTAAAGGAAAACAGATCTACAGGAACAAATTTGCAAAGTTGGTCAACAAAGAGCTACAGCACTGCCTGTGTCTGCCTAAAACACAGCAGCTCACCATGTCAAGTGAAGAATATGCCTTGTGTAGATTATTCACAGAAATGGAAAAAGTCTCTGGGAGGATTGGTGTCCAAACTGATAAACCAATCAAATGCAGGTAAAAGCTAGGGATTTTAAGCGCTGCACAAACTGTTTAGCTTTCCTATAGCCAAGTTGTCATGTATTTGTTTTTATTATTATTATTATTATTAATCATTTTTGGTAATGAAACCAAGGATTCCTCAAAAGCGCCCTAGGCACTGTAGCTCGCAAGCCTGAAGAAACCTGTGGAGAGAAGACAATGAGAAGAAGCTACAGTTTTAGAGGTGGGAGGAAAAGCCCAGAAGAATATTCTGGGGAAAACCCACGGAATCAGGCAGGGACTGAAAACCCAATCCACATATTGGCCCAGGTGGGATTCGAACCCGGGTCACAGCGGTGGAAGGCTAGGAAAGTACCGCTACGCCAACCTGACTCCCCTTTGTGCACATTATATTCTGGTGTGGCATGTATGATTTTCCAATGTATGTAATTCAATGATTTCAGGAGAAGTGTGCCGAGTACTGGCCAGAGGAAGACGCCATCATGTACGATGACATCATTGTGACCTTGGATGACGTGGTGACTTGCGCCGATTACGTCATCAGGAAGTTCACCCTGCAGAAGGTACAGTTGCCAAAACCCTGCATCGAATTTGAAAGTACAAGTGTGAAATGGTGCTAAGGCCTGCTTCAAACTGGCTTTCCAGAGTCGTGCTGAACCCAAGTATTCCAAAGATTTGATTTTGATTCGGGGGAAGGGTTTAGCTGTTGGGAGGGGGGGGGGGATTAGCTGACATGATCTATGTTTTCTGCATTTTTTTTCTGATTTTGTTTTGCCCAATGGGAAGGTTTCGACCTAAACAAATCCCGCAGTAGAACCACCACTGCATTTCCTTACTTTTCTTAAATACGTCTGTTTTGTAAATCCAGCAAATATCCAAGCAATCTTTTATTTTTTTATTTCTCAGCACATTGAAACAGATGAGGATGAGGATGAAGACGCCGAACCCATCATCGGCGAGAGTCGTACCTTGATGCAGTTCCACTTCCTGGGCTGGCCGGACTTCGGCATCCCCAAGTACCCCCATAGCATGCTGTGCTTCGTCAAGCGCATCAGGCACATGACTGGGTCCCGCATTGAGCCCGGTAACATCATAGTGCACTGCAGGTCAGTAGTCTGACGACGGCCTCAAATTCATCAAGATTTTATATTACTACACCTCATAAATATTCATGATCAATTTGGAGCGTGTCATTGGCTTATTCCGCCGCGCGTCCTGGAAGTAAAAATGATACGGGCCCAGGTGACGTCATCCCAGTGGGTATCCAGCTCGCTGCCGTGCGGTATTTTTTTCTGGTATAGCACCAAAAATTCGCTCTGGAACCCGCCTCGTAGACATGTAGTCTGTGGCGTGTAATCTTTACAGAACCGGTCCGTTGTAGTCCTTGTAACTACTGCAGTAAAGACACATCACAGAGTGATGGCACCAGACTATTTCATTGACTGACTAAGAACTTGAACATCTTGTGCTGAATAAAGATACAAAATCTAGGAAGGCCGTTATCGACAAGGCAGTGAGGCTACTAAATATTTACGAGGTGTAGTAAAACAAATACAGCATGGTTTATTTCTGGAAAATAGTTGGAACTACTGGTCCCTCAGTGCAGGTCAGCTTGACTACCTCCCTCCGCTTCGTGTTGGGAGGTAGTCAAGCTGACCTACACCGAGGGACCAGTAATTCCCACTACTTCCCCTCAAACCATGCTGTATTTATCACGCCTTTTGAGAATCTGAATCATTTACAAGGAAAAATTTGAAAAAAAAATGTAAATAGGTTTGCTGATGATATCAAAAGGGGTATCAGAGCTATTTCAGATTTCCCTGACGGGTATTTTTGTCATTTGTTTGCTCAGTGCTGGTGTTGGCCGCACCGGTACCTACATCCTGATTGACTCCATGCTGGACATGATGAAGAAAGAGAAGAAGGTGGACATCTACAACGTCATCTACAAACTGCGCAACCAGCGCAACCTGCTCGTCCAGTCACTGGTGAGTAATGGACCCTGCGCATTGTTGCGCCCTCGGTGGCCAAAATGTGAAACGTGACTGTTTATGAAGGACATGTGATCATAATGTGACTAGTCCAGTCACAAGTAAATCACAAGTATGGTCAAAAGTAATCACAAGTCCAGTCACACGTAAATGACAAGTCCAGTCACACGTAAATGACAAGACCAGTCACAAGTCCAGTGTCAAGAAACTCACAAGTCCAGTCACAAGTAAATCACAAGACCTGTCACAAGTAGCTCACAATTCCAGTCACAAATAAATCACAAGTCCAGTCACAAGTTTACTCACCAATCCAGTCATGAGTAAATCACAAATCCAGTCACAAGTCCAGTCACAAGTCCAGTCACAAGTCCAGTCACAAGTCCAGTCACAAGTCCAGTCACAAGTCCAGTCACAAATCCAGTCACAAATCCAGTCACAAATCCAGTCACAAATCCAGTCACAAGTCCAGTCACAAGTCCAGTCACAAGTCCAGTCACAAGTCCAGTCACAACATCAAAAATATAAATGCCATATGTGTAATGATGTCTTCTTCGCTGGCTTCATGCTGGGAACAGTTTCAAAATTGGTCATGGTTTATCTTTATGCCATAATTGCATGTTTGTGTGTGAACCAATGAAAGTTTCGGTTTTTGGACTGGTTCCCAGCCCCTTATTTCCAAGTGAAAATATAATGCAAGGAACAGGAACCAACCTGCTTCGCTCTCATTTCTTTATCAAAACCTAGACTTCCCCTGTGTGTGCACATTAATATCCAGCTGTAAACCAATGAACAGTGCACGTGAACCATTGAAATAAATGTAACTTTCCGTCCCGTACCCCCATTGCTTGGCTACACTGCAATTTTCTCAAGTTGAAAGTTAACAACTTGAAATGTGTATACCGCCCTCAACCGTTGACACACAGAGCCAATAATGGATATTCTATGTCTACCTTCACAGGTTCAGTACATCTTCATCCACAAGGCTCTGATGGAGGAATACCTGTACGGACACACCGAGGTGGACGTGGGTAGCTTCCACATCTACAACCAGAAGCTGTGCTCCAAGAAATCCGACGCAGATGACGCGGGCGTCGACACTGAGTACAGGGTAGGGAAAAAATGTCATAAAATAACAATGGTACTACTGTTTCAATATTGTTGGTGTACGAGAAAATATTCACAAGGTTACTTGGGTGGGACTCAATCCCACTACCTTCTGCTTAATCAGTGCAGACGACTAAATTGGACTCTGGATTTGGCAATAACCCCTGCCCTCTTTGCAACAACACGTGCATCTGCCACCCCCAACCCCTGCCCCCTACCCGTCCACTCCCCACCCCACCACCCCCAACCCCCAACCCACCACCCACCACCCCCAACCCCCACCTTTCACCAATCCAAGAAGCTTTGAAAGCAAATGGACCTTTCTGCCCGTCAGTCAAACAGTCCGCAACAACAGGTGTATCAGCCAACCCCCAATCCCCGCCCCCTCCCCCCCACCCCCAACCAACCACCCCCAACCCCCACCTTGCACCAATCCAAGAAGCTTTGGAAGCAAATTGACCTTTCTACCCGTCAGTCAAAAGTCTGCATTGACGAATTAGCTCTTGCCTTTTGGTCAGGTGACCACCGTAGTTCAGTCAAACTTTACTAATAAACACTGTGAGAAACCTACACAAACCAAAAATGGGCAGGGCTCATGGTTGAAATCTGGAAGGATCTATTTCACGTCTTTCCTACAAATGTAGCTAAAAAAAATCCTTTATGAGTAGAAAAAAATTACAGAAATATTAATTGTAAGTGTGGGAGGAAAGCATTGGAGATGTTAAATACTTTGGGGATTTTTTTTCAGACTGTGGCCAGCCTGCCAGTAGACAACACAGATCAGAAGACAGGCAACATTGAGGCTAACAAGCATAAGAACCGAATCCGACAGGTCATCCCATGTAAGTCACAAATAACCGCTGAGCAGGAATGATTACTTGGCAAATTCACAGTTTAGCAGAAGTTAGGGAACCAGTCACTATCGTTATACCATTGTGTGGCGTTTTGGCTGGTTACCTGTCAGTGCTCAGCAAAACCTTGCCGTGCTTAAGCAGATCAGCATGCTTCTCTAGGAGCCGTATGACATTGGCCCCAGTACGTATCACTTGATGTGGCTAAATTCAGATTTTTGCCTTGCCAATAGTTCTGCCTTGTGTAAATTCCTGCACCTTAGATGCTCTGCAAAACTAGACTTATGCATTCATTGGGTGCCGAGGCCACGAATTTCATAAATGAAGAAAAAAGGTTGCTTAAATTTTTATCTAATCAGCAGCTGTCCTTACTACAAGGACGATAGTTGAACAGAGATTCTTTTGTTTTTTTCAGACGACCGTAACCGAGTCAAGTTGGAACGTCTGACCGGGCAGGAGCATTCCAACTACATCAATGCTTCCTTCATTGACGTAAGCACAAATCCTCAGTTTCATTTTTTAATCAATATTCTAGCCATTATTTAGATCAATTCTTAGAAATGTTTCAAAAAATAGGAATACATTGAACAGCACTCTGTAGGGGATTCCACTGTTGTAAAAGAAGTTTAAACATCTGGATCATCGTAGAAATGTGGGTCCACTTTTTTTCCTGTCCCTGTTACAGCTGAATTCTATGATTTTGTAATTCTGTATGTACTCCTTAGACCATTAGCACCTGTACTACACTGTATTACATTGTATTACATTGTGTTACATTGTATTAAATTGTATTACATTGTGTTACATTGTGTTACATTGTATTACATTGTACTACATTGTATTACATTGTACTACATTATACTACATTGTATTACATTGTACTTCATTGTATTACATTGTATTACATTGTACTACATTGTATTACATTGTACTACATTGTACTACATTGTATTACATTGTACTTCATTGTATTACATTGTACTACATTGTGTTTCATTGTATTACATTGTACTACATTGTATTACTATTAATTGTATTGCATTGTATTGCATTGTACTACATTGTATTAAATTGTATTACATTGTACTACATTGTACTACTTTGTATTACATTGTATTACATTGTGTTTCATTGTACTACGTTGTATTACATTGTATTACATTGTATTTCATTGCGATTATTCAGTGGTGAATCCATACAACCACAGAGAGCTTGGACGGTTTCAGGCACTACAGTGACCAATTGGATAATGCAGTTGTCCTGGATTGATTATGAATAGCAGGCTACCTATCCAACAAATAAAAAAAATGTTTGAAGTCATTCTGAATGATACTTGAATGGCAAATTACAAAGTTCAGAAGTATCAGGGACAGGAAACGGTCACACTTTGGACCCTAAATTTATAGAAGGACCCTTCTGTGCTCTCCAAGAACTTATCAGAAAAAAACTTCAAAGAAATCATAATTACTCGGGAATCGAACCCACAACTTTCTTACTGCTAGTGCAGATGTCTTATTCACTTGATCACTATAATTACTAATAGATAGAATCCCAGGCGTATAAGTTTCTGAGAAGAACCTCCCAAGTCCCCAAAGTAGTTTTTGAAAAAGTGTAGCTTTGTCCTATTCAGTATTTATCATGGATTTTTTTAAGTGTAATTTCTGTCCGTTTTTTTTTTGTTTCATCAGGGCTATGAGCACAAGAAGGCGTACATCGCAGCCCAAGGCCCCCTGCCTAACACCATGGGTGATTTCTGGCGGATGGCCTGGGAGAATCAGTGCTCTACCATCGTCATGCTGACTGACTGTGAGGAACGAGGACAGGTTAGCCCATTCTTTAGAAATCTTGTTGAGTATTTGAAGTTTATGCAGTGTTCATGAGAGTCTTAATAGTGCATGTGAACCCAGTCTTGTTCCCAACCTCTTCTTTTTTAAATGTCTAGCAAGAGGTAACCATCCCATCTCACTTTACCTTTCATTCAGCAAAGTAAGACAAGGTTTTGTCTCAACTTTAGAGATCATGATGTTAGGGGTTTTCTTTGGCATGGGTGGCACGGTGTGTAAAGCACCCACCTCTCACTGCTGTAGCCCGGGTTTTGATTCCCAACTCGGGTCATATATGAGTGTAATTGCTTGTTAATTTTCTTCTGTGCCACAAGGGATTTTCTTAGGGTTCTTTCGATCTCACTGTGTTCTGTGGTAAGACATGAGTTGCATGGCAGCTGCCTAAGGTGCCTTTACATGCCTTCACCACCCCACCACGTTGTAGCTGCATCCTTCGCAATTCAGCTTCTGCTGTGAGTATAAAGGCAATTAACGCCTCAAAATGTATTTATTTATGTATGTTTGGGTTTTTTTCCTTTGCTTTAAGAATGTTTGCACCCAGTACTGGCCTCCATCTGGTGAGTCTATGAACGCTGCTTTCCTGACAGTGTCTGTCAAGAATTCCAAGGAGGAAGAGGACTGTACTGTCAGAGACTTGGAGGTCTCTACTACAAAGGTCAGGGTTTTTTTTAGGCAGAGTTTTTGATGGTTTTAATACTCATTTCAACTTTCGGTATGATGTTCATAATGTTTAAAATGATTTTAAATGTTGACTTTTAGTTGTGACTTGAACAGTGTGACTTGAGACTTGACCAGAGTGACTTGAGACTTGACCGGAGTGACTTGAGACTTGGCGAGAGTGATGTGAGACTTGATCAGGGTGACGTGGGACTTGACCAGTGTGACCTGAGACTTGACGAGAGTGACTTGAGACTGACCAGAGTGGTGTGAGACTTGATCAGGGTGACTTGAGACTTGACCAGTGTGACCTGAGACTTGACCAGAGTGACTTGAGATTTGACCGGAGTAACTTGAGACTTGAACAGTGTGACCTGAGACTTAACCAGTGTGACCTGAGACTTGACCAGAGTGACTTGAGACTGACCAGAGTGATGTTAGACTTGACCAGAGTGACTTGAGACTTGACCAGTGTGACCTGAGACTTGATTAGAGTGACTTGAGACTTGAACAGTGTGACCTGAGACTTAACCAGTGTGACCTGAGACTTGACCAGAGTGACTTGAGACTGACCAGAGTGATGTTAGACTTGACTGGAGCGACTTGAGACTTGACCAGAGTGACTTGAGACTTGACCAGAGTGACTAGAGATTTGGCCAGAGTGACTTAAGACTTGACCAGAGTGACTTGAATCTTGACCATGAATGACCTGAGACTTCAGCAGATTTAGTTGACAATAACTTCTTCATAATTTATGTTCTTCTGCAGGGAACTGGTACCAAGCTGATCCGTCAGTTCCACTACCATGGCTGGCCAGAAGTCGGGGTTCCAGACAACTCAGCCTCCCTGGTTAAGGTTATTGGCCTGGCTCACGAACATCAGCAAGATATTGGACGATTCCCAATCCTTGTTCACTGCAGGTAAAAAAAAAAAAGGCTGTCTAGCCTACTTCACTATTGCATTAAGTAACTGCTTCTTTTTTGTGCTGGCACCAAGTTACACTCTAGTGCGTATCATAAAACAACATTTATAGTTAAAACAAATCGGAAGTTATGTAAGAAAGTAACCGCTTCATTTGACAGGCTTTTTCAGCGTTAAGTAACTTAAATATTTTAAGACATTCTTTTTTTTCTGCTGGCACCAGGTTACCGTCTGGTGCTTATCCTGTACTAACATTCATAGTTTACACAAATTGGAAGCTACATAAGAAAAGTAACGTGTTAAATTTAGTGGTGATTTTAGCATTTATACTGGTAGAAAAAAATACACTTTGTAATTTTTCGTGAGGCATAGACCAAGGTGTTTTCCTGCATGTAGGTTGTATTTAGTGTGATTTGTATTGTATTGTAATGTTTTTGTTTTAATTATGTTTTTCCATTTTGGAGTTTAGGGTGTTCACTCCCCAAACATTTTGTTTTAAAAAAGCTGATTTCAGCTTTTTTTTGTTTTGGACTTCAGCTTTTTTTCCCTCACTTGCTGTGTACAAAAGTACTGGAGATTTCCAAAGTTCAGCTTTTTTACACCCTTTTCGGCTGTTTTAAGCTAGTTTTATCAGTGGTCACTCACACCCCTGTATGATGTTCATTCAGTTATCCCATTTTTTCGGTCATTTTTGTTTTTTGTGGTTTTATTTTTTATTTTATTTTTCTCCCTTAACGCAACCATCATGCTCAACCATCATGCTCAACCATCATATTTACATGGACAAATTTTCAGGAAGAGGGGAACTTATAAATAAGGCAATTTTACGTTGTAACACTGTAGTGTTCTATTGATGTATATTCTCAGACAACCAGTTGTGTAAGATGGAATATCAAACAATCCGGAGTTACGTTTCGCAACTTGCAACATTGCATCCGAAACCGTCGGACTTCATCAGGCAACTGATGATGGTGGGTTGGTCATGTGATAGATGGCTAGGAATGCCTTGAATAGACCGGTCCCATACATGAGATAACTTGGAACATCCAGAATATACCAACACAGGAGACTCAGCTCCAACGAGGCAAAGAACTCGGCAGGGTTTTTACACGTAAACAGAAAAATCTGGCCATAGTTTCGGTAGTGAGAACGTTGAGATCCTAAACAAGATGAACACTGGCATAAAATTGGCACCAGGGAAGCCATCTGGGAAAGCATAGAAAGGCCATCCCTCAACAAGAAGGGCGGGCTACGTTTGAACTTATCTCATACATGGTACCGGGCCATTCAAGGCATTCCGAACCGCCTATCACGTGACCTGCCCACCAGGTCATCAGTTGCCTGACAATGTTCGATCGGTGTCGGTCGCAACGTCGCAAGTTGCAAAATGTAAATTCAGCAAAAGATTCATTTGATATTTCACTTTATTATTATTATTATTCTGGTTTATTCAAATAAAAACACAAGGTAGGCAGCCACAAAAGAGTCGCTGATATAACCACGTTTACACTTTACAGGAATTAAAAATTGTTAAATAGCAGTTAAAAGGAGTAGAAGCATAAAATTACAACAAAGTATAGGATCATGTATACAGCACAAAACAGCACAATATTAAAAAAAAAAAAAGATATATAAACTTTTTTAAAAAATTCAAATTTGAAGACAGATCATTCAGGGAAGTTGGTCTAATAAGAAGTACTCACTTGCACCTACATAGTAAACAATTAAGAATTACAAAAGTTTAGTGCTGTAATCACCAATTTCTTTTTATTTCACTTGGGATGTCACTTTTCACTTGGGTTGACAAGTAAAAGTGATTGGTCAATACAGTCTTGAATCCTTTGGAATCCATGAAAAAAGGCATTGTTGGATTCTGATGGGTTTCAAATGGTTGAGGTTGATTTAAACTCTGTCTGTGTCTTTTGCTGACAGTGCGGGATCCGGACGTACCGGTGTCTTCATCACGCTCAGCTACTTGCTCCAGAGGGCCAAGGCCGAAGGTATCGTCGACGTCTTCCAGGCGGTGCGTACGCTCAGGCAACAGCGCCCTCACATGGTACAGGATGTGGTAAGTCGCACCCCTCATAGTTGCAGATTCGGCCGTAAGCCCCACCCACCTTCAGTCTGTGTACATTTCTCACAGTGCTCGGTGGCCGAGTTTAAAGGGGGTACTATGGTCACCTGACCAAAAGACGCGATCTAATTGGTCAATGCATACTGTTTGATCAACAGGTAGCAAGGGTCCATTCAAATGTGACGTAATGCATTGAGCATTAATAATCTGCTAGTCATTAAAATGTTTAATGTTATTACCCCCGACCATCAGGCGTATGCATTTTATCATTGTAATTGTAATTGGCTCAGCACCTTCAATAAACTCATGTTTACAAGGAACTTGGGGATTCTGATGTCTGAAAGGATTTCGAGTGCGAGTCATTGACTTATGTAAATCAAATACTGTAAAGTGTCTTTCTTAAGGACACAATGATTTTTACCAAAGTTACTTAATACTCCGCCAGTAAAAATAACCGCCATCTAAGTTCAGTGTTTTGATTTTGGCTGGTTCCCTCAACAGGCGCAGTACCAGTTCTGCTACCGTGCTATGATGGAGTATCTGGACTCATTCGACCACTACGCAAACTTCAAGTAAACGGCGCCCCCTTCCCCCACCATGGTGAGCAGAATAGGTGCAACCTTGTGCTCATCCCTGTCATTACAGTACTAGTGTATACACAAGTTGGACAGATAGTAACCCTGGGGACAAAGTTGACGTGATTTCTTTTTTACCTGTGTAAGTTAACGTCGAAACTGATTTTGGTTGAGAAGTGTCTTTTATGTTCCAAGATCAATTTTTATATTTACAAGCTTTTTTTTAATGTATTGTGTGGATGGAACATAAGTTGTTAATCAGATGCTGATAATAATAAAATGATAATAAAATGGTACTTAAGCTTAAAATTGATAGCTGCAACAGATATATATGCAAGTGATTACAATTAGTGGATTTTGTTGTTATTTTTTTTTTAATTTTTGACTCTGTTGTAATAATTATGCCGTTGCGGAAAGAATATGGATTGATCAAAAGATGAAGACTATTTTGGCAGGATATGACAGAATGTGAACTCTGTACCACCGGTTCCATCGTACACAGTTTTTGTTGATTAATATAAGTTTCAAAGGGTTTTTGGAAAGATTTTACGATTTTTACGATTTCTTCCCACCATTTTGAAATATGTTTGTGAACCCAGATATGCAGATATCACAACTGTTTCTGCTTTTTTTTTTTAATACTGAAATTTGCGTGGATTTGTTTTATGCTATTTGGATTGAGGTACAAAGTACACAGAATTTGGTGCAACGCAGTCACCACCGATTTTGATGTTTTGACATTCGTATTTGTTATTTTTGCATTATCCAGAAAAAACATAGCTTTTTTTATGATTTGTCACTGATCGTGAGGAATGTGCATCGACATGGTTTGTTTTGAGTTGCGATATTACAATCAACATTGAAATACTTTCAGAGATCGCTATACAGTAAGTCAACGTCAAGTATCAACATACAGATATGTGAACAATTATCAACATATCCTTCATGATTTGGAATTGGCAAAAAAAAATGCAAAATATGCGATGAATTATCAAATTTATGAACTGAAAAATTAAAGGTGTATTGTCATATCAGGAGGGGATTCATTTATTGAAAATATTGTTATATCTTGATGAGAATCAAAACGAGCATTTTTGTACAATTTTTACTTGATATTGGTACATATTGTTAGAGTGAAACTGCAAATTTATTAGGGAGAGGTTTTGAAAATTTGGGTACAAATATGTATAAATGGAGAAATATGGCGAAAAGAACAGACATCACAGATTCTGTTTAAGAAATTTGCAATTTTGCAAATCTATGACTTTTTGTGGCAACTTTGAAGTACCCAGATTTTTCCCTTGTAAATTCTGTACATAGCGCTGCTAATGAAACTGCATAGTCAGCTCGCAAGCTATTTTTTAAGCTCGTAAACTCAACATTTTGTAATATTTCCCGTCAATTCATCTTTTGTAATCGGATTGTATCATATAGTGGAATATATATATTTTTGTGGTTTATATACTTTTATAATGTCAATTGTTTTTACATAATTATTAGGTGGTGAGATAGAATGGATGCTGTAGAAATAATGTGTAAATTTGGGTAAATATCGAACAGTTTACCATTTAAATTGTGAACCATCCCCAACTTTTTTTTGTCTGCTTTAAAAAAAGCAAAGTGGAATAAGACTAGTCATAGGCAAAACTTAAAAAAAAAAATAAATAAATAAAAGTTAATGGGTTACCCAAAACTTGTTTTCCATATTTCGAAGATTTGATAAAATTCAGTCAGGTTCATGGGTTGCCATGGAAACAAGGATAAACCCCGCAGAAGAAAAGGCATTTCATTTTTAATGATAGGGTTCCAGCTTTCGTCTTTTGACCATATGCCACGCCCCTTTTCTCCCCCAACTGATATTTGAATGGAAAATTTACAGTAATGGAAAATTTAAAGTACTATGCATGATGATTTTTTTGTAATCAGTTTAACAATGACCTGATAACAATGCAATCAGGTGACAAAGTCTTTCAACAGTTCTCTTTTTTTAATATTTTAAATGACAGGATTGTAAGTACTTGATAATTGATATCTTGTTGAACAGCTTTATAGACTTTTATTTTCTTCTGTTACTCGGATTTAGTACCATAGCCTCAATATTTGTCCGTTACTATTTTTCCCGGCTAAGTTAAAACGTTTATTATTCGAATTCACTGTTTCTAATATTCAAAGGCGTTCACCAACATCGATTTAGTGCACTTCCAATGTTTAATTTCGTCTTTTGTCAGACAATTTCAAATTCAGTTCAAGCAAATTCAGACAATGAGCACACGTTTTCGTCCCGGAGTATTCGATTTCACCTCGTCTACGCCAAACCTTGTTATTCAGAAATCAAATTCGTCTAATTGAATTATATAATACGGATTCCATCTCTGAATGCTGCCATTCGGCAATAACTTAGACGAATTTGATCTGCAATGACGAATATTCTCGACCCGGTGACTAAAAGTGGGTTACCAAACTTTGAGATTGAATGGCAAATGACTAAATTGGTTTTGTTAAAAGCGTGTGAAATTTCTCTCGGGCGAAATTGAATTTTAGAGTTGGTGAATTTGAATGAAAAATGTTTTAAAATGGCCGGGAAAACCTACACTTGTAATGTTGATGTTCTTCGTTAGGTCACATCAATTTTTGTACAGCCTTTAGGCTTTGCTGAAATTACGTAGTTTCGATGTCTTGAGGTATATGTTAGTAATAATTTGTCTCAATTTCTTCAGCTGGTCTTGGATTCTCGATTGCTTTTGTGGTGAACACGTTATCCAGGAAAATGTGTGCATAGTTTCATCATTCCATAGTAATTGGGTTAAATCTGAGAGAAATTGCAGATTTTTTTATATAAACAATTATCCAGAAATTCATACGGGACGCTGTATTTTTAAAGTGGCATATATTATATTTATACTCAGTGTATGCGTAAAGTTATAGAATTATATTTTTATTATGTGTTTTCTATCTAAAAATGCTAGCACGATTATTGATATTAAATGATGTAGAAATTATAAGTGATGTTTTTGGGGGTGGAGTTTAATCTTTGGAGGCGGGATAGGCTAATGAATTGAAATCAATCTATTGGCTAAAGATAACGAGATTTTTCTTTTTGGTTTCAGAATTCTCCTGCCCCATTTAGACTCCCCCTCCAATTCTCCATCCTTTTAATTGATTAGAACAGTTTTAGGAACAGACTATTTTTCTATTATAAGTATTTCTTGCGTCAAAATGGAGCTCGGGACAAGTCGTGGAGCTGCCCTGCACGCAGTCCTAATGGACTTATAGAAAATACTTTTGTTCAAAACTTTCAAAATTTGAATCAGTTTTTCTTAAGATGTATTACTTGATGGTGTATATTTTTCTTAGCTAGACAGCATACAAATTTAATTTGAATCCAAGTTCAACTTATTCTTGCGGAGATATTTTGTAGTTTTTAAGGGTTTTAAACCAGAATATCATCAGTTACAAACAAGTAATGGTTTAATTCAAACAGCGTATATACTGCAGTGCGGTTTGAATTGCTTCTCAGTACCCAGAATGTAGCAACTCAGCAGTTGACATTCACAGCATACGTCACAGTCATGTGACCGGACACGCGTGGGCGTCATTTGGAATTATATTAAAAGAAACAAAATTGCAGCAGCTGCTCAAATTACCCGCAAATTCAGGCGCACAATTTTCCATAATGGCATCACTAATTTGAATTAGTACTTCATTTTGTATTTCTTTGTTTTCATTTGTTTTCAAACGTGGAATGTGTTTTCTACTTTTTAATTGTTAGGAGTGATTATAGTGCCTGCATGCTTTAATGTTTTAAAACGTTGCCTTCTTTTGGTACTCTCCTAAGTTTATCAGTGAAATATATTCTGACAGTTTAACCTCTATCTAGTACTGGTCGAATAGTCTGAGGCGGTTCGCCTACAGATTTATTCCTTTTTTAATTAAAGTCTTTTGTAATAGCTTAAGGATGATCTGTACATTTTGGAATTATTTTTGTTGATTGTCAATTTTCTTCTTTTTAAACAAGTAAAGTTTTCTGCGTACTTATACGTGCATATGTACACTTTTTTTAAAAAGGCGGGTAAAACACTGTTTTTGCCCAATAAACATTGGTATTGAGTTCATAACTTGGGTAAAAAAAAATGGCCAACTGCATTTGGACAAAAGAGTCGGCCCAACTTTATTACAGTACATTGTCGCACTTATTGCATAGTTCAGTTGGTGTCAGCATTGTAAATGTTTTTGTTTGTTTTTTTGGTGGGTTTTTTTTTTGTCATTGTAATTTTTCTGTTTTTCCCAATAATTATGCCATATAAATAAAGCTGCTTAGCATTTGCAAAACCAGTGGCCGGCGATTCCGATTTCTTTTGACTTCATGATTATTATTATGATAATCAATGTTTTGGGTTTTCGAGAAAAAAATCATATTATTGACATGACAAAGGTTTTTCTAAATGATACTACAATTATTGGTTCAGTGCAAAGAAACCCTCCAAAATGTCACACACCCCACCCTCAAAAAACTTTTAAAAAAATTAAAAGAGATATATAAATAATACAAAAATTGAAATACTGAAGCTCGTTTTTTCCATGATATAATAAACGATATAAGACTATTCCTCCATTGACTAACCAATCATTATCGATTCTCCAATCTCTCCAACCAACCCGTCTAGACAGTCACGAAAAAAAAAATGCTAAAAATAAATTTCCCTGAATTGCGTGTTAATTTAGGGGTACAAATTAAATTGTATTATTATATATGTACATGTAAATTACGTTTTACAAACACAGCTGTGCAGTTTACTGAAGTTATACGGACATAAATAAATACGGGTAACACGACATTACATTGCAGTGGCTGTAGCAGCGGAAATTTCCCGTTGAAGGTCGGGTCAACAAACTTTGCGTGTGATTCATAATATGGCGCGCAGTGGCGCTGATGCCCCCTGGGGCGGGAACTAAGGAGAACTCGTGACATCCTTGTCACGTGCCCTTATCCCCGGCATGGCCATGGTCGAGGGAAAAGAAGATATTGTGCACATATCCAGCCTACAAGCATGGAGGAATAAGAACACATTCCTCCATGCTACAAGTAAGCCCAATGAAAGTGGGCATTTTAACATATGATGATGATCAGTACAATTATTTGCTCCATATTTTGCTGTTTATACAGTTCCATTGCCTAGGCCCAATTTCTGACAATTAGCGGCGTGTTTTGGCAAGAAAACTCTACTTGTAAGCATGGAGGAAGGAATGGAAGGGCTAGAATTCACATAGAGCCTCATTGCTCTATATGATTTCACAATATAATAGCAGAAAACAAGAGGATATTGTTTGCAATTTACAATAATATGGCCATTATTTCTTCATTGTGATGTTTTTTTAATGCCTATATTAAAATTATGTATAATATCTCTCCATGATGCAATTATGGTATCGACGTCTGTGTGTTTGTATAAGCCCGCACACTTTTCAGCTTTTTCCAGACTCGTGTTTCAAATAAAGAACCGTGTTCACAGGAGAAACAAAGACCATGCGAATTGCTCAAATATTGTTAGTTTTTTTTCACAGTTGCACGTACACGTGTCTTTTTTCAGTTGGAGAAAAAGAAAGGCGTAAAAATTTTACGAGATACGATGTGTAGTTTTCGGCTGGCGGCAGGGTCGACAAACTTTCCCCGTTGTAAATACCACGAATGCGAAAGTTTGTTGCCCTCTCCAGCCTAAGACATGCCTCCCATAATAAACCAATCAGAACGCTTGTTTCTCACCACTGTCATTAATATTCTGACGTCAAACGCGGTGATCAGATTTTTCTCTAGACCGTGTAGTTCATGTAAGATTTTATCGTGGTATTTCATATTTTAAACAACTTGATTTGTTGTCTTTATTTTTGTTATATGATAAGTTTGACACAACGTTTACATCCAGGAACAATTGTGTGACAGGTGAGGGATTCGGTAAAGAAATCGTAAAATCATCAACTATGTGCAAAGAATTAACCATTTACGCGCGTCTGGCTGGATCGATAAGGCAACAAGAATACAAGCTTTTGTGCATGCCGCGCCACGCAAGCGAGCACGTAGTAAATAAATGCAATTGCTGCATGCACAACATAACACGCGACCAATGTAGGCCAGAAAGGCCACGTTCCAAACTGCACATATTGATGAAGTGGGAGCACACTCAATTCTCGTATTTGCTGATAGATTGATAGTAAACATTCAGCCCACGAACGTCTGACGGTCAAGAGAAAACACTGATCTGGAAGTTGATGCCATAAATTCAGTCTTTACGTCAGTAAACTTTGGTTCTGTCGACGGTTTTTGGAGAGTTGTATCGCGGGAGTACGGACTCGGAGTTGTTGGTAGAATTAGAGAAAGAGAATTGTGCTGACTCAACTTCACATGTTCACTAACTTGTTTCAGGCGGAAATTCCACCAAACGATCCCGAGAAGGGCAGCGACAGATTTGTTGTATCTTCGGTGAATTGCCACATTGTCCATGTTGTCGGTAATTTCACTGTCATCAGGCTTGGAACCTTGAACTTTGAAGTTGAGTTTTCAAGGCAAGCCAGTTTCATTTTCAAGGCGGAAACTCCAGATGTTCGGAACGTGGGATATTTTACGACCACGCCGTTGCTGGGTTGTAAACGCAGCCGGCCGTGAATGAACTAGAGGCGAACAGCTATATGGAAATTGACCGGGCTACCAGGAGGAGCTGCCTTCACTGATGTCTTGCCTAAACTGCAGAACAATGCAGGTGATATTTCTCAAGATCCTGAGTTCCTCCGCGGCCATTGTGGCCACCTTCATGACACTGAGTACATTACTTATGATGAACCTCTTAAAAAGTAATCCGCATCATGTCAGCGAGTACGGCAGCAGTTTCAGAAATGGCCGTTACTCATCAAGTTCTTCTAGCAGGCAGATCATGACAGTCCCCTATGTTGAGGAAAACACGTTGAGTGCCTTCGATTCCTTGACAGTGACGGTTTGGAATCCTCGCGATTACCGGGACATCTTTGTGCCCTCCCCTGCTTGCAAGCCGAACTTGCCTCTTATGATTTTGGTCACATCCGCCCCAGAGCACTACGAAAGACGGAAGGCGATCAGGGAGACCTGGGCTCGGGATTGGTTGGACCCCAACAGCACGGAATGGAGGACGATTTTCCTGATTGGAAGGACTCCAAACAACCCATCGCTCAAAGAGTCTCTTAAAAAAGAAAGTGCCGTGCACGGCGACATCTTGATGGGAAATTATCTCGACACCTACAGGAACCTGACGTTAAAAGTCCAGCACGGAATGAGTTGGGCCCTTGAAACTTGCCGGCCACAGTTCTTGCTCAAAACGGACGACGACTGTTTCGTCAACTCCAAGATTCTAACAAACTTCCTGAAGACCAACAACCAACAGCGGACAAAACTGTACGCTGGATTCTCCATCAGGAACCTGGAAGTTGTCCGGGATCCAAAGAGTCGTTGGTATGTTTCTCAGGAGACGTACCGGCCGTCGCGGTACCAACACTATGCCAGTGGGACCGGTTACATCCTGTCACTGGACGTTCTGGAAGCTATGGTCAGTGCTGCCCAGTACGTCCAGCCATTCGCAGCTGAAGATGCCTACACTGGCTTACTGGCAAGCTACACTGACACGCCACTCTTAGACTCGGCACGCTTTGCTCTCAACAATGTCAACTGGCGGCTCTGCAACTACCTGTTTCTCCTGGTCGTGCACGGCGTTACCCCTGACCAGCAAATTCTTGGTTTGCGCAATTCCATTGAATCCCATGACAAGTGCCACGGAGAGTCTGAGGCAACAGATTGGGAATAAAATCCAATTTAACATCAACAGAATCAATCTTCCGAGCGCAAGTAAACAGTACACCCTGGAAAATTAATTTATTGTAATTATATTGAGGCCGCTATACTCCATTGAAATTCTCATTATTACAACATTTTGCCGTTCTCACAAAATATTTTAGAAAATGATCATTTGATTATTAAAATTCAAAAAACTTCCTGTAGACATGTCTTTATCAAAGACTTTTGACGTGGTTTATTTATTGAATTCATCCTATATTAATTGGAAATTGCTGTACAGAAAAATGCTTCAATTTCTCAGAATACGTATGATTTTTGTTGAAATATTTCTTGCGATTTGTCCAGCAAGGTAATCTGAATAGGACCTTCAAAAATATGGTGCACAGATTTCAATTCAATTTACCAATGCAAAGTGAATTCATAGAAAGTACAATAATGTAATGATAAAGTAATAGAAAAAGAAGAAATTAACACAATTTTCAAACAAATAATTAGATGCAAATTAATTAAATTAAGGTAAATAAATAGGAAAAATGAAAAAAGAAAGAGTAATAACGTGAAGGAGAGTACGAGGCTCTTATCGCATAAGCCAAGAATGTAGATGGAACATATTATTATACTCCTGATCATTGCAAAATTAGTTTGGCCAATTAATGGGAAAAATATAATAGTAAAAATTCACTCAATCTGTCTCAAACTACATGTATGGCCAAAAAAATGTAGAGTGAAATTCAAGGCTGGTTCATACGTTACACAAATATGAATGCGAATTTTGTGACATCAACGATTGAAGTTTCGTCGCGACATTTGCTGTTTCCCTAACAAATTCGCTTTGTTGGAATTCGTGTGAGGTATCAACCAGCCTTCATTCAATCAAAAAAAGGGTGAATTTTATTGAGTTTCAACTGAATTGATTCCTTTTCTAAGTATTTCAATCAAGAATTTGAAATTTCATTATCCCCTTCAGGAGTACAGTTGTTTTCATCTTAGAATAAAAACTAGCAGTAATAACATAATCTTAGTTATCTTGGGTGTACTGTTATTTAAGTGCATGCTGATGTGAATATTTTCTCTCCAGAGGTTTTTTTGTTTTACTTGCCTCCTATCAATGCAACTTATGCCAAGTCAATGCAAAATTCATAAGGTTCACAAGAGTCGTATTTTTGGACAAACAATTTCTGGTTTGCGTATATGCTGCGTATTAGATATCAGAGGATGTCTTTGTTTATATTAAAATTTGTAACAAAATTCTTATATTATCAAAAAGGTTTGTTTTGGTTTTTTTTTAGTTGCAATCTTAGTCTTACCCAACCTGTGACTTTATCATTTCCTACTTTATCATTTCCTAACCCTAGCGCCCTTGAACAAAGATATTCACAAAAGGGGGAACCACCAACATAGGGCTGGATGGCTCAGTTGGTAGAGCACCGTAACGGCAGTCCGGAGGTCTGAGTTTCAAACCCCACTCCAGTCAATTTCTTTGTTCAACTTTTAAAAATTTTAATCATTAGATTGTGGTTTATTTGAAATTGCCTAAATTTGGGTTTTTTTTCTGTAAAAAAAGTAATCTTCCATTTTAAAGTTCAACTTGGTTTTATTCCATGTTCATTCACTTGTCCAAGTTACATGAACAAGGGTTTGTTAGAAACAGATTTGTTTTAAATTACTGATTTCTCACTCTCCTGTGCAGCTTGGCCAGTGCTTCCATTCAAGGCACTTCAGTATTTCAAAAATCTGAAATAACTTGTAATGCTGCGCAAAGTCACAAGATACGATAAAGTTTCAGGCGTGATCTTTAACCAAGAGTTTTTGTTGAAACTTAAAAAATAATTAATTAAATAAATAAATGAATCTTTAATTGCTTTTGGAAAATGTACCAGGAAATCTGTCACATCATCTGGAGACTAAGGAAATTTTTTTTCTAAGTTCCTTAAATTTTGAAATTGAAGCGCAGTTTATTTCATAGAAAAACATTCATGAAATGTTCCAAAATTTATTGATCTGTCAACGCTGTTAAGTGTTAAAGATGTTTTTATTATTGGATTTCATTACATATTCTTCATCTAGGCTTTCTGACTTGTTTGATGCATGTGCCTGTTGACATTAATGTTAACATTCGGAACAGACAGGGTGTATGTACTAGGCTTGGGCGAATCCATGCCAATATCAAATACAATCGACTCCAACTTCGGAATCAGAATCGCGATTCCACTTTTTTGAGGAATCAATTCTCTGATGTAGCCGATTCCACTCATTCCAGTACCCCAAAATGAACAATGTGTTTTCAGAAAGTTGAAAATTTCAAATATAGACGGGGGAAAAACGGAACTTTTCCTTGAAATAGACAAATTGAACATTCGTGAGGAAGAAAAAAATTAACAAGTTGAAAAGCCCGATGACAACTACATGTATAAGTTTATTCCAGTGTTCAAAGTAATGTGTTTACAAGCACAAAAAATGCAATAATAGTGCACATATTGTGTGCTTTATGTATGTACAATTCTGTGCCCTAACTACTGTGGATTCTCTTAAAAGCAGCCAATATTAGTTCTGAGCAGAAAATATTTTCTTTATAGAATTAATTAAAGAAAATAGCCAAGAAGCTAGTGAGTTTTACCGAAGTTACATTGTTGCACAATATTGCACCCACAAAAATGTGTATTTGTTTAGAAAAGACATATCATTGAATGTATTAAATGTACATGTCAACTTCCAGTTTGAAAAACTAATATGTACATTTGTACATGTATGTATATGAAGACAATAGATCTCATTTTTTTTTTTTTTTTTAAATTCTCCGTTAATTAACTTATCGTGTACAGTAGCATTTACTGCGCTATCTTTGCATTTTCCCACATGCGAGGAAGTTCAAATGTAAAAGGACTTAAAATGTAATACATGTAACAATGTGATCCTGATATTATTTATGTGCATTATTATAAACGAACATCGCATAAGAAGTCCCTCTTTTAATATGTCATTATTGGGAAACAAGGTATGCTTTTCATGTAAAGTGTAAATGTACCAAACTATAAATAAATTGCGGTGGCATATTGTTTGATTTTGAAAGAAAGAAACATGTCTGTGTTTTATATTTTGTTCATGGCAATTGACTCTCATAGTTTGAGGAGCGGTGATGACGACATTGTCAGCTGCAGATTTGTGGCAGGAATTTTCACGAAGAATTGGTCCTTGCTTTATGATGTAAGCATGTTGCTAACTCGCTATAGGCATTGCACGGTATAGAAACTCCAATGGTTTTATTTGCAAGTTAGCTCCTGAAGAAAACTGCACGGTTGCCCTTTTCACACTGTTTTACCACAAGCCACTGTGGTTGTCTTATCTGTTTGCTTCATGCAAACAAAACCTTCCTCTTTTGTTGTAGAACCATTCTGTTATCTGTGGTATTACAATGCCAAGTAAACACGTGAAGATTACATTCACACAAGTGGATCACGCCAGAACTTACGATGGGGAAAAATACACGGTTTTTTTTTGGGGGGGGGGGGGGGGGGTTCTGCGGATTTCTAGTTCTGTTTAGTCTTGAGTTTTACCTGTTATCCACGGAGCAAGTCTCCTGCCGTATTACGTAGACAAAGTTCTGTTAAGGAGAACACGAAAAAGTGGGGATTCGTAATTTGTCAGTGAAATTGTATATTAAGAATGCACGCTTGCGAGTGTATTCTCTGACTTGCACCATTACGTCCAAGCATGGAGCTATAAAACAAAGCTCCATGGTCCAAGTTACAGTTGTCAGGAAGTATTGAGTTGGGTCGAGATGTGAAGGCGCGGCACGCTTTTTTTCTAGCTTGGTTATACTCGCCTCCGGTTACCCTATACCTACCCTATTTTGACAACCCTTAGTCTCCATACTAATATATACCATATTTTTGTTTGGGGGGGGGGGATGAGGGGAAAAAACCCGAAAACCGTCAAGTATACATTTTACCCTTGACTGCACGCAGACACCTCCTTAATGATCGTACACCAAAACAAATTGCCAAAAATAAATCCCTTCCGACCTACCCTTATTCCAAATGCCATGTAATCGGCAGCAGGGGGGGGGGGGGGGCTTTTTGGGCACTGATTTACATAAAGACGTTTGCCAGGATCTTAGGTATCAAACTCTAAACGCTAGCGCTAAGAATGTGAAACAAACAGTGGATTCGTAATATTATTGTATATAATAAGTTTAAGCGAGATGAAAAAAACGTGAATTCTTTAGTTGGCCAATGAAAAGGAAATTTGCATTCCGGTATATCCGATGTTTTGTGTATCACCGCCCCTTTACGTGAAACATGGATGTACATGTACACGTGTAATTTATATAGCACACAACGTGTCCACTGAATGAAGACGACAGGAAATACGTAAGCGATTGCGTTCTCCGCATCGTGTCCGATGTAAACAACTGGGGTTTTATTTTCGTCTTTTCTCGGGAACAGTAAGACATTAGGTTAGTTTCCTTTCAACTAGACCTTTAAAATAGTGGTAGCATCCAAAACGTGAAATTTCCGGGGATTTCCGGCCGTTAATGCCCCTTTAGCCTAAGGGAAGAACTATTTTGGCGGAAGAGTAGCATGAAACTTTCTGCACGTACAACAAGTCGAAAGCGACAGTCATCTTGGCGCTATTTCTGGCAGTGATTCAATGCAAGGCCATATTAATAAAATTGACACTGTAAAGTGCATTCAGCGCTTTTTCATCGAAAGAAAAACGAAAGAATTAATGCTGCACAATGTTACAGTTCCGGAGTTGTCTTTTTTTCATGCAATGGCGCATACAACACGACAGATGGGTTAACCATTGACGCCCACGCGGCCGAGCGTATGAAAAGTCGAACATCCTAGAAACGGCACGACCTTTCCGCTTTAACATGTCATAAACTCAGAATTGTATGCCGCTCACATCATGCGTATAGCTAACGGGATTTCGAAGTCTGGCATGAATCAATACTAAATCCTGTTGCAACAAAAGACCCAAGAAATTCGATGTATATTTTCAAGGATCCCAAAATGTCTGGTACAACAATTGAACAAAGCGGAGTTGTGCAAAGTGCGTTATCCGAGTTTCGCTTCATACATTATACATGTCTAGTGGAGTAGTGGTAAAACGCATAATAGGCCTTTATTGTCATAGTCTGAAATATTCTGATTTTCAAGTGGTCCGCGTATTCGGCTAAACCCTTCTATGGCTAAACATTTTGGTTGACACACCTGCAAGACGCTCAGTTTAATAATGAGGCAGCATTGAATGGTTGTGTGAACTCCTATCTTTGAGACGCAGTATGTGACCATACGTTGCTTTTGTAACCATTCCAGGGCCTTCTAGAAAAACCCTTGAATTGCAGGTGTATTTTGAGAATGAGGGTGAAAAGACCAAAAATAACGTCACGGTGAAATGTAATTGCTGTTTTTCATTTCAAGTAAAACACCTCAAAACAACATATTTTGATTAAAAGAACTGAATTTATTGCTTTGATCTGCGGTGACAAAAAACCTTATCTAATTGGACATTTTTGCCAAGGTGGAGAATTGGGGGGAATGATGAACCCCAAAATTAATTGATAAGGATTAACAATTGCTGTTAAATGTATTTATATTAATCACGACCGATGTAATTGCTGTTTTTCAGTTAAAATGAAGTGCATGCCACAATTCAATTAACTTTGAGTAAATGAAAGTAAAACTAAATATCAAAAAGTAGACAAAAGGGGATCAAAGTGATATCAAACAGATACATAGAACTGGTTCCAATTGCATTATGTTTGGTGCTACGTACGTCACTGCACTATTTTGTGACTATACTATAAAAATGCTGGTAACATTTGTTGCAAAACCGTAGCAATCGTGGATGGTACAACAAAGGGATTTTTGGAATGAAGCCAACTGATTATGAAAATGAAACGCAACGGACCGTACAGACGTGTCGCGAGTTTCGAGTGACAAGTGCAAGGCCGAGGTATAGAGGCCGCACCACGACTGGCAGATCCAGACTGCGACTATTTAGTCAGTCACGAGACTGCACTGCTGTCTCTGACGCATTTGTAAACTGAATCGTTTCCGTGTTTAATGTGAGATTTGGGGGGGGGGCTATTGATTCAAGCTTTAATTTTTTTTCGTTCCGTGTCCAATTTGAACTGTAACTAGGTTCATTTTAAAAAAAAAAAAAAAAAAAGATCGTAAAGTTAAAAACTACAAACCAACAAATTCCATTGAGTAGGCCTATAAACAAACAAAAACACTTCAAAAAGTTAAAACCTAGATATTAAAAAAAGACGCAAATATAAAAAAAAAAAGACGCGAAGTGAAATGCGGTATTTTTTGATAATGAGAGAAAAAAAGAATGCTGAATATTGTCCTTTGAAATGACTATCGACAAAAAATCCCGATGGGAATGCAAATCTCAACGTTATATATCCACAACTTGATATATAATAACATAACCGCAAAAAAGACAGCATATAGGCCATTATACACCATAACTTAAAACAAGTGTACATTTTTTGTGTTTACCCAATAAAAATAAACTATTAGGTTAAAGGAAGCGCCCGTTGTGCGAACTGTATAACTCCTGTCGTGTTTAAACTGGGGTTTTACTGTTCCTTATCTAGATTCAATTTGGAAAAGAAAGGAGCTGTGGTGCTTGGCCTAAATAAACGCTTGGACTATTCCCACAAGCCATGCCAGCCATCTGCCCTTAATTACAATTATTGCCCTCAGAGTGTACATGCAGATTGTTGTACTGTTTGCAATACAGAACCGACGTTTTTCGTCCCGGATCATTGCATAATTTGCATCTTTTGAAGAACTGATAAAGCGAACAACGAAAATATCGGTTGTTACGAGGTTAATGAAATGAATGAATTGAATAAATCACTTACATTAAACCCAATGTTTATTTTGGCATCGTATGTCTTTAAAAAAATATATATCGCGAGGGTGCTATTTAAACTTATCACCGGCGACTCCGCTTTTAAAATGAGAGGGCGCTATTTAAGATAACCGGTGACTCCGCGTAGTAAACGAGAGGGCGCTATTTAAGACGAACAGTGACGCCGGTGTGGTAAACGAGAGGGCGCTATTTAAGAAACCGGTGACTCCACGAGAGGGCGCTATTTAAGAACCGGACTCCGCGCAGTGACTCCGCGTCGCGAAATGAGAGGGCGCTATTTAAGATAACTGGTCACTCAGCGTCGTGACATGCGAGGGCGCTATTTAAGATTACCGTTATCAAAATGTGCTGTCGGGGTGTCCGCTATCGAGACAAAATTTCTCCCCTACACGGGACACTTATATAAGAAGGCATTCCATCCTGTTATTTACAATTATAGGACAATTATACATTTGTTTGTTGTTTCTGATTTGTATCGACCTTCCAAGCATATCAGTAATGGCCAAAATTGGTCGCCCGAACCATGAAATTACTAACTACCCAAGACCCCAAAAAAGTTTACCTAGTATTATCAAACTCTGGAATGAGCCTCACACTAACAGCGGAGATCGACGTGCAATCCTAATTAGCAGAGAGTTTTAAAAAAAAAATCTGAAAGTAGGTTTGAAAATGTTTGATAATTAGCTATTCACTTTAAGTTAACTAGTTACCTCAAGCAGGACTCATGGGGAAAAACTATTATTTTTAAATTTTTCAAAAAATAAGTCATTCGATTTGGAAGATTTAATTGGAGTTATCCAATGATAACACATTTATTTATGGCAATGTCACATTTTCTTTCAAATGTTTTTGAAGTTTTTCCTTTTCTTTTCTTATAATAAAAAAAATAGTAAAAAGGTACATGTTCTAATTTTTTTCAAGTTGTTGCAAACATCTTGCCCACATTTTGTCAGACCCAACTTTTTTAAACAGCGCCCCCATACTTCTTCAAAGGCGTCACTAAAATAGTCAGTACCCAGTGAACTGTTTCTGTCCATTAAAAATCTGAGGAAAGAGGTCTAGGATCAAGACAGCCGCAATGTTGACAAAAAATTACCAAAAAAGGCTCAGAGAGCCGGAAATGTTGCGAGTAGATGCTGCTGTTTCTTCAGTTGATCGACACAGGCATAACATTCCAAAAGTTGTCATTCGGAAAACAGAAGGTGAGTACTCGAAAGCAAGTTTTGATCAAGACAACATTTGTCTAAACGAGTGTTTTTTGAAGGTTCGCAAATCTGAATAATAATTTAATGCTGAAACTTTATTAAAGCGATTGTTGACCATAGTGAGTAGCCTACGCGTGTTTGCAGTTTGCTTTTTTAAACATTCACCCATGTACATTGTCATGATTGTTGGATCATGTTTACATGTAAGCCTCAATATCATTTCAAAGCATCTCAACAGTCAAAGAGGGTACAATTTACCAAGTAGAGCTTGAAATTTGACCTACAACAAGCAGAATTTTGTAATTTAAAATTCAATGGGAAATGTTCTTGACTTTGTTTTGTGTACATTTTGTCAGTCATGTTTGTGTAAATCGCAATCAGTGAGAGAGAGGTTAGGTCAAAAAAAGAGAGACATTTCTGCTTCCGGTTACCCGACCGACCCTATTTTTAGGCTACGACCCTAAACATTTTATAGACAAGTCAAAAAAAATATGATAAATGAATTTTAAAAAAAATTCCTGATGTCTTTTCTGTCTTCACAAAACACCTCTCAACAACCCTTTTGCGTCAAAAATGCATGTATTTATTATAACTAGTTTGCAATTCGATGCCACAGCTGACAATATGTTGAAACACGTGCATTAATGCTGCATGCAATGATGACTGGTTCCTGCCGCTCCGTGCACTGAAAGGGCTAGAGAAGGCATGATGGAAATGCGGTAACCAGTCTATGCATGGGCATGGCGCCACGGTGCACTGCAGTTGCCATGGTTGCAGGTCTGATTAGACATCGTAAAAAAAAAAACACCGATGGAAAAACAATATTTTTTCGCGTTCATTCCCAGAACTTGATCTCTCTTGTCTGTGTATGTATTTTCCGTGTTCATGAATTTATTTTGAGGTCGTACTACTCGTATTTGGAGTGATACGATGCAGGGCGTTTCCCCGAAATTTCCTACCGTAAAAACAGGTTCTGATTCACGGCTCTGTGGGACTTTTTTTGTAAAGGAAAGTAAGGTCCGAGAGCCATTCGATTGACAATTGATGAATGCGTACAATGTCCACTGCAGTCAAAAATAGCAACAGCATTATTAGGCTTAATAGAAATGAAAACATTACGTCACAAATACGCCCTCAATGTAGTTAGGAATTTAAAAGTCTGAAAATGGGGGACTCTCAATACTGTGAACGAGAGTCCCAAAACTGACATGACTGATAAGATACTGAAAACGTGCAATAAAAGAAATATAGATTGGCACATTAAACAACCAGTCCACCACCCTTTAGTACTGCAGCAATTAACTGTGTTAAAAGAAAAGTCTTTATTTCCACACATTTCCAAAGTCGTGCCACAAGACTACTGAAAGGGTCAATCTTTTCAAAAAGTTGGACATGTACCAGTCTAGGTAAAGGCTTCAAATTGAAATCACTTGGCTTCACTCTCAGGTGCAAAATGTTAAAGAAAAGTCTCATTTAACAATTGAATTGAGACCTCAAACTTGGCTGGTGAAATACTGAGGACCTTGTCTTTGCCTCATGACAATTTAGGAGAATTCTGTTGGTTAAAGAGTGAGTCAAGTTGGCCTGAAGTTTGTTTTGCATGTTTTTCTGCACTCAAAGTCCCAGTCTGAATAAGCACCCTATACTGAGGAACAGCGATTGATTTCCCTTAATTCAACTCACAAAATCTGACGAAATTTTAACTTCTCACTACATGTATACAAACTTTCACAGATTGTTATTTTTTATTTATGTCAAAATTAAAAATTCACAGCAGATTGCTACCTGTATGCAATTTATTTTTACAAAATCGTTTACTGACGAATCACAATTAGGCTTTGGATCAGTAATTACATATATATCCACAAATACTTACAATTTTAACTCTCATGGAAAGACTAAATAAATTGGAAAAATAATGTACATGATGTGTGTTGAATTGACTTATGCTCAGATAGAAAATTGAAAGTAGAAAAGACTTCCTGCACCATTTGTACAAAGTTCAATCGTGATCCAGCATCCTGCATTTTCAAGAGAAGTTGCCAAATGTGTGAACAGTTTTGTCCGAGTTTGTTGTCATTGAATGAGGCTGGTGTTTTTGTGACAGCTTTGCGTGTTGATTTTTTAAAAGTATATGTAATAATAATAATAAGATTTTTTTTGGGGGGGGGGGGGGCTAATCATCGTTACTCGCAGCTGAGAAGCTGAATTGCGAAGGATGCAGCTACAACGTGGTCAAGCCGCAGGCATGTAAAGGCGCCTTTGGCCATGTTGGCAGCCAGCCACATCGACCCACATATGACCACAGAGCACTGCCTGAGATCGCAAGTGTTTGTTTTTTCCGGAGGGAACCAACTCACAAATCTACCCACATGTATGGTCCTAGCTGGGAACCAGGGCCACAGTGGTACATTTTTTGTGAGTTTAAAAATTCATACTTAAATTTTAAAAACAGTAACCAGGAATGAGCTCAGCCATTCAAAATCCAATTATCTCCTGTGAAAAAAAAATATAAAATTACTAAAAAGAACAATAAAATATTTGTGTTCTGATCTTAAATTTGTCCGAAAACAATTTTTGGAGGTAAAATGTGGCGAAATCTCAAAGTCGGAAAGTCAAGGTCTTGATTTTATTTTGAATTGGGTGAAAAAGTTGGGGGAAAGTAATTTACCATTTGGATGATAAAGCACTTTTGCTTTAAAGCTGGACCAAAATAAACAACAGGGCTTGCAAAGTAAACGTGGGCTGTTGGGTTGCCCTGGACAACCAAACTATTTTGTCAGACACCCAGAAAGTCGTGGCGACCAGCCCGGATGTGTGCCCACTTTTTTGTTGCAATACTCACACATTTTTATTACACGTTCGTCCATTACAAATGCTTTAAACTGTCAAGTACTTGTACGAGTGAGACATACCTAAAGAGTCAAGCAGGGATTTCCCTCAGATTAAGGGTGTAACTATCAAAATGCTGTCACGCTGTGAAGTGATTTTTTTTCCATTTTCTCTGGTAGCCTCAAAACTTTTCCTGACTGCAGTGGGGTAGAAAAGTTGTGGGAATGGGATCGTAGGTCAAAATGTCAATTTTCGTTGGAGGTACACATGTGTACCTACACCATCATAATGTTAAATGCACTGGAGTTTAAAACTTCACGCCTGCCAACTCTCACGCATTGAGGGTGAGACTCGCGCATTTCAGGTTCATATCAAACTCTCACGCCCGCCCACACAGGATTTCTCACGCTAAAATAAATAAATAAATGACTCCAAACTCGAAAATGAGGTTTAGGCCTAAATGGTGATCTTTTGCTAAATATAATTGTTAAAAATTGTTAGAAATATCCTCAGATCGCACCACAGAATGCCTAGTATCCAAAATTTTCCAGGGCCCTTAAGCGGGCCCTGAACCCCACACCGTCAGGGCTTTGCGGTTCGCGTTTCACGCTTTGCGCTCACATTCATTCTGATCAAGCTCCATCGCCAAATTCTTACGCTCAGCGCTTACTCATAGTTGGCAATCCTAAAATGTGTGGAAAAGAAAATTGGTCCAAAACATTAGGTTATAATTTATGTGCATGATCAAGTAATAAAATGCCAGTTTCCTGCTTTGAGGGGGTTAGGCAGGCCATTGAATGGGGGTAACATACCCTCAATAGGTCATAAATAATTTGACCTTCAAGGCTTTACCCTGATAGGCACGCTGTGTATACATATGTACACAGTTCTACATGCTTTGAATACACTATGGTTACCTGTAGTAAATTTAATATAGGCTATGTACATCAACAGAGATAAATTGGGCTGAATTTCTTAGTTTATTTGTTGGGGGTAAAACTTAGGGGAAAATGTGGTCCAGATGTTACCGTCAAGAAATGTAAAGCCTGCCAACACCTCACTGATGCGGAAGGTGATTTTTATCAAAGCAAGTCGCGGTACTTGTTTTCCTGCGCATACTGTAAAGATTCGTTGCGCGGGTTGTAGGCGTCAGATTCGTTGATGGAATTCGTTAACATTTGCAACCTGGATGAAGCATTGAAGGTTGATGTGTGAAAGCTGGCCTAAAAGATGACAGCAAAGATGAATTATCCAGGCTGTTTGCAAGAAGTGGATAGCTAAACATAGAGCAAGAAACACACCTCTACAAATTTGTATGGATAGTTTACATGATCTACTGGTTCTCAATAAAAAAAAATTGAAAAGTTGATTCTGCTTGCACATATCTTGGCACTCATAAGAGCATGCAATTGCAAGTCACACCAGTTTGCAATCACGTTTTATGTGAACATTGTGTTTGAATTTACCCGATTATTATCTGCGTGATCAATTTAACGGAAGTTGAGGTCAACTTTTGTAAGTTTATTTATGAATTCGCAGTATTTTCAGTGTATTCATGTAAATTGTATTGCTTTCTTTTCTTTCGAATGCCCATTTATTGCCCTGGATTGGATTGGCCCAGTCAGGACACAAATAAATTATGCAAAAAATAGGACATTACACATGTTGTAGAGCATGTGCGTACACGGTGCCCGGATGTAAATATCACAGGGTTTAAGGTCAATTCAATTAAATTCAATTCAATTCAAGAAGTCATTTATTCCACACTTCTTTAGAGAATACATCCATAAATATTAAAAGAAAGACTGGTAAATAGCAAAATAACAAAATTAATAAATTTGTCTCAAAATTAATAAAAGTAAAATGCGCTTTGAAGAAATGATAAACTTATTTCAATATAAAATTGCACACTCTGTTGTACTGATGAGGAAGTACAATGTAGGTTACTTGTACAATCATCAATGCTGGTATTGAAACTGGATGATTTGTGGATTTTAATTTTTTTTTGGAAGATTTCGGTTATTTTGTGCATTTTAGCTTTGCACACCAACTTGATCCATGTGTGTTGATAGCTGTTGATGTTGGGTGAAAGTCAGTGACATAAAATAATTAGCGTTTATTTTCTTGTTGTTTGATGATGTATAAATTTCATTGTCATTTTCTTGCACCTTGTGAGAAATGGCATGTAATTTCTGAGAATGTGAATAATCTTTGTATATCAAAAAAAAAAAAAATTCTCATCCGACAAGCACTAGGCCTACAGCATGAAAAAACTTGCTGACACTACTGTATGCTGTGCAAAAAGGTCTCTGTATGTACACGTAGAGTACTGTATATACATGTACAATGTTAAAACTTTAATATAGATGATGCCCTCGCAGCATGGAGAGCGGATGTTAGTTTCCTGGGGCCCAGCACAGCACTAGGGCAGGGCAATGTTTTGGTAATACTGACCCCCAGGTCCACACAGTTCCAGATTACTGTGGGTGTGTATACATGCAAATTGGCCTCACTCTCCAAACACTTAAATGTCATTGTTTTTAATGGGACCCTGTGGCACACATCGTTAACTTCACATTTCATATGATGCAGCATTCAAATGGGACTGTAAGCGTTTCTGCCTAGGTATGAGTGTTCACTGAAGGTACTTTTCATTTTATCAGTTAAAATGTTTTATTCAGCAGCAATCTTGTAAATTCTAGGATAGTACATTTGTAGATCTTTCATTTGCCTGAAAACTCTTTTTTTTTATACATGTAAATAAAGGTTAGTTGCTCACACGTACCTTTTCTCCTGTATTTAGATAGGAGTTCATTGCAAGAATGGAACCATGTTAATATTTCTGTTCAGTACAGTTTATCAATTCCGGTTCTTATCAACAAAATTGGCTCACTGCATGTTCCATAGTTCAAGTACGTACACTTTCTGTGCGTACACTTATGTCTGTGTATTGCCCAATTGACCAATCATGCCCGATAAAGTGGGAACATGTTTCTGAATAGATTTGTCAGGTTTGAATGCATTTTGTTTGAGAAGCCGACAGAACTTGTGCACCAGTGGTTATTCCTGCAGATATGTGCTCAGTGGTAAAAGGGACGTACATTTAATACTGTTATCACTTTTTATTTGGCCAGAAAGATTACTTTCGGTTGTTTTTGTTTGTTCCCAGTGCAGATAATGTAACGAGGGAGCAACACTGAATGACATTGTGTCATTTAGATCTCTCACGATGGAAGTTGTTAACCCATGTTGGGGTTTACCAGACAAGTAGACACAATGTCCCAACGGGAAAGGCATGTGCCTCCAAACTCTATCCCCCTAAAGGTCAACACTAGTGGTTACCAGCCACAGCAGGGCACCAGTCCCTCCCGTGGCAACCCCAACTCTGGGCGGAGTGGACAGAACGGTAAGCGGGGTGTGGAATGGAATTGTGGTAACGTCGCCGACTCAGGAAGTCTGCCACTTAACGATGCGTCGAGTTCCTCTAGTCCACCTACGGACCACCATCCTGTAAGATGCATTCATTGCGACCACACGTCCACCAGCCCGGACCGGAACCACTCCTTCCCGAGTACCAGGTCCGACCTCGTCCGGCACGACACAGTGGGTTACACACACTGTGACGGACATGGTCAGGTATGGTGCGACGGAAGGAATCAGACACACTCTCGGACCCCTGCCGACTCCTTGCGACCTCTGAGCCCGGGGTCGTCGGCTGTGGATATGAAGACGTTGCTGGACAACGTAGCCCGAGTTGACGACTTTGACAGAGAAGAGATTGGCAGTGGCTTCTTCTCGACAGTCTATAAGGTGAGTGTGTTTTAATCCTTAAAGTCATCGTTTGCTTTTCATGCATTTTGTTCTGTTTGTTTCCAATAATAACACCACTCAAATTCGCAAAGAAGACTGTTCAAAGCTTATCCTGTTGAAGTTTCAGCTCAGTGGATATTACAGTTTTCGAGAACACGGTGAAAAGCCATGCACAACATTTTTATCACTGAACATGATTTTGTTCTCTCCCCCCCCCCCCCTCCTTTTTGAATTTCCATGGCTGAGCAATGTTTGATTTAAGTCATCCCCCCCCCCAGTTCTCGTCACAGAGTGATGTCGCTGGAGCTAAAAGAATTGCTATTTTACCCGTGACAGAAATTTTGAAATTTACTGCGCGATTCCGAAGAAAGTTGGGCAAAACTGTTTTTAAAATGGCAGGCGGAGGTGATTTATCGACTTAATAATTAGTGACCGAACAAAATCATACACAAACAACCATAAAATTGAACAGCTTCAGTACATACTAATACAATGTACGCCATGTTTCATGAAATCGATTGTTAGGCTATTGTGCAGCTACACTACGCAAAAAATTTGTTGCATGTAAGTCCTGGGCATTGCATATTGTACAACAAGTTTACGCACTGTTCGTGAAATTGGCTGCAGAGTTGTGCCTTTGTCAACATAAATAACAACAAGCTTCAATCCTCTTGACAATGTTTACATGTACATGTACCCGTAGGCCTATGTGTTGTAACAAGTTGTGTCCACATTTCTGAACAAAAATCAATCTAATCCTTTTAGGTGCATCCATGCACAGAATGCGATAGAATTGCTTGCCTATAACCCTGACACAGATTATGGGCTGTAGCCGTGACAAACGTCCCTGGACGTCACTCCGGTTGATTGTGTTGTTGACAATGATGTACGCGTAGGAACGTACCGGTAGGAAAAACTTTCCTGCCATGCATGTGCAATGCCAACGCATAGGTTCGATAAGTGTACCATTTATTATCACTACAAGTGCAAGGACCTTTTGCTGTGAAGCTCTTGTGCAGTGGTATACTGACAATCCAAAACACGGTTGATATTTGACACTAGCCGGAAATGTTTCCAAACTTTACTCAAATCAAACAATGATTTCGCAATATTTTTATTGTGAAATCAGGATGTGGTGTCTGCAGTTGCACTAGTATTACTTGACATGGGGCTTGGTTTCCGATTCAGGAAATTTATTAGAAAGTTGATGATTAAAAAAAATTCTCCACAAATGACGTTCAAAACCTTTTCTTTTTCATTAGGGCCTATTAAGTTACAAAGTAGTTTGTAAAGTTGGTTATGGGTATCTGATCTCGTAATCTGGAACCGGTACTTCCTGACATCAGCGGTCGGATACTCGGGTACCCGGCTCTGTTCACAAGTAAATGGCAGAGTCCAAAGCCCCTGTACAAGACCTGTAATTTGATTAACCCTAACTCCCTAGGCCTTTTTGCTAGGATGTAGCCTCAATCCTGCAAAATCCTCCAATTGGCCTCATGGAAAAATAGCATGTATACATGTAGCCTCAATCCTGCAAATTCCTCCAGTATTTCTTGAATATGGTTCGTGGAGGGGTGACCACTGCCTGAATCCTGCAAAATCCTCCGGCTATGACTGTCAATGGGTTGAGGCAGAGGCAGTGACATACTGGAGCAGTGCGGAGGATGTCAAGTATAATCAAGGGCTAAATTTATGCTAGGCTGAGCATAAACAACACAAGGTCCGGCCCAAGACCTTGACACAGTGCGTCCTCCGAAATCAGCAACCCACTTTTGACATGTAACCTTAATCCTGCAAATTCCTCCAATTTACAAAAAGAATTTTGGAGGATTCAGGGCGGTTAGGGTTAACCCTACCCGACCAGGCACAAAACCTGAAGAAAAAACCCAGCTTGCCCTAATATAGGAAAATGAGTCACCATACCCGACTTGATATAGGGTTATGAAATGAAGAGGGGGACATTTGGGTACACCTGTACACTGGACACCTGAAAAATTGTTGTCATTGTATAATGTACATGAGGTACCGGTACATGGAAGTCTGTATTAGTTTTGCTTAAACGAAAGAGAAATGATGTTTTGTTTTCTTGAAAGAAAATATTGTTATTTTTTTATCCCAAACGTTGTTGGTATGATGAGTGATTTCCATTGATCAGACATCATCTGATCAGTTTAAAGTTACATTCCCTGTGTTTATTTTCGAGCTTCATCCCGAAAATAAGATTTCCTTTCTGCATTGCTACTTTTCTAGCATTACGTTTGTGGCTTTTTTCAAGAGGGTTGCAGACATCAAAAAATGGAAAAAGATTTTTTTTTTTTTTCGTTCGTTTGGAATATATATTAAAAATGTATTATTAGAAAAAGAAATGAATTTGTTGAATAGCACAAGGATGGCAATGTTAATTTTTTACATACAGTGTTAGTTGAAAAAAATAAAGTTGTCTTACTGACTCCGCCCACAATTCCATTTAATATCCATTGCCTTGATTTGATTGGTTCATTGTGTGATTGATTGACAGGTGCGACATAAGAAGACAGGGCAGGTCCTAGTCCTGAAGCTGAACAACAAGGAGTCAAGCTTTGCCAGCGTCATCCAAGAAATTCAGCTTCTCAAGAAACTGCAGCATCCCAATATCATCAAGTAAGGAAAATGGAAAAACAGTACAATGGCATTTGTGAAATGCTCGAACTTTTTATTTTTTCTTCGTCATCTTATATTAATCCCAGTACAATCTTTAGTCCTTGACTTTGTATATTTGATTTTTCACACACCAACTGCATGAAACCCTCTCCTGAGAATATTTTTGACTAAAGTTTCTTTATTTTTTGTCAGGCTCCTTGGAGTGTGTGTTCACGAAGCCAACATCCATGCATTAATAGAGGTAAGCTAGGTTTCATTTCATATTACTTTTTCATAGTAACACAGTTCATTCAAACTGTTCCTTAAAGTGGTTAAGAAAACACTTAACACAAATTGTTAAATGAAAACTAGCTATAAAGAGGAGATTATTAACAGCAACAGAAAAGGGTCATTGTATAACAAATTGGGGTCCACTTTTTGTCTGTCCTTGCTAATCCTACATTGTACGTACAATGTTGATCCACTCCTTTATGCAGTCATCCGCCAAGAACGATTATGAAATGCAAACTAGTGAAACAAATATAAAGTTGTTTGAAGTCATTCTCAATTACTGAGTAGACCAAACATTTGATACTGTTTATTGCCCGAATTTCCAATGGTTAAAATTTCTGAATTAAAGAAAGGAATTTTGTTTTGACTCAAGACAAGAACACTCGGATCTTGAAACCAAAACTGTCAGTTTAGAAATTTTCCTGAATTTAAGCAACTACATTTGCAGTAAATGACCTTTCAATACCTGCAACTACATGTGAAGTATACACACACACATGAACAGGTAGATATGGAAAACAACACTTAAAAGTACTACCAAGTTGCTGGACTTTAGCCCAATTAATAGAGATATAAACGAAACTAATGAACTTTGAAACTGAAGTCAAGGATACCTTGACAATTCTGTCATATCAATTGCCTGTTCATTTGTAGTACATGTAAACAAATTATATGGCCGGTCGTAATTCAACGAAAATATCGTGAGAGTCTTTACATCTGTTTAAGGCATGATAGGCCATGTCCAAATTACTTGGCAACGGCTGGGAATGGCATACGCACCTATGGAAGTGGCTGCAGCCACTTCTTTTAGACTGGCAGCGGCTAGCTGCGGCTAGCTGCAGCCACTTCCCATAGACCTGTGTGTTATTTCCTAGCCGTAGCCAAGTAATTCGGACACGGCCTTGGCCACATTACTTGACTACGGCTTGCAATTACACAAGCGGCTATGGATATGGCTGAAGCCATACACACGCCTATGGAAGCGGCTGCAGCCACTTCCCATAGACCAGTGTGTTATTTCCTAGCCGTAGCCAAGTAATTCAAACGCGGCCTTGGCCACATTACTTGACTACGGCTTGTGATTACACAAGTGGCTATGGATATGGCTGAAGCCATACACGCGCCTATGGAAGCGGCTGCAGCCACTTCCATATAGACCCGTGTGTTATTTCCTAGCCGTAGCCAAGTAGTTCAGACACGGCCTTGGCCACATTACTTGACTACGGCTTGGAATTACACAAGTGGCTATGGATATGGCTGCAGCCATACACGCGCCTATGGAAGCAGCCACAGCCACTTCCCATAGACCAGTGTGTTATTTCTAGCCGTAGCCAAGTAATTCGGACACGGCCTTGGCCACATTACTTGACTACGGCTTGCAATTACACAAGTGGCTATGGATATGGCTGAAGCCATACACGCGCCTATGGAAGGGGCTGCTGCCACTTCCCATAGACCTGTGTGTTATTTCCTAGCCGTAGCCAAGTAATTCAAACACGGCCTTGGCCACATTACTTGACTACGGCTTGCAATTACACAAGCGGATATGGATATGGCTGAAGCCATACACGCGCCTATGGAAGGGGCTGCAGCCACTTCCCATAGACCTGTGTGTTATTTCCTAGCCGTAGCCAAGTAATTCAAACACGGCTTTGGCCACATTACTTGACTACGGCTTGCAATTACACAAGCGGCTATGGATATGGCTGAAGCCATACACGCGCCTATGGAAGCGGCTGCAACCACTTCCATATAGACCTGTGTGTTATTTCTAGCCGTAGCCAAGTAATGCGGACACCGTTGGCCATATTACTCTGAAAATTGCAAAGCACAAACAAGTTGTGCTTAGCAACATTAGGTTACCAGCCAAAGTGTCATGTGAATACTATTGCTTGTGACTGGTTCCCGGCTAAATTTTGCTGAGCAAGAAAACTTTCTAAATAATATTTTGTGCCGTTGCACCTCCTTTAAATTTGACCCTTTTAACTTAGATCTAGAAACGTTTGCAACAACTTGTTTATATTATGTTTCCTGTACAGTTTGATTGCCCCTTGACCCATGATATTTTATTTTAACCCTATAACCCTCGACAGATTTTCCCTAGGCACCATGCCAAATGCAACAAAATGCAACTTGGCTGAAATACAATATAAGAACCCTGCTAAATGCAACAAAATGCAACTGGGTTAATCTACCTCCTTGGTTGAAATAAGGACCCTGCTAATTGCAACAAATTGCAACAGTGGACTCTGTTGCATTGTGCAGTGAAGCCAGTGCATACCAGCCTTGGCACCAAGCAGTTACCCTGCTAAATGCAACCAAATGCAACAGTGGATTCTGTTATATCGCCTAGACACTACGTGTATGAGCAGATACCCTGCTAAATGCAACAAGATGCAACAAAGCACAGGACTTGAGTTGGCGCTAAATGCAACAGTATGCAACAACTTTTTACCAGTGTTGCTTTCTGTTGCATTTAGCAAAGTTAGGGTTTTAATGGAAAACGTGACCAAAGTATCCAATAATAGTTTTGGGGAAAGAAAAAATGTATTTCAGCATCAGAAACCAAAAGGCTGTCATTCCTCTAGAAACCAATTTTTGTAAATGTTTTGCCATTTTCAGTAAATTTACACTTCATTAAAATGACTCATTCAACAGACAAAGTGGTTCATACATATTTTCTATTTGGAATCAACTTTATGAGCCTCAGGACGAATGCGAAACCGAGTTTTGTCACATAAATCTAGAATTTCAGGTTTCCACAGGAAGAAGTCTTCAAAATTGAAAAACATTGGCATGATGTTGGATGATAATGCAGAATAGAAAGTTCGTGGCTCAAAATTGGACTGAGTCCAATTATGTAATCACTGGTCTAGATCTTTGTATGACTGTTCAACTGGATTTGTAGCCGGGTTTTCCTCATGCCTCATTTCAAGTCATATTTGAGACAAATTTCCCTGATTATGAACAAATGAATACATGTACGGTACATGTATTTCCCATTAATTGTCACCATTAACAACCACCAACAAATATATTTGTCCGTAACGTGACCTCAACCCTTTTTTAAAAACCATTTTAAGAACCGTCGATATCAAAATTTTCAATAACCGATATATCGGATCCAATATCAAGAATATTTGATATATCGATTATCCCCGTGTAAAAGTTAAAGACCTTAAAGATGAAACTATAACAAAATAGATCTTAAGTCCCCATTTTCCATGGCTTTCTCTGGAGCATATTACTCAAACTTTTTAAAACAAATATCAGCACTGAGAGTTTGTCCAGAACGGACGGTTTCTTTTGAGGTTTTACATTGGGGGAGACCGCGAATTCCAGCGAACGCAGAGCACACTAAAGCATCGACGCTTGACATTTGGCAATATTTGTATTTTCATTCACAAGCACAAGTTGCCGCCAAGTTTTATTTAATTATACAGCAAACATTAAACACAAAGTATTAGCACAAACAAGAGATTTATTTTGACGATAATCTGCTGCATTTTTTATATTTTCGATATATGATTCATCAATATTGAAATTTTCGATGGCGTATTTCAATATGTTTTAAAAATTACTATCGACGATATCGATACCAAAATATTATCGAATAATCAAGTAATAGGCCTAGATCGATATATCGACGGTGCTTAAACTATTTTAATCTTCTTTTTTTTTCAAATTCAAACTTCACCTGTGCGTTTTCTAATTTCAGCACTGATACTTCATGTCTAGTCAAAATTGCTGTGGATTACTATTCTTGTGGTCTGGTATATTTTGCACCTGAAATTTGAGCCATCTTATTCTGAAAATCCTTGTGCATTATCATAAATAGAGCCACTATATGATGGTCCTTTGAAAACCATCACAGTTGGAAGATGGATTGCCGATTGCACGAAATTAGAATCACATATGGCATCGATGTCCTTGCGTCAGATAATTGTCCTCTTTTGTAGCATCGCGTGCTGAGTTGTGGATTTCCTTTTAATCGACGACCGCCTTTCAGTAGGCTTCCATTCACAGTGCCTGTTGGACACACATGTTCTCAGTGTGTTGCATTTTAAAGGTTTACAACTCATTAATCTGAAACATTCAGCCGAGATTTTGGTGATAAAGATTTTTAAATTGTCTATTGCTTGAGAGACGGGTGTTTAAATTGTTTGGTAAATCACATTTTTGTGAAGTGTAGTATATCTAAAATTGTCCAATTTGAAAAACAGGGTTGCCAAATGACACAAGTTAAGAACCACGTTACAGAATTTTTATTTGAAACATTATGCCGAAATTTGGTGATAAGATTTCTAAATTGTCCGATGCTTCCAGTGAGGATGTTTTAATTGGTTTGTCATTTATGTAAAATGTGGGATCTACCTGTCAGATTGTCCAAATTTAACACAAGGGTTTCCAAAAACACTCAGGTTAAGTATCACAGCTTAGCTCATTTGAATGAGACACTTATGATTTCCATCCATGGATATGATGTACTCAATGAATTCATTTAAAAGCAAGTGTACTGTAGTTTAATATGACCTCCCACATTGAAAAGCACACTGCCTCCCATATTGACTCATCCCCCCCCCCCCCAGGGGCTCCCAATTCCTCCCCTCCCCACCCAGGGGGTTCACAATCCCCCCCACCCCATCATCTACCGCCACTCTGGAAGCATATATATGTCACAAGAACCTAAAAAATCCTAGGTTTTACAGTAACAATGCACTCGTTGATAAATTGTGTACATTCGGTACAACACCCATTGATATACAATAGCTTTTCAGCAAGTCAATAGAATGAACTGCTTATTTGATTTTCTGTAATTGAACAACAAGACATGTAAACTGAGAAGGCCCATGGACACTGAAGCCTATTCATGGGCCCAGTTTAAGTTACTGAAATACAGTTCATTACTGTGGCCTCTCTTGGCTAGTTTTTGTTTGTTCCACATCCAGCGTTATGCATTGAACTAACTCC